CAAAGCTCAACGTTGCACGATACGGCTTGGGCATTACCAAGGTGACTGAGGACGTGTACTTTGCTGTCGGCGGCCTAACAGATGGTGGTAGGCTCAGCAGCACTGCTGAAAGGATAGATTTCCGAGAGACGTCAGACGCCTGGACAGTGGTCAGGTCCATTGGGACGCCCCGTGCATTCTTTGGGTGTTGTTCCCCAACACCAGAATCTGCCATGGTGATCGGGGGCATGGCGCTGCAGGATGGGAGTACATGCACTATAACCTCGAGCGTAGAGATCTTCGACTTCAAGTGAGTGTTTTGTGTTGGATCTGTTCACTTGGTGTGCCATATGCAGTGTGTGTGCGCATATGCTGTGTGCAGTTCTTAACCACTGTGTACGAAAAAATGGAAGAATACAGTGAGTTGTGCAGCCAGTAGTGATGACGCACCCAGTGATGCACCTTTTATGTGCTAAGCAGCAGTTTTTCATTTTGGCGTGTGCTGACTGGATTGTGGTGCGTGTGTTTGGCACAATGCACGGTTGCTATTCCATCAAGAATCCAGCAGGTGGCTTGTGGGGTCCATAAACTTGGTTTGGCTACCTTGCCTAGCCTGGGGCAACGTTATCAATTTCCCTCATTATTCATCACATGCTCAGGCTGTGCCATTGCCTGACCTCAGTGAGCTTGATGATAGCACATGAACTAGATGACTGGCGAACCGCAAAGACTTGTCTTCCTCTGCACCACAACAAACATCCCATACATAAAATTGCCATATCTTTCCGTGGATGAAAGCAAATGTCAAACAGACATCATGTTTGGGAAGCAAAGGCGTTGAAAACCCCCGAGGGCGCCTCGAACTCCGAACATGCTCGCTTACTCTGTTCTGCATCAGCTGAAGGGCGCTTACCCGGGTAACAAATCGACGATTAGACGAGCATCGCTGATCGTTCCCCTCGGAACCTGTTTCGAAGAGTCTTGTATCATCAGCATGAGTGCACCGACATCTAAACGAAGTGGTGCTGCGAGTTATCAAAGTGCGGCCCTGGCACACTGGCTGGATGATACCCTTCACCAGGGCGATTTGGGTTCGTTTTGGAAATCCTATGAAAGTTTGGCTCTTTTTTGGCCAAAGTTGTGCAGGGTCGAGGCCTTGTCCGGTTTTGTTTATTCAGGATCTTGTTTGTCGACACGGTGTTCTGCACTCACAACTACGAATAACACCAATGTTCGCACATATCTGGTTAGGTACTTATATAGAAATGGCTGTGTAAAGTCATAGGGGACATTTGTTGTTGAGCAGAGAGTGCAGGCTTGATGCAGTGGCCGAAGTTTTTAAGAATTGAAGTCAGCAATTGGCTTTGCGCGGCCACTGAATTCGTTTGTCAACCCATACACGTACCACATAGAACCGAAACAACGGCTGAAGCTTTCTTGGGCACAGTTGCTAGAGCTGTCGCCACCAGGCATCTGCCTAGCAAGCAACAGAAACAATGTGCTAAGATTCTGTTTGCCGTGTGCCGATTCCAAGGACCAACCAGTGGCAGAGCGTGGCTGCAACCACAGAACCGAGAGCGTTCTGTACAGCGCACGCTATAGGCAACACTGTGTATGCCATTGGAGGCCTGAAGTTCTGGGGCACGCCCATGCCTGAGTTTGCTGGCATGGAGGTGTTCCCAATGGATGGGAAAAATAGATGGGTTCATGGGTTCTCGGCTGGTAGTGGGAAGGTCAGAGGGTACCATGGGTCCTTCGTTGTATGATTCCAAGGACTGGTGTCCAACAGCAGTGCACTGTGTGCTCAAGTCGCCAGGAGCCTAGTGCGGGATGATGGGCACATGTTTTTATGACAGTTTTGTGACGCAGTGCGTTGCGGCTGTTTTAGGGGATTGAATGAGAGGCATGTGAACCCACCAACTTCCCTGTCAATATTGTTTGCCATCGTGTGATTGTTATCCGGTGCGTGCACCAGCGCTTGATGAGTTGATTCGGTTGCGCCTCAAGGGCACCTCTCGCCTGTCGGACGAGGGTCTTCGTGGATTGGCTGGTGTGTATATAACTTTATCGTCAGCGTTGCACATTTACCAAGCGGCTGATGCCTTGTACGCATTCTGCGCTCTGGAAGACACGGCCCGGTCCGGCATTGACGAAGAACGAATGACAGATCACTATAGGTGCGCACTGTTTCACGACTGCTGTGGAAAGTGAACCGCAGTTTTAATGAGGGCAGCGGAGATGTCCCCACAGCAAAGTTGAAGTCAGCTGCCGCAAGCCCAGTGCCCAATAAAGCAAACACAAAACACTATCCTATGATGAACACAACGCCGCTAAAGTATTTTCTTTGCTCAACGACTTCCAAAACTAAAAGAATGCACATCTACTCGACCGTTTGCCCTATAGCTCCACGTGGTGCACCATCAACAGCGTCGTCCTCCTGGCCGTTGCTGCCAGACACCACAGGCGTCCCACCCAGGTCTTGAGTCGCACTCTCCGCCGACATCCCCTGCGGACCACTGCCCATGACGTCAGCGTTGCTCTGGTCCTCGTTTCCAGCCACCAAGTCAGGCAATGGAACAGAAGGCGACGGGGGTCCGGATGCCTCAGTCATGGGCATCATGCCTGCACTCTTGTACTCATCCAAAAGTTCTGCCCTCGCAGCAGCAAGGCCATCCTCTACAGCTCGATAGTATGGGTCGTCCGTGACTTCCTGGGATGGGCGGGCCACTGCGATTTCAGACTCCTCTGCATAGGCTTCCTCCTGTGTGGCACAAGCAATTGGTCTTGACTGCACAGCTCAGAAAAGACCAAGAGGTGACGAAACATGTTCTGCCCGGCATGGCTCACGGCCACCTGCACCAGCATCTTCTAGGGCTTTCAGGGTGCGACACAACACCAACAGCTTTGAATGGAACAATGCAAGAGCGAGTAGCACCAGTGTTCTTGGTGACTTGCTCAGTGATTCACTTTCACATATCAACGTATCGCTTTCACACATCCCCTTCCATGACTGCACCCATCCATGTGCACAACAAATGCGCCTTTAGTGTCAGTTGGTGGCAGGGGGCACGAAACAAGCCATGTGCACAGGTGTTTCTGCGACTGCAGGACATGTGGACCTCAAATGAAGGGGTGGATGTCCCGGGGAATTGCGCAGAGTGCCCTCAGGCAGTCGTCCAGTCAGGCCACCCCAATACAGCATCTTCTTGCGTCAGCAACAGGCCTCTCATTCTTTCTTGTTTGCTGAAACGGCTTTCGTTGAAGGCCAAGCTGTCCTCAACCAAGGCCCTCACCTGCTCATATTCCCCTGCTCGGCTCCTTGCCATTGCCTTGTTAGCCTTGGCTATAGCAGGGAAGAAGCCCTCCACATTTTCTAAAGCAACTGTGCCAAGGAACAGACCAGTGGCGCCGAGGACAAGGAACAGCCACACACGGCCCTTGTCAACTGTTTCTTGAGGCAAGGGCTTGGCGTACTCTGCCATTGTGGAGGGCGCGACAGTCTGCAACGACAACCATTAGAACAAGGAATTGCTCAGTGCACTTGCTGCTGCAGAAGGCCACAAATAGGGTGGCATGGACAATTTCAGAACCGACAAGTCCCATCTACGATTGTGATCAAATCGCTGCAGTTGCCAAGATCTTTTGTTCCAAGACAGCACCCAGTAATAGGGAGGAAATGCAAGGATAGATGCTACGAGCTTATTTTGGCTTGTGAGGGTTTGGAAATGGAGTTGAGCCAAATTGAACAAACTGATGTTTCTCTTGCATGCGTTGGGGAACAGAATTGGCCCCAGTTGAAAAGGTGGATACGAACAATTTGAGAATGAGCAAGAATACAGTGCATGCAGGTGCCAAGCGCGTCATGCAAAACACTTCTGCCAGCAACTACATTTCGTCTGGCAGCCATCCCATTTCTTGTTGTCAAAATTGTGCTTGCATCATCTTGGTATGGCAATTGCGATGCTGGTGAATCAAAGTGGACATGGATGCAAGGGTGTATTCAACGTAGCTGGTTCAAATCAAACTAGCAATGACACCTGCCAAGCGTCCGCATATACGGCTTCAAGCCCTCGGCCATGCCGCACAGTGCAATCAAGCATGTTTCACCAGGGCCGGCAATGAACACCTTGACTTGTTGATTCCACTTTTTCTCAACTCAAACTTGTACCGACAGCCCCCTGGCGGCCACATTTTCCAGCCTCAACTCGCGCGCGGAGCACCGTCGCATTGTACTCCCGTCCACACAATCCCATCCCCAACTCTCGTGCATCCCCCGGTCCCCCGCAATTGCCACTTCCGGTCACCTCAATCATGTCCGCCACAGCTGCTTGTGGGCTCAACAGCAGCGCCCCGGCGACCACCGTCCCCACAACGCCGGCGACGAACGGGTTCGCCCGCTCCGGCTCCGCCGACGGCATCTGCACCGACCCGCCGCACTCAATCCCCTCCCGCCATGACCGCGTGGCTTCCGACACGGCGCGTTTCGCGGCGACGCGCCGCTCCTTCTGAATCCACCGGCACTTCAGTGTCCCGCCGCGACACGAGAGCGCCATCTCCATCAACGCCGATGCGCAACCAGCGGGGCACCAGGGAGACACCAGGGCTGAACGAATCGGCCAGCACGAACAGACGCACTGGGCGCAAACAATGCGGCGAAAAAGGGCGACGTGTAAAATCTTGACGGGTTTTCGCGCATTACGCTGCCCACAACCCCGACCTCGGATGCGCTCCTGATGACGGTGGCTGGTTGACTCCCGCGCGTACCGCAGAGGGGGGCGCCGCGCGACGGGAAGCGGGGCGGGGAGACGGAGGCCGCGGGGGCGCGCACTCGGGGGAGCGCCCTGCGCCCGAAGGCATGGCGGCTGATCTGCCGCCCACGGCAGCGGAGAGGCTTCAAAAAGGTGGGGGTATCGTTCGGCTGGCAGTCCCCGTTGGTCTCGCAACTCCCTGGCCTCTCCTCGCGGGGTGTGGTTTAAATGAAGCGGAAGCCCGTAGCTTCGTGTGCGCGCGGCGCGCACTTGTCCTTGAGCGTCGCATCGAAACGGGAATAGTGCCGTTTCGCGACAGGCGCTCTGCTTTACGAGCGAGGGGCGGGGCCACCGCGCGTGGCTGATGGATCCCCGCGGACTCCCCGTTGCGGGGGGCGCTGGAAACTCGTTTAAGGTTGCATGGCAGCTCTCGCGTTGTAGCTGCTGCAGGCGCGTATGTTTCGTTCTCACTGATCTCCCACCAGTTACGCCCTGCAACAAATCTCTGTCCAAATTTGTGCCCGGGAGAACGCTCACAATCCGCGAAGTCCTTGTGGAAATCAGAGTTGAGCAGCAAGCGGCGAATATCATATCCCATCAATGTTTCTTTGACTGTGGGGACACCGGGCACTGATGTAGGTCACAGAAAAGCGGCCAAGTAGCCCTATTTTGTCTTTTGCCCTCAATTAAACTCAACGAACGTCGAGCTGGCTGTCTTTTCGTGTTTTTGCCTGCCGTTCGCACCCCAGTGGTGGATTGGATGTGACTGGACGTCAGGACTGCAGCTCTCCAGAATTATGAGAGGAACAAAAGTACCTACACGCAATGTGCAGCATCTCCATGACGTGCACGAGGGTGGAAACTGTGCTTGAGTTTCAGTGAGCCAACTGCACAAAGTTGATTTGCGCTTCACAAAGCAGGTTTGTGCTTGTCCTCTCGGAGGTCTCTACATTCTCCCCAGCTGTACACCAGTATTGGCATCCCACAAAGTCCAGGTGTTGTTTTTCTATGATGAACTGCTTGCATGGACTAAGCCCCCAATTTTATAATTGAATAGTGTTCTGCCCATCCTGATGATGGCAATGCTTACGATGGTTTTCCCACAGGATGTGTCTCACACTCACTTGGTTAGGACGTAAATCCTTTGCTTTACTTGCTTCTTGGTATTTGAAAGGCTTAACCCTCAATTGCTGTTTCCAACTACACAGTAGAGGGTACACCGTCTGGACCCAAGACACCGGCACATCTGCTTAGCCTTCTGCCTGTGCCAGCTGGCTGCAACCTATGCAGACCCACAATGGTTTTGGTACTTGAAGAACATGCGCAAAATTAGTAAGCGTAGGGGTAGTCCATACTGCTGTAGGCAGCAACAGCAGCACAGAACTTCATGGATCGACTGTGGCAGGCAATTGGTTCATGGTCGGTTCTGTGCTTCGGAGTCAAATATGTTCCAACAAGTTTTCATTTGCACAGTGAGAGATTGGACATCAAGCACTGCTAGTACCTTGCACAAACAGAGCATCCTCAGTTCTGCTGTACATCGCCCAGTACAATATTTGTCATTTGCATGTGTCCGGGAATAAATTCAAGTACCATGTACTGTGGACCTGGTCAACAATGGCAGGGGCAACAAGTTTATCTGTGCCACAATGATTGTTTCCCAACAAAAGGTATGAAGGCAAGTGGTCTGTATCTGTGAAGGAAACATGTTCCTGGGTCCTTGTGGTAACTGGATGCAGTGGCTTACCCACAGCAACTGTGGAAGTGACCTCCAACCACTGCAAATTTGGCATCGTTGGCCTGTGGTAATGTTTCTTTGGTGATGCTTCCAAGTTGCAGTATTGCAACGGTGGAATGGGAGTGCGTCAGGGGCAAACTTTAGGAAAACATATGGCAGCTGGTGAGAGAATAGAGGTCTGCTTTTGCAGGTTGCAGCTCTCCTTCTGTGGGCCATGCCAGCGGCGATGGGGAGAGGAGCCAGCATCGTGCACAGCCCAATTCTGCTTTTTTGTCGTGTTTCAGATCAGGCAGACCACAATGCAACCTACCTGGGATTGTCGCAGCGATCTCCAAAGCACTGGGCAGGGTGAGCACACAGCTTGTGCAGATTCATCAAGCTCTTGCTGCCCATAGCCCAACGCCTAAGGCATGGTGAAAGGGATTGCTTGTCATTTTATGGGCAATTGTAGATGCATTAATTGGCGGCAGTATCAACAGCTGTTCAAGGAGTCTGCACCACCACCACTGTGCTATCTGGCCTTCCTTCTCTGTATTGTCTTTGTTCATTTACACTTGTGCATTGCTGCCACTTGTTTGTCTTTAGGACATCTCAGCAGAAAAGAGGCAGCAGAGGCTTATACGAAGAAGGGCTACACCTGAAAGGGCAACTTCTCATGGGGCTCCTTACAGGAGCCCCAGAATCAGCAAGCCGGGACCTGAAACCCACGCAGGGAAGCATGGAAATGAGCAGAACAGGACTGCTGGAATTGTTGAGGAAGGCTTTTGTCCCTCGCAGGCCCTTCCTTCAGCAGAGAAATTAGGAGAGTGCGCTGCTATTCTTCATGAGGTGACCTTCCGGATTGGCTGTTGTGCGACAGCAGAATGTGGCAAAATCGAAGTCCCATTTGCCCAGAGTGGTAGCAATGTGCTGCAGTGAAGAACGTAGCAGCCAATGCTTCCTTTTGGTGGCTGGTTGAGATGAAGTTCCTCTTGTGAGCAGTTCTTGCACTTGTGAGCACAAGGAATTGTGCAATGGTGAGCAGCTGGAAAGTCAGTTTATGACCATGGGTCCCATTTCCTTTCTCTTTGTTTGCTTTGAGGATATGATTACTTTTGCAACATTCTGGCTGTCATGTATGCATGTCACAAAACAAGGCTGTCATGTGTGGAGTGGGGATTTGCATGCACACTAAGACGCCCCTGAGCCTGAGCCGATGCATTGGTATCATGCTGTGCTTTGTTAACATTAGTTGATTAGTTCTTCAGTAGAGAACGGTCTCGGAAGTTCGATCGCCACAAGCCAGATCCCACCGATCCAGTTGGCTGTGACCAGATCACTGCCAGTCGTCACTTAAGGCACTGACAAGGGAGGCAAAACTGGTCACCAGACAGACAAAACTCAATGTACGTCCTCAACCCAACATCATACTGTTTACTTGTGATCCACAGATGGCAACCATCTTTGGTTTCAACCTTGTCGTTCGAGCTGGACCCAACAGGGCAGAGGTGAAGCCCATCCCCATCCAAGTTGCTGCACATGAAGGTGACAATGACCATGGGGATGACCCAGCTGCAGCCTCACCCCTGCTCTTTGGCCAGTCCACACCATTGTTGGGAGTGCTGGGGCATCTGCACCCAGTGGACGACGAGCCGCATGCACTGTCGTTTGAAGATGGTGAGGGCACTCGAAAGGTGAAGGGCCGTGGTTCTATCCAAGCGTTCACACACATGTCTACCTGGGGTGGCAGCCAAGGGACAGATGCACACGGTGGCAGTCACGAAGGTGCTGTCACGAGCTGCACAGATCTTGGAGAGGGCGCCAATGGGGAGAGCTCAACAAAGGTGAAGGGCCGTGGTGCAGTGCGGGCATGTGTCTGCACAACAAACTGGCCCAGCAGCAGCGAAAGGGATGGCAGCCGCGATTGTGATTTGGATGTGGAGGAGAGTGTGAGTGCAGAGGGCGCTGAGGGCCACAGGGGCAGGGAAAAGGGGTCCAGAAAACTGAGCAACCGAGGGGAAGTGCAGGCCTTCATGAGGCTGGCTGGATGGGCCTTCAATTCCAGCAGTCCCGGGAACAGGCAGCCGACAGGCTGTGCCATTGCAGCTGGTTCAAGACCTGACAACAGTCAGAGTCATGCCAGGGAATCTGACAAATCTGGAGCCATGGATGTGACTGTGGGGAAGGAGCTAAAAGCTGGGGAGGCTCTTGTGAGGGGACGGGGCCCCGTCCGGTTCTTGGGCTCTGAAGAGCCTGCGTTGACAAATGCTTCCCAGTCAGGAATGGCTGTGGATCGGCCCATAGTTGGGAGTGTGGGTGGACCTGATCCCAACCGCCCACGAGATGCTGCCCACGGACCAGCGCGCTCAGCAAAGACAGAGTCACGGCTGGCCGACACACAGGACAATGTGCACTCCAAGTGCTACACTGACCGGTGGCAGCCTTCAGATACCGTTCTTGATGGGAATAGCAGAGGCAGCAGTGGACAAGAAGGGGAGGAGGACTCACCTGGCTTTAGTGGCAGGGAACCTGAGCATGGGGACCACACACACAGTGTTTTGCATGTTCAGTCCCACAAGCAGATTCGCTATGTGACAACAGCCACAAGTGTTCGTGATCAAGAGCATCTGAATCACAAAGGAACTGGTAGGGAGCTTTCTGGCACAAGTGGCGAAGCTGATTCTGAAGCTTCTGATCCCCGTCCACAACCACTCGACCTTTTCCAACAGATGGTTCCACCAGAACAAGGAGATGCGGGCTTGACACCCACTGAAAAGGAGGCAATGGCACTGCAAGCACTTAGAGACAAGTGGAAACTTCTGCGACCAATCCAGAGGAAGTCAGATGATGCCAGAACTGACCATGATGCTCAAGGCGTTCAGGACACCAGGAATGCCGAAGCAGAAATGGGAAAACTGAACAGACAACGGATTATGTGCTGTGGGGATGGTGACAAATGCCAATCATTGCAACGGACATCGCACAAAAAGTCGAAGGCTAAAAAGAGGAACAGGTGGGGCTTGGAGACCACATTGTGTTTGTCAGGTCCCTATCTTGTATCAGCCACATGAAACTTGTTGACATGTGTGTTCTTGGCGATGCTGTGCACACGTAATCCGTTGATGTTGCATCCCTTTGCTGTGGGGCACATTGTCATGTTGTGCCTCTCTGAGTGCAGCGCCTGGGCCGCCATGCTGTCTTTGCTTGTGCTTTGCCTCAGCACCCCAAGAATGCTAACCTTGTGTTAAATGCATGGCTTTCAACAAGGAAGCCTTTTTAGAGAGTTGATTGGCCAGAATGCAAGAGACATTCTTAGCTGTACATGTACACTGATAACTCCCAAGCTAATGTTGACCTTTGCGGTGCAGGGACGTTGAAGTGTCTCACCGGGACAGACCTGACGAGGGCAAGGCCACATGTCATCTTGGCAACGGATTCCAAGACCGATGGCCCCAGTCTTCCTTGCTGCCAGTTGCTGGTTCAAGGAGGAAAAGAGGCCACTCCTCTGCCAAGGCTGGGACTTCAAGAATTGGAGAGGAACATTCGTACGACCATGGGCAAACTCCCTGCCTAGTTGAAGTAGTATCAGACCAGGGAAGCCCTCAGTCATATTCTCACAACAGTGACATGGATGTCACCACTGAGCAGGAACAACCACAAAGGCAGACAAAGCTGAAGAAACGCAAAAGGTGAGCACAAGGCGATGTTGCAGGAATCGGTGTGAGCGTCTGCAACCATTGTGCTGTGTAGTCAGTGATTGAGTGCCAGCAGCTGTTGCAAGATACTGCTGGCTTTTCCTTCGGTCCTTGTAGGTAGTGGGAGGATTCTGGTGAGTGGGAATTCAGCCCTTAAGCAGTGTTGTTGACCTGTACTTTGAAAATTTTCACACTGGCCAGCACACGAGCCTGCACAGGACTGATGGCAACACCCTTCCCTAGTTTATGCCACTTGTGTATTTGGTTCCAAACACAGGTTGTAACCAAACACAGGTTGTAACCACAGATGCAGGTGCAGCCCTTGCAGCGTGTTGCTGATGTGTGTTCGTTGCTCAGGCAAGCAGGGAAAGTGAGGGATCGTGGACACAGGCACCAGTACCAGCCATGCCTTGAGGACGACTGGCAGGGTCGTTGGCTGATGAGCAGTCCTGACACCCCTGCACAGAAGGCCAAGCGAAGGGTGGCCCCCCCTTTGCATGAAGACAACAGCTTGTCTGTTAGTCGAACAGAGGACCTGTCTACGAGCCCAGTCGTGGATCCCTTTGACAGATGGGACAGTGGTTAGGCACGTCGATTTTGGTGGAGAGACTGTGTATATGCCGTTTTTTATATTATTAAATGGGAAGTGGAAAAACCCATCATTGGGTGTCATTGACCATGTATCACTAATGAATGTAAATGAACAAAATAAAGGTCCGTTGGAGACTTGGTTTTGGTTTGTTGGGATGATTGAGCGCTCCCGAATCTGCGTGCAGGGGAATTGCAAGCACACTTTGTGGTGGACCTCAATGTACAGGAACGTCGTAATCTATTGCCACCTGCGATTGACAAAGCCTCTCTTGCAACATGCCACCAAAGTGCAACACTTTTTCTGGCAGCCTTCGATGTGTGTGTTACAGCAAAGATGCACATCGTTGGATAGTGCAATAAAGACTCGTTGCTTCGTGGTTTGCAAGACACGTCACACTTTCATGGTATTGAAGTGCAATGTCTACCAAAACCCCTGCAAATACGTGAAATCCTCTCCATCCCAAGGAGATTTGTGGTTTGGCAGTACATGATCAGGCACTTTGAGCTGCCCATATTTGTCTCGCAGATTGTACAGCAGATGGAGGGAGATGATACTGTGTAGAAGGACCTCAACCTCATGATCCACCAACTCATCAAACACCACCATTCCAGTCAACATCTGGGATGTTGTCCGATATTCCAACAGCAAGCTCTGTGAATTGAATCAACCAGGCTCCTCAGGCACTGTTGCAGCGGCTCTCTGCACGCGTACTCGAAGCCAATGCGTAGCTTTCCAATTATCAGAGTGAACTCAATTCACAGCGTGGCGGCCACAGTCACAACAGTTCCCTTCCATGCCCACGTATTGGTGTCCTATTGACGCTGTAGTCTGTTGGCCGGCAGTGCATGCTTCACCGTAAACCCTCAAGAACTAGAACGGACCAAAGAACTAGAAAGGACCACAGTTCAAGAAAAGACCAAAATCAAGGACCGCAACAACCACCCAAAAAGGGGTAACGTGCAAATGCCTTTCACAACTCCCTGGGGGTACTCCCTTCTCTGTCGGGTGAAAAAGGGCCCCGACCATGGCACTGGCCCTAACGGCACTGAGAGGTACGCGACTTTGACTGAGTGCTTGCGCTCCTCAAGATGTCAGCAATGGGCACAAGATGGCATCTAATGCTGTCGTCAAGGGCAGCGGCGCAAAGTGCGCCCTCAGTTCGCAAGAGGTTTCTTGTCTTTTCAGGGCTGCAGCATGTGAAGAAGTTCTCGCGGTTTAGCCGCAAGTGGGCGCCTTTTGGCGTTGTCACGTTGGCGTCCAATGCCAATGGCCCTGCCTCTGACAAGAGATCTGAAGGTGACGGTGGCAGCTATGCTGGGGGGTGGAGTTGGGCGGCCAACGTGGCATGGCAGGCTTCTTACTTAGCGACGTCAGCTGTTCTAGACATCAGGTGTGGTCTTTGTGGACGGCGCAGCCAGTCGTTTAGAAGTTGGGATTGGTTTGTTGAGGCATTGCGAAACGTCTGGCAACACATCGGCAGCATGCCTGCTCTGAGCTGTCCTGAATCCCGGCATTGAGCCCAGCATCGTCATAACGTCCCCACAATGTTTGAGATGCGCCGACAACATTGTTTGTGTTCGCATTCAACAGACACATGTGTCTCATCTGCAAGTGCTTCTGTCTGTTAAGCAGCACAACAGGGAGTGCCACTGTCAGAGACCATTTTTTCATTGTGCGCCTTGTAGTAACATTTATTTTACAAATTGACACGCAGTTTGTGTTGGTTTTTGCAGGACAGTGAAATGCGTTTTTAGTGATGTCAAGGATACGGATGTGGATGTTTTGACGGAAATTTTGGTTTGCTATGGGGCAGAGGTAGTCAAGTAGGTGAGGTGGACCACTGGGTGCCATGATATTGACAAAGCTGTGACATCTTTTGATGCCTTCATAGTGGTGCACTCTGTGACTCTTCAAAATATAATGTGGAAGTGTGGGATTGAGTCATGGAGCAAGATCAATTCTGTGAAGGAGCAGCCCTTAGCTTATGAAACTCGTCTTTGGATTGACAAAGTGTTCAATTTATTGTGTATGATGAACCCTGCATTAGGTGTTGGGGATGTCTTCTATTCTCTGCTATGATTCTCTTCGGCTGAATAGATATGGTACTGTGCCCTGGGTGCTTGTTCCTTCGTGACAGCGCCTCCACCACGTCGAGGTTCGTCATATGATTGACATTTGCTTGCTTGTAAGTGCACTGTCATCTTGTTGCTGAATAATGGACTCATGAATTTTCAAACTCATGTACATGATTTGTTTCAAAGTGTGATTTCACTGTAAATTACACTTTTGGGCTTTGCCTGTGGAGGTTGACAAAGCATTGCTTGTGCTGCTGTGGTGTATTAGTGTGGACGAAGCCCGCCAAGAGGGTCAACCAGAAAAGGAGCTCTTCTCTGGTGGTGGAGATAAACTGTGGCCCTTGTGCAACATGGCAGCACATTTCCATTCCCAGGTGTCGACAGAGCTCTGATTCTTGCTGTGTTAGGAGTGGTTAGTGGTGTTAGTGTGCGGTTTATCGCAGTGGACAAGGACCTCGCAAAATGCCAGCTTGCTCTCGATGGGCTGTCACCAGCAATCATAGTTACATTTCAACAGAGCACCCCTTCGCCGGTCATATTTGCTACTCATTGTGACTCGATTTTCTTGCACAGGAAGATGCTGCATCAGCACTGCATCATATAACAAGAGACTTTCCAGAACTTGCAGTGGAGACAGAATCGATTGATCTGTCCAATGAGGACTGGGTCCAGTCTGTCAAAGACAGCTACCAACCAATGCAGGTGAACAATGTGCTTGTGTCTTGCAGCATCACAGTTTGACCCCACTCTAATTGGCATACAATCAGCACACCAATTTGTGCAATGGTGCAAGGACATGGTTCGAAACAAAGAATGACCTGCTTTGCATGCCACACACTACTCTACATCTTTGCATTTCAGCTGCTGACGGCATCTCACTAAGTCATGGGGCAGAATGGGCACGATGGACTGTGCTATCGATCTTACAAGAGTGCTTGTCTCAGACAAGGTACCCAAGCTTGCAGTGGCAGCAATGTAGTGGCTGTCGTATTACCATATTGCAGCCATGTTTCCTCTTTCCTCATGCTTGCCTTGGTTTGGTAGACAGATTCCCACAATGTCGTCAGTTTTCGCGCATGTGCTGCCCCTGTCATGTGCTTGCTCGCATGCCCTAAGAGATGTGGTGCCTCAGGTGGCGAATGGGGTGTGGGTGGTACCTGACTGGTGCCAACCTCCAAACCCTCAGGCTACCAACATCATGCTCTACCCTGGACTGGCCTTTGGCACAGGTATTTGCAATTCATGCAGCACTGTGGCTGTGTGAGGCCCTGATTTGAGAACCATGCCATTCCCACCACCCAACTCCTTCATGTTAGGCTCTGATGCCAACTCAACTCCTTTTAATATGGTGCACAGAATGGTGAACAGTTTTTGCTGTGCTATGGTAGCATCATTTTCATAGTGACACAGTCAGGTGCTGATGCTACGCCACCAGATAGTCTGCAATACCTGGCAACAAGAAATATGATAATCATGGCTTTCGAGGTTCCGCCCAGAGGACAACAACTGCATTGTTGCCTGCAATTTTGTCTCATTTGTTGTGAAGAGTGGCTGGACCCCAGGCAGCAAATGGATATGGTGACTGCATGCCTCCAACTGATGGTGCCTTTGAGACTGTACAACCATAGGAGACGAATGCAGCAATTTTTGACATTACATATTTTGTGAACATTTGCCCAACTGGGGGATTTCGCCTTCCTGCGACTTGTGGTGGTAGGCTATATGCAAAATGGTACACAAACATAGGTCTGGTGCCAGTGTCTGGGGGTGAATGGACATTTTTTCTTCACCTCATCACTGTACAACTAAAAGTAGGAAGTGGACAACAACTACAACCACATGCATTTTGTTGTACAGGGGATCATGCCACCACTCAGCTATGTTTGGAACAACTGATGAATACGGGTCTTCAGGGCAAAAGCTTGATTGATTATGGAACAGGCTCAGGGATCCTGGCCATTGGTGCGCTACTGCTTGGGGCAAAGAAAGCGGTATGAAGTATGGCTGAGGCCAGACTCTCACCTTTTTGTCGTGTATGCATCTGGGAATTACATAACCTCCCTCCAAAGATCTTACAATACAATCATATAAAACCCAGGCGTGCACTCCTGGTATCATTGCGAAGCACCAAAATAGAGCTGACTACTGCCAGGGATGCAATATTTGTGTCACTATTCATTGCAGTGCAATGTGAGATGGGCTTGAACTTTGCTATTTGCCTCTCTTGATACACCAATCAGGAAGTCTACACTTATTTGTGTGTGCATGTCTATGCTGGTTGGCAGGCACTTCCCCAAACAAGGGAATAACTCAACTGTGGATTCTGGCATGGTGACTGAGATCCAACCTGTCAGGCATACATTGCCTCCGGGAGTTGTTAATATTGACATGATGAGCCCTGGTGCTCCTGCAACTGATGCTAACGCTTTTCAGCTTGCAGTGCTTCCAGCCAAAGCTCCCCCCGCCTGTGCCCCAAGAAAACAGAAAATGTTTCAACCTTTACGTTTGCTGTTGTTAGGCTGTGAATCGGAAGAACCATGCAGAAACCAAAATGCCATGAAAGAAGTCTGCTGAAGCCTTTTTGTGGTGCACAGGTTGGTGTTGATGCAGATCCTGTTGCTGTGAGGGCTGCAATACAGAATGCTGAATTGAACGGGGTGGAAGACAAGTTTACAGTAAGCATTCACGCAAGGGCCAGAATCCTTGTTGTCACATGCACAAAAGGCTGTCGAAGGACTTCCACTAATGGCCTTCTGCGTGGCTCGAGTGCCACAAAGTACCATCACAGTGTGCAAATGGCATCCTTGAGATCTGTGCGATGGCGTGCTGCAAGTTCTATGCCACAAGCAATGTGGCAAAGCCTGACGTTGGAGCAGTCATGACCATTTCTTGGACCACGTCGCTCTTCCATTTGCTATCCTCATTCGCCCAATCCAATTAGCAAGCTCATAGATTAAATGCATCGAGAGATGCAAGCTGAGCGTGGGTTTTGGCTGATCCAGGTTCTTGGTTGTGGCCATTCTGGTGATGATGATGATCCACTTGCAGAGGTATGCACTTGTCCACGTTTGCAGCTTGATCATTTTCCATCATGCCATGACCTTACTCCATTGCATGGTGTGCATCGGCATATGGGTGTGCACCTCTACGAGTGATGCAGCCAGGAGGCTCACCAGATGTGTATAGAGCTGATTAAATCATGCCAGTTGTATAGCCCTTGACTCAGGCTGTAGCTCAAGGCAGCCGTGAGGGCATTGCATAATGCGCTGTGAAACCTTGTGGCTGCCAACAAACCACACTTGTTCCCCCTTCGTGCTAGTGCTAACTCCTGAGTGGGAGAGCAAATGCGTCATGCAGTGGGGATCCCCCGCCCAGGTAGCGCTTTTGGCAAGTACTGTGGGAGACGATGCGGAGGGATTGCATTTTTTCGCTAGAAAATGCACACAATGGCACGGACAAGCTGTGTACCATGTGCGTTTGCCTGCGATTGCATTTTCCTGCTTGCTGACTTGTTCTGTATCTTGGTAGGGGGGCCTTCAACCTCGACGATTTGACATTTGTGTTGCAAACATCTTGAAAGGTCCTTTGCTGGAATTGTGTGAGCGTTTTGCGGGATATGTGAAGCCAGGAGGCACTGTCATAGTTTCGGGCATTTTAAAGGAGCAGGTACTTGATTGCACCCATGTGAGAATGTTGCCGATCGGCAGAGCGTGTTGGCAATGCAATATATGACATGACTAGCTGGTGGTCATCACTTGGGCAATTGGACAGTTCACGAGCATCAATGTCCCAATTGTGCAGAATTACCTGTGCAAACAGTCCCATAATCAGGGCAACTGCTGATAATGCTGTCTTCCTTAGACGTTTCCTCATATGTGGACATGCTTGAAGCAACTTGGGTTTTGCACGTCGTTCCTTTTGCGATTTATTGGTATGACAGCCAGTACAAATCTGTTTGTTGCTTCTGCCACTTTTGTTTTGTGTCAAGAATCGTCCATCCCTGCTTTCGCGCTCTGCAGGTAGAGGACATCAGGCGGGTGTATAGCAAACACTTTGTCGACTTGGATACCAAGGTCAAGGAAGAGTGGGCAGTGGTTGTCGGGCACAGGGCGCCTTCAGAGTAGACATTCTCTCCCAATGATTATCCCAGCCAACTTATGTTTCAGTTGTCAGCGCCCCCAATCGGACACAACAATGTCATTATGTATGACTCTCCTCAGTGGCAACAGCCATCTTCAAATTGCATGGCATGAGCATGAAGGCGTGGATTCTCTGTGATGCCTGAAGAAATACGTATTCTTGAAAGAAAAGCGTATTCCATTTGACTTTGAGGTGGTCCAGAGTAGCGCAGGTTTTGGCGAATTCCCGTTCCTTTCACGCCACTCTTATCACTTCCCAAATCCTATGGCTTGTGATAGGAATACATCATCGGGGATGAGAGTGAAGGCATTCACCCCACGAGCTGTAGCTTTGCCTGTGGCCGTCTTCACCAGAAACAGACAAAAGTCAGGCGGGTACCAACCTGCTGTCTTCTTAGTCAAGTGGAGCCCATTGGATTACCTGTTGTGGACAACGTAGTGTTTGTGTAACCATTAGCCATGTGCCAAATCACCCGATGTCTGACACATTGTTGACGCATGGTAGCTAATGCGGTGACACTACACTTAATACTTCGGAAGTACCTGTCAGAAAAATGTGACATGCACAGCTGCCAATCACTGCTAAAAGCAAACAGAACAGCCCCACAGTACAGGTACAAACTGTAGCTTGCATTGAGCGATTTTGATGTCCTGGAAAGGGTAGAATTACTGCTGTACGGCTCAAGAAACTGGCGGGAACTCACCAGTCCGATAGACTCTGTGAGGACACTGAGTGAATACGACATATGACACATGTGATGTCCATGGTGAACACAAGGCAGATGCAGCAATCATGAATGACAGGACATGGCCTGGCCTCCAATGCGGGGCTGTGTACTGTGTGTATTGTGTACTGTGGTGTGTGGTGTGTCTGTCATGTGCGCCTGGGTGCTGCCATGTGCTAGTAAGCATAGCACTTACTAGTGCCGACATACCGTGTAATGCACAGAATCTGTTCTTGGCGCACATGGCCACCAAGGGCCGGAAATTGCTGTGGGAAGTGCTGCAATCGGAAACTGCAAGCAGGAATTCAGTTGCAGGGCGTGGCCAACGTTGTCCTAACTCATCTACAGTTGCAGCACTAGCAAGGCTGTCCGATGCGTCCCCACACACTTTCCATTCTCTCGACAATGATGCTTGTAAGGATGGTTTCCCTTGACAATAATGTTCTCAATACTTTTGTGGTGCTTCATCAATGGATGCAACCCCGACAAACGCAGCACGCCCCTGTTGATTTTAGTAGTCGCAACAGTTGTCTTGCCAACTAATCAGGAAATTCTACATTCCGATTTGGTGTCATTCGCCCCCTTTTGCCAATCTGTACACTGTTCCCACTGTCGACCGAATTTGATGCAAGATTCCTTTTCCCACCAAGTCCCTCGTGTGAAAACGCACACCCAGCTTGCTCTGTTTCAACTTATACTTTCCGCTGAACAACTCCTTCTCTGCTATCTCTGAGTTCCGCCGCTTCTTGAACAGCCCAATCAATTCTCTTCGGCCTTTCGTGATGCTAGCCACAACATGCCCTGCACTGGGAACTGCAAAGTGGTAACCTTGAAGGCGTGCCGTTGTCATTCTAGTCAGAAGCCCCGCACCAAGGAGTGCAGAAATCTGTTCTTCCTCAACAGGCTGGTCTGGTGTGCTATCAGACCAACACTGCAGCAGATTCAACAGATCGGCATGTGATACTTTGACATCCACCACACTTGAGAGGATCTGCTCCTTAAAGCAATCAAAAACTCTACCAGCATGTTCGTTTTCTGCTGTTGAGCAATGCCTTCGCTTGGCATCGTTGATCTCTTCATGGTAGTCCTCCATGACAACCACAGCATACTCGTCAGTCCCAAATGGGAGTCTGAGCCACCTAATTTTGTGAGAGTGCCTGCAAAAGAACAATCACGTCCTTCTAGTCATTCCTTGTCAATAGAATGGTCCTTAGCGTGTGCTGCATTTGGCAGGGCCGTTTGCTTGACGCCAAGGCACATAAGAACACTTTATGCTGCAACAAGATTGCACATGGCATGGAGACTTCGATGCTTGCGCAGTTTTTGTCAGTGCAATCAGTCCCATCCATCTAAGCCAAACTGCGGGACCGTTGTTCTCTGCTCTCTCTTCACGACGGGGGAAGGGATCTCCAGGATCAGCCTGCGAAACTGTTGCAACCACTGTTATCCATTTTCAGTATCGTTTGGCACTGGCTTTTGAACTGGCTACCGCCATGCTCTGTGCAAGGATACCTATAGATAAATTGTGCTGACTCCGGCCAACGTACCTGAGGGAGTCCAGCTCCCTGTCAACTATGGTGCGGTCCGTCACGATGCTGTAGAGCTGAGACTTCAACACCACTGGGTGCACGTGTGCAGAAGCGAACTTTGGAAACTGAGACTTCAACAATAGAATTGCGGCAAGGGTGTCACAAGGGACATCGGCATCGCCATCGTCGTCCCAGATGCTGTCTAGCCCGTTGCAAGTGACCTTTTCGCTTGCGCTGGATGGCAAGATGGCAGCTGAGGCAGCCTGCAAGAAGCGGTAAGGAGCAGCTGATTATCTAACAGCAACAGAAGTAAGTACTTAGTGAACCACTCCTGCAGCACCAGCACTGGACGCGTGCACCACCACTGCTATTCTTAGGCATGCATCATCGGATGGCGTCAGAAATATGTCCAGGGTAATGTGTCCAGGGTAATGCAAAGTAGCGCTCCCCGGCCGAAACGCGCGGCAGTGCGACTGCCTTTCCTTCCTGGTGAGATGATGCCCGGCAAGGGGCGCCAGCGATGCTGTCCCAATTGCGACGCGACCATTGCGCTTGCCCTCCTCGCGCAATTGTGCGCGTAGACACCGACAGCCCTTCTTGGTGCGTCCCAGATGACAACCGAGAACAGCTTTCACCGAACGGCCAGCACACTGACTCGGACAACCCCTTGCCTGCTCGCAGGTTTCCGACGTCCGCTTTCGCTTCCGGCAGCAACGGCTTTCTCTGGCGCTACTTTCGCCGCCCGCCTCGTTCGGTTTGTAGCCCATCGAAGCCTCACTGGCAGCCGCGGTCACAGTTCGCTGTGCTGTCCTTGTTTGCGTCTGGTCGCCGAGCCTCCCGCTGGGCCGAAGTACGGTTCGTTGAGCTCTGTGTACTACTGGGGCCCCATCTAATCTTTCAAAAACGGCAAAATCCAGAGCAGCTTCCACAGCGCACAACCTCACATGGTGTACGTACGAAGCACGCGTTGGTTCATTCATCAAAGTTGCCGCGTACCCCTCCCATGGCACCGGTAACATCCCTATAAGGTTCGGTGGGGCACATACCACCAGCGTTCCCCCAAGTCTAAAACAGTCGTTTGTGTCAGCCATTCAAACCCTCAGCAAGGTTGTCAGTGGCACAGTTGGACTGCACCTAAGACGTCCATAGTCACCACCCCATTGATCACAAACGTTTGCTAAGAGCTGGCTGTATGTACTGGTGAGGCCCCTCGTAGCCATGCGTAGTTATGTATACTCATGCGTGTTTACTCGTGTTTACGCGCATTCATGTGCCATGTGGACCCACAGCGAAAGCTGACTTTCCGTTTGCTTGCTTGACAGTCGCCCTCGCTCACCACAGGGTCCATTTCGGGCCAGCCGCCAAGCACTGTGAGGGCATCAAAAGCTGGCTGGAAAGCATCAGGGAGTCTGGAAACTCCAGACTGCAGGTTCCCTGATGCGTTTGAGCCGGCTTTCGACGTCCTCAATGTCCTTGGCGGCTGGCCCGAAATAGACCCGAGTCAGGTCTCCAGTGCAGAATGGCAACCAGATGCACTGGAGGGGACAGGGGGCGACCGTTTATTCGACGATATTGCCCAAGGAGAGGTGGCGAACTGAAAATTTGTTTTGCGACTTTGTGTAACACGGGTGCCTTGATGTAACGTATTTGTGCGTGCTGATGGAGGTATTTATGGTTTTCTGGAAAAGCACGCATGAATACGCGCATTTGCGTCCCCGCATTTATAGTACCATAACGCAATTAAAGAGCCTGTTGCAATTGTCGTGTATTGCCGCCGTGACAATTTCCGAGGAACTGCAAAAGAGCATAAAATTGTCCAAGGGACTCCCGACAAGGTTGTTCAGCCTCTGCAAAGCGCAGTATGACTATAAGCGGCCAGTTGGTTGTGCTTTTCTTGTGCGCTCGCACTCCACTCGAAACGATGAAGACTACGCTAGATCTGTGTACCCCTGCCCAGCTCAAGAGTAAACCCAATTGCATCACAACCTTGCATCCAGGCACTCCAATTGCGAGTGCTTTCCGCTCAAAGTCAACATCCCAGGAACGAAACCCCATTATTCCCACTCAGCCCTGCTCTTCCCGTCCATGGCACGCCGCACACGCCTCTGTAGCATCGTGCAGATTTGCCACTAGCTATTCATCAGACGGCGGACACTAGATGAGCGAGACAAGATGCAACTCAAATAAACGCCACTATGTGCAAAATCACGAGGTAGAACAAGATAGCTGTCCTCAGCACCGGCCTTCGCAGCAGGGTGACAGCAGCACGGTCTGAGAACTCTGCACCCTTCACGCAAGGCTCCAGTCCCAAGCCCCAGGGGGCCCGTCTGATGATGCCTGCCAGAGGCTGAAAGCCTGTCTGGTCGCCACCGGTGAGCATGGCTTCCTCCACGTCATAATCTCGGTCTTCGTTCTTCTTGTTTGTCATGCCGCCAACGAGCGGCGACACCTCAGATGTCGACGCTGGCATGATGTTCAAGCTTGTGTGATCGGAGCTGGATGGCGACGGGGCCATCTCTCGGGCGGTCGCGTGCCACCGCGCCAGCTCCTCGTCCTTCGCAGCAAGCTCCTCAGCCAGGGCATGCGCGCTGAGCTGCGCCTGGTGAAGCTCAGCAGACGTCTTGTGTATCTCCATATTGGCATTGTTAGCATATTCCTCAGCCTGCCGGTTCGCTATCTCCAGTTCCTACACAACGCCAGAGCCCGTCAACGAACTTGTACATCCTCACAACGTGATAGTCAGATAGGGGCCAAGGCATAGCTTACCATAGCATTTACCAGTTTGACGCGTGCACACACGAAAAAACTCGCTATGTGCCCCAACATCACCGTGCCATATATTCTTTGCCCTCATCTGACAACTCTTGTATTCGTCTGCTCTTGCACATCTTGCACTGCCCCATCGCACTGCCAGATTAGCGAAAATGTTGCAAGACAAACAGTCAGGCAGAAGGGACACAAGGTGACACAAAGGGACCACAAACAATAGGCAATGCGGTAAGAAAGCAAACGGCCGTGTCTATGAATCCACCAACTCACTAGAGTGACAACCTCCCTAATCAGGGACAGATAACGAAATTCAAAGAACCACCACCACAGTGGCAAACTTTACTGTTGGTACCTGTGTCTTCGCGCTCAAGTGAGCTTCAAGTTGTTTGGCACGGGCATCCAGCTCTGCAGCATTGCTCCGGAAGGCTTCCAGCTCCCCACACTTGACATCCAGGTCCCTCTGCAGGCTCGAAAGCCGTTGTTCTGCAGCTGCCAGCTTTTCTTGTGTATCTGCTGCACTGTGTTCAGCCTGCTGTGCAGTGTGCGCCCAAGCAGATAGGCGTTCAATCTCCTGCGCTTGTGATGAAACCTGCTGTGTCAACATCTTAGCATTGTCTTTCGCAGCAGCCAGCTCCGATTCCAGTGACCTCTTCAGTTGATCCAATATGGGGTACTGGTTTGCCTGCCACTTCACTGACTCTAGTTCTTGTGTCCTTTCGTCCAATTCGCCTTGCAGGCGAGCGGCCTCAGACTGAGCCTCACTCAGCCTTGCTGTCAGGCCAATAACATCCTGCTGCTTGGTTGCAACATCAACATTCAGTGCCTTAATCCCGGATCGCAGGTCTTCTACCTCGGAGGACTTGGTTTGCACATCTGCATTCAGCATTGATATGGATTCATTTGCCTGCTGCTTCAACTGCTCCATTTCTTCTAGTTGCGAGGTCAATTGAGCTTGGAGTTGGTTTGCCCTGTCATCGGATTCCCGCAACTTAGTCTCCGCAAACTCTGCAAGCTCCAGTGCTTCCTCAACTTCTGTGGCACGCGCCATCAGTTTTTCTGCAGCATCTTGTTGAGCCCTGCCACACTGGCCCTCAGCATCTTCAAGCTTTGCACCAAGATCATTGATTGTTGACTTCTGCTCATCGACAAGTGCAGCTAGCTGAGCACACTCCTTTTGAGAAGCTTCCAATGACGTCTCCAGTTGTCTCATGTCCGCTTCTGATGCAGACAGCCGATCCATAAGGCCAGCCCGCTCAAGACCACTGGACTCCATAGTAGCACCCAAATCCCTCACCTGAGCTTGCACAGCCTCACACTCGTTAGACTTGATTTGTAGATCTTTTTCCAATCGTTCGATCGTCTGAAGAGCAGGTTCCAATCGTTCTGACTGTCTCTTTGTCTCTTCATGTTCACTTTCAAGTGCATCGAGTTTGCTGCCAAGCTCCCTTACAAGATTTTGGGCCGCTTCAAGCTGGTCAATCTTGCCTGACAACTCCAAACGTAGGTCCTGCAGGTCTCTTGTTTTGCAACGAAGCTCGTTCTCCAAGCGCTCGATGCTCTGTAGGGCAGGCTCCAGCCTTTCTGCTTCAGCCTGCAGTGCAGCCATCTCTGTGTCCCTTGAAGCCAGGGCCTCCTTGCTTGCCGCCAACATCCTCCCGTACTCCTCCACTGTCGACCGCGACTCTGCACAATCAGATTCCAATTGGTGAAGATGCTGAGAAACAGACATCAGCTCTTGCTCCTTGTCCTCAAGCTTCTGCTGCAGCACTGCTGCGCCCTCTTTGGACCCCTGTGAGTGCTCAGCACGCAATGACTCCAGCTCTTGACTGAGCTCAGCTGCGGCCGTCTGTGATTCGGACAGCTGTACCAACAAATCAGCTCTCTCCATCTCTACCAAGGCAAGGCTGCCTTCTTGCTCTTTTGCCTCCCTCTCCAATTTCCCCAGCTCATCATCTCTCAGTTGCAGTTTTTGTTTGAGCTCAATAATTTCCTGCACCTGAGTCCCCAACTCTCCTTCCAATCGTTTGACAGTCTGGAGAGCTGGTTCCAGCCTTTCAGCTTGGCTCTTCAGATCTGTCACCTGCGAACCCAGCAAAGCAAGCTCCTCCTCCTTGGCCTCCACCTTCTGTGCTGTCTCCGCTGTGGCATTCTCTGTTTCCTGAAGTTCACTTCGCAGTGTGTCAATCTCAGTGTTGGCAAACCTCAACTCCTCATCCTTAACACAGAGCTGCTGCTGCAAGGAGCTAAGGGTGCCCAGCTTCTCTTCAGCATCCTTCACCTGTGACTGAGCTGCTTTCAGAGCATCCCTGAGCTCGTCCACTTGCAACATGCTCGATTCAAGCTGCTCCTCTTTCAGCACCATGGCAGCGTCGAGAGCCTCCCTGTTCTGGACTAAGCAGTCCAGTTCACCCTGAACGGCTTCCAACTTTTCTGCCTTCCCGCTGAGCTCATCATTCTCAGCAATCTTCTGTGAGACTTGTTCATATACTCCATCCAGACGAAGCTGCAGGTTCTTGCACTCCTCATCAGCATCCTGCACTCGTTGCAAGGCTTCCACCAACTGTGCCTCTGCGTTGCTGGACCGGCCCTCTGCTTCTTCGAGTTGGGCCCTACAAACACATGGACAGTGAGGCCAGCTCTAGACCACAGCAACAGAATGTTCTGCTGGTGAATAACGCAATTGTTGCGCAAGGATCCCAAACAGAGCCACGTTTCCCTTGCAGCAAGTTTGTTATTATTTCCAAAGGCGTTCAGAATGCAGAATGCACAGCGGCACTTGACTCTCATGCTGTTGTGGTCACAATACTGTCAGTTCAGTTTAGCAATAAATTAGCTAACGTTCTGTCTAATTCTCCTGTTGTCCATTCCACCGTTTCCACTGAGAATATTGCCATGTCATCCACTCTCACAGTTCTTGCACAAGGTGATCATGGCCAGGGACATGAAAAACCAAAAGTCAATACCAAATAGAGTGAATAGTCTTCAGTTCAGGAATCTGACACTAAATCCCACCTCAGCTCCACAATCTGCGACTGAGCACAGGTGAGCTCCTCCTTGGCTTTTGCCTGTTCCCCTGCAGATTCCAAGGCGTCCTGTTGTTACGGTACCAGAACAACAAGTCAATACTTTACAACACAAATACGCCATGCCGTCAACTTGGCTACCACAAGAATTCTCCGGACTGGTGCAACACAAACGACTTGTGAAGGCAACTTTCAAACAGTAGGGTCCATCTGCAAAGAAGCAGCAAAGAGAAATGGACATGGCCTGGTGTACGTCAACAGTCCTGGGGAACAATCAACAAATGCAACGTTGTTGATTCCACCACAAATCATCGGTCAAGATGCATGCTGAGCTCTGAGGACCAAAGCCAATACAGCAGACTGCTCCCAGGGAGTCAAGCAAACCCTGGCAAACCGATATATTCACACACACCTGCAGTTGCCGGACGTTCTGCTGCTCCACCTCCATATTGGAGCGCAGGGTTGTTGCCTCACTCTCCATTACTTCCAACTGGTGCATGGCTGCCTTAAGCGCATCCTTGTCTGCATTGGCTGTCGCCTGCACCTTCTCAACCTCAGCAGCTGCCCGTTGTGACTCTTCTTGGAGCTTTTCAATGCTGCCAACAAGCTCCTGATTCTCCTTTGCAGCCTCCTCTAGGCGTCTTTGCAAGTCCCCAATCTGCATGGCTTCAACACCAAGCCCTCTTGATGTAACAACATGTGCAGGCGAACACCCTTCTGATTCTGGTTCGATATCCACTGGTGGGTTTGAGGATTCTGAAACTAGGGATTGCTTTTCAGATTCCAACTGAGCAAGCTTAGCTGCCACATTGTCATGGGCGGTTTTCAGCTCATTGTGACGAGCTGACCATTTTTCATCTGTGTCAGCAAGCTCCAAACGCAGCGATGCCACCAGCGCTTCTGACTCAGAAAGCTTTGAGTGAACTCCAGCATCTTGGGAAGCCAACTGCCGAGCCCACAGCAGCAAAAGTCAGAGACTAACACAACTACACGCCCAACGTTCCATCACCGCAAGTACTGATGCAGTTGCACTGATACTGCAACAAGTGACAATTTCCAGTACATCCATGCCTGTGTACATCCCATACAGTGCCAACTCAATGACCATATCAGCATAATCAATCTAAGGAAACCCACATCAAAAATGACAACCATTGAATGATTGGCAATCGTTGGGAGAGAATACCAATGGCATGCAGCACAAGTCCGAGAACAATTTCATACCATGAATCTAGGATGCATATCACATGTGACAAGCAGAGATACATCACAAGTACATCACAGCAGAGTGAAGATGCTACCTTCTGCTCCAATTCAGAAACCTTCTTGTTCTTTTCCCTGAGCACGCCCTTTAGTTTCTCGAGATTGGCTTTTGCATGTCCCAAAATGTTCTGCACGCAAGAGCAACAGCTCATTAGAAAGCACACCATCTGTTTCTAGGTCACAAATGCCGCTCCAAAATTGAGAACCAAACAACTACAGGGCATACAAAGTACAGGGCATATAATGAAACAGATCTTGCTCGTCGTGAAGCAGAGCCAAAATCAAACTTCACATCAGCCCACGTGGAAGTGTGGCGGCTCTGCACATCAAGTGGTGGACAGCACAACACAGCTGAGCGCATGGCTTACGTCGTATTTGTCCCGCTGTTGCTGTATTTTCTCCTTCTCTTCCTTGAGCAAATCCAAGTCCGATTTCAAGGTGGTGACTTCTTCTTCGAGGCTCTCTGTTCGCGTTTCTAGTGTTGCCCTCAACCCCCCAAGCTCAGCCATGTCAGACTTCAGGATATTGGCCTCCTTCTGAAGACTTGTGATCTGGTTCTCCAGTGCTGTTTTGGCACCCCCCAGCTCCTCCACCTGTGCCCTGAGGCCCTGGTTTTCTCCCTCCAACTTCTGCAAAGTCTCACCTGTACGCTCAACATTGCTGAGGGCTGCTTCAAGCTGCTGCTGCAGTTCGCCCGTTTGTGTCTCTGTTACGCCACCAGCACGGGCCCCTGCAAGTTCAGTTACAACACTGCTGTGCTCCTGCTGCAGCTCATCAAATTTCTTCTGCAGCTCTTCCATATCTTCTCTGGACCTCAGAAGCTGCTCTTCCACTTCAGAACTCTTCAATACATTCCCCCCATCCACTGCGTCATCGAGTTCTACAGCACCTGCTGCATTGCTGTCTTTTCCACCCGCAGATTTGATACTGTCAACCTCCTGCTTAAGCGAATTGACCATCTTCACAAGTGCTGATTTCTCCCCCATGAGGACAACCACTCTTCCCTTGGAGACAGCCTTCTGAACTTTCAAGGTGCCATTCATGCTCCTCAATTCGTCGTTTTCTTTTCTGAGCACAGAATAGTCCAGTTCCATTTGCTTCATCTTGTCAGGTTCGCCTTCCAAGAGGGGCTTTGACTGTAGCCACACAGGCAACGGGCTAGGTGAGAGCCAGTCAAGTTAAAGCCATCATTCATCAGTTCCAAACTCGCAGCCATTTAGGTCGGAGCAACAAGTTCACGTGATAATCAACATAAGTATGCATATGCAACAAACGTGCAAGTGAAAAAGCAACAGTGAAAGCAATCATGCAGACAGATCGATGCCGTGCAGAAGACATTTAGGGCAACCAGTCGTTTACATTTTCATGCACAATCACAAACACTCATTGCAAACAGACCACCCAGCGGTGTCATCATCTTGACTCTGTGCAAGCTGTAGTCACATACCTGTATGGCTTCCAGTTCTCGTGGCACCGACACCCTTTTCCTGCTCAGCTGAAGTCTCTCAGCACGTAAGTGCTCATAAGCTTCTGGAATTGATCTGTCAAGGTACTGTCAGGAGCACAGCGGCAAACACAATCTACGGTTAGTTGTCCAACAGGTGACATGCATCTTATCAGTGCAAAACTTCATAGGACACAAGGGAATCAATGCAAGCATAAATGTTTCCAACACTGTACTGGCAACTATGCTCAAGCTCATTCCTTGCTCCTGAACACGACACGATGAGGGCAATGAGCTGGTGACCAAAAGCTACGCAGTGTCAGATATAAAGACAGTTTGTCAATCTCTGTGTCTGATATTCAGCTGCTTTGGTCCCCAGCTCATTGGTGTCATTGTGTCAAACTCCAGGCAACAGGTATACACAACAACAAGTCCCCTTACGTCTTCTTTGCGCCAGCCACTCTTCCCAAACTTGGCAGGGAGTTCAGCACCACGCATTTCCGCGTCTGTCTCCATCCGCTGCACTTTGAGCGTCCTGAAATTCTCGAGCTGCGCGCAGACAAGGAGGCAGCACAGATCAGACACTCAGGCCTTTGGCAATAAGCACAGCCAGCGGCCCTTCTCCAGAGCACCAGCTGACAAATCGGCCAGGATAATGCAAGCCCTGCACGCGTCCAAACGACAGCACGCCGTAGCAATTTGCAGGTGGCGGTTGGCTCGAAGCGCCGAGGTTGTCCGTTTGGGCCGCGGCAATGTTGGTAGTTATGGTTAAGACCCACGAACGCACACGACATCTGCAGCTCAGCGAGCGGAGGCAATGGAAGCTGCCGACCAGATGCTCGGCATTTTCAACCATAAAAACGCGATGAAGTCCCCGGCGACCGTGGCAGGAGCCACTTGCTGGCCTGGTCTTGGACGCGTTCGGAGCGCCCACGGTCACCCCAATGCAGACAGTACGTGCCTAGTACAAGAACTCCAACCGCGCTGTCTCTGAATCTGAAAAGTCTCAGAACATCCAAACCGCGGCAGTGGGCGCCACAGGGCGGCAACAGCACGCGACGCCGGCCTTCCAAACCCACCACGGCGTCCGCGAAGCGCCTCACGACGCGCACTGGCGAACGGCGTGCATCCCAACGCCGGACGGAAACTGCTGCCAACGCCATCGGCCACGGCTGATGTGACCAGACTAACCGCGGCGGAGCAAACCCCTGCCGCGGTCGCTCCAAAGACAAATTGGTCCCATTCCGCGGTGCAGCCGCCCCGGCGCTTAGCACTCACCGTCCTGAACCCAAGCTCCTTCAGGTACAGTGCTTTTTCCTCCGGTCCCATCGCCTTTTCCTCCTCCAGCGAGAGCTCGAGGAAAGGCGGGTCAACCGCCGCCAGCGCATCCATGGACCCCATGGCCACCGGCACTTCGCGCGAATCACAGGCCGGTCACTGCAGCATTAACGCGGGGAGCTGTCTGCTTCCACGTGTTTGGTCCCTCAAGCGACCGCGCAGCCGCGGCCTAGGGTATCCTTGTCCGCCCTCGTCGTCTGTTGTTGTGCCTGACCCAGCGGTTAGGCCGCGTCTGCCAGCCGCAGTGTCGGGGTGGCAGGGCGCTGGTCAAGACGGGGTGTGACCAGCACCGGCGCTGTTGACATGTCAGCCGTACCCCGCAAACCGGGGCAAAGTTCGTGCACCAGACCAGCACACTGCGTGGGGAGGGGGGGGATGTAGCGGTCAGCGAGACAGGGCCTTGGGAAATCCGCCCCATCCACAACACCCATTGGCTGCTTCGTGTCTCGTGGACAACTTCCTGGATCCTCCGACCACGGGGTCACGTGTCGCACAGGAGCTGAAAAACGTTTTTCGGCAATGTTTACATTGCCGATCGACTGAGTCAAAGACCGAGTTTCATTGGCCATTCATTATTGGTCATTATTTATTATTGGTCGTTGGCCATTCACCAATGAAACTCTTATGATTTTCAATCCCCGATGCTGGGCTCGCCAATTCGTGGAGCGCCTGCCGCACTGACGATCGTCAAGAAAAGGTCCCTTCCCCTTCAGGCGGCCCAGCTGCGCGGTGCTGCAAACGAGAGCGGGGAAACGTCCTGCCCTGCCCACTCGAACCCAATTGAGCCCATACTTGTAAACACTCTTGCAGGACCAGCAGCATGTACACGAGAGGCAACCCCTCGAGTCGGTCGAAAATACGGTTGTCCTTGAAATTCGACCGACCACACAGCCCGAGTGCAACTGATAGATGGACGTTATCCTCAGAGATGACATTGTCGTGCGTTTCAAGCATGACTGAAGTTTATTTCCCAAAACCAGCAAGGAAGGGACAAGCTGCACAGAGTGGACACAAGTGCCAGAATCGCGGCGGTAGAGCATGGGCACCAACGGTGTTCAGATTTTCTACTGGCGCTGAAAGAGCGAATGACCAAACGGATTGTGGCAGCGGTCTGTTTGAAGACTATGACTGCATCCCACTAGGATGTTCCTTCGATCTGAACGTGGTGTTTGGATAGGTGCGCGCATTTGACCATCATTTGTGTCAGGATTGTGAGCAAATTTTTAATTCGTCAAAGTTCAGCTGATCCAAGTTGTTTGCCGAGTTCAGGTGCACACCGGGGCCTGGTACTTTGACTTGATGGTGGGCCTGATCCAGTACATCACAAACGATGATGTTTGGGCCCCTGACGGTCAAGCGCTTCTTACATTACCTGTGTAAGCAAGTGAGTCCGGTTAAGGAGCTGGATATGAAGGCGTTTTGGGCATGGGTAATCTTGAGTGAAATTCACATCAACAAATAATCAGCTCGTCCGCGTATTAAACATTGTGTGCAAGAACACATGAACATTCTGTCGAAACTAACCATCTGTTAGGCAGCCGCCGAATTGTGGGTTCCACTCTATTCTCGTTTTCTGGGTACCTTGGTGTGGTCACCGGGGTGTGATGATGACAGCTGATTGGCGATTATGTTTCCTGATTTGTATCCGGCTTGTTTTGTCCCGGAACACGTACGGGGTCTCCTGAAAGGTGGATGAAAAATAGGATTCACAGCCCACATATCTCATACAATATATCTCACAGCGGAAAGTTTCTCATTCAATGTCGCCGCACAGTTGTTTCGTCGAGGGCTGTTAAGTACTGGCGCCTCCTATGCCTACCGGTTTCTGGCTGCACCACCATCCTGGCACACAAACCGGAGTGAAGAGTCGCTGTGCAAAGGACGGCCGACTAGCAAACGCGGCGGACGGGGTCGCCGCGCCCCGCCGCTTGTCTCCCCCGGCGGCGCGATGACGGGACTGCAGGATGACGAACCGATGGCGATCGAGGCCACCTGCGGCGTGCCATCGTGCCGGCAGGTCGACTTCGTTCCGTTCGAATGCGCTCATTGCGGCGGCACCTTTTGTCCCAAGCACCGTATGGACGATGGACATGATTGCGCAGCTCGGCGCCATGGCGATGGGGACGGGCAGGCCATCGTGTGTCCGATATGCGCCCTTACGATCGACACCCCGCCGGGGGCGACCAACATGGAGGCGCTGCTGGGGCACGCGCGCAGCGGTGCTTGCAATCCGCCTGAGCGCAGCGGACTGGATGGCGCGGATCCCTGCGCCGTCGCCGGTTGCGGGGAGAGGCTGACGGCTGTGAGTCGATTCCCTTGTGAACAGGGCGGGATGGAATTTTGTGTCTCCCATCGACTGGGTCGGGACCACGGCAGCGTGCCGCGAACAGGTGGGTGCGCCTTCGCGTCAACGACACCTGCGTGCGGGCGGACACTTCTCATTGGTGCTGGTTTCTCGGGCATTGGCTTGCATTCTGGGCCCCAGTCATGAAAAGGAGTTGCTGGGGCGTTTTGGGATCAAAGCAGGACATTTCTGAAAGGGTAGCTTACAGGCACTCAATAGCGCATAGTAGGAATCGTGTTCACAGCTGTGCTCATAGCTTACACAGTTTGTTTTTGGGTTCATACATGTGTATTTCCAGTTGCTTGCTTGGCCATGTTTGCGGTTGGTGCTATGCCAGTGTGCCATAAATGGAATGGGACATTTCCCACAGCCTCACTCGAATCGTGTCCGGATGTTCACAAAGATTGAAGCCCTGGTCATTTTTTTTCTGAACCTGCTAAATTTTCCACTTGTCCAGAGTCAATACCAGAGTCTGTCAGCGACCGCTGGACCACCTCATTGCCAAGCGCCTCTGGAAAGCAGCAAGGACACCTTTTTGGAAGACAAAATGGCGAATCTGCATTGCCGCAAATAGCCTCTGTGTGGCCACCCAATCCACCTCTGTTTGCGAATCGAGAAGTGCTCGAGGTGGGGAGGGAACATTTGCCCACTTCTTGCTCTTATGTCTGCTTTCTTGCATTCATTCTGGGTACTCTTGTGGGAACCACACTGAGTGTAGAAACATTGATCAGCTCATTGCACTTATGGATTTGGCATTGCTGTTTGGACAGGAACAAGTAGGGCAGGATGCTAACTCAAAGGACGATTCCAGCTTTTCTTTCATGCAAGTGCCACGACACAAAGGCAGGTTCAGAGTTACCTCAGATTATGATGTTGTTGTCACCAATGCTGAAATGCTCCAGAATGGTGTACCGGCTGTCCTTTTGTCAGAAAATGATCTGCGAGGCTGGGATTGAACACCACGAATTTCTGCAAATGTTGATTTGTGTTGTGTGGATGCATGTGCGAACGTGATCGCTTCCCATGGTACTTGGTAAATAGCAGAATGCCTTCATCTAGCATGAAAGTCAGGGTGCCTTTCATTGCTGATTTCTCTGTGCTATTGTCGGTGAGATAGGACACGTTGCATTGAGTCTTCTGTCGCCTTTCATCGACATTGATGAAGAAAAATTCTTTGGCAACTACATGGGGCAGATGCTCAGTGGCGAGGTGTCCCCTGAGGAGTGCATTTTGAGGTGGATGGAGTACTGTTGGCAGCAGGCGGCGGCGATTAGGTAGGACTTCGATTCACAGCCAGTTACCATGGATGTGATGCTAATTATTGAACGGTAGCTGAGAGAGAACTCAAACTGACCAAAAAAGCCAGGGAGATCAATTAACTTGGAGCGTATATATCATTCCTGCACAGTGTTTTTATTTTCTTTTGCAGTCGCATTCGATCAGAACATGATGTAGTTAGCAGTGCGACTTTGCTGGATACTTACAACACACTCATGCTGTAGGTGGGATTGTGGCATGAGGGGATTGCTATGAGTTTTGGGCATGCATTGCAAGAGTTGCCTGGATAGCCACATTTTCCTGCTTTCATATGTACCTGGGGTGTGTGACTGTTTCCTGCCTTCCACTCAGGCATCAGGCATTGGAGCAAAGGCCTGAAGACAGCATTTGCGATGGCCTGTCACAATTTGCAGACTTTTGGGACCTGGAGGGTGCTACATGGTCATTGGTGTGGCATCTGTACCGGAGTGGCCCCACACCTCTCCACCTCATTCCAGCACAGTTTCGTAAGTTGAGCACCAGCCAGCAGCTGGCACATTGGGTCACTGATCACGAAGACCTCAAAAGGTGAAATGGCATACCCCACCACATAATGCTCTTGACCAGAAAATTGCTTCGCTTCTCCTTTTCCAGGTTGTTGCTTACACACACTACAGTAGACATCTCATCTCCACACATGCTTGTCTTCATTGAAAAATGCATATCTGGCAATGCATGGTAAGGGAGGACCATTTGGGTGCACATGCAGCAACTTTGGAAATGATGTGCATATCCTTGACCCGGTCCTGAGCCTGGGGGGCTGTGCTCTGTTGTCTTCACCTTGATTTAACCAGGTTGATGGTGGACAAGGGCATTAGGCATGGGTTTTCTGCTTAATTTGTCGATTTCTTGCATTGTGTGCAGCTGTTCTTGTGCACTCAGTAGAATGCACTGCAGCCCTGCTTCCAGGTTTGTGATATTAGGGCTGTGTTGAAGGTGTGCAAAGGTAGTGGCCTGGCTGGAAGACCTGCAGCGGTCAGCTATGGTGTCGGGCAACAGGGTGCTGACTGAGTCCCAAGCTGTGAATAGAATCAAGGAAGGCTGTGCTGTGTGGAGGGAGTCTGCCACATGGGTGAACACACAAGCATCAGGTATGCCTAGTCGTGGCAACATCGCATCATACACATCATGCAAGTACAACCCATCACAGCCACTTTTCATAGCAATTTGGCACCACTATTGGCCTAATGAAATTCAATGGCTATGGAGGTTGTGGAATCAAGAACAGTGTTTCTGGGGATAAGAGTACCTACACAGTGTGCTTTTGCATTTTTCGACCTGTTGTAAGCAAGCTTTTCAGCACAGTAAGATCCTTCAAAAGCAACTAGTGGGTAAAGGGGCAAGCTTTCAGCAATCTAAGCAGACTGTGCAAGGTGTGTGGAGTACGGTGCGTTGGAGCAAGTTTCCACCTTTCAGTGATAAAGCACACTTTTAGTTCTTTCCATCTTTGGCAACATATATGTTCTGAGGTGGACTATGGGCCAACAGCCAATACTGATATTATCTTTTTAGGTGTCTTGAACAGCCACTCATTATGGTGATCACAGCTGCTGCCAGATGTGCACATTGCCACCTTCCTGTCACAGCACATGTGAACGCTGCTGAACCAGCAGTATAAGCACCTTCGCAAACAACTATGCAGCCAGTTGCCTCCTCCGTCTTCTTGGCAGTGCACAAGGGGAACATCTCCCTTATGAATCCAATGAATTCCTTTGATAACAATGTGTTCACAGATTGCAAGAGATGTTTCCAGCACCTTGAAGGCGTTGATGGGAACATAACGTGTCAATCCTTTCTTTGTCCACACTCCATCAATCTGTGCCAGATGCATATATCAGTCTGAAAAGCGGCAGGGAAGTGAAGAGAATGGGGAGTCAATTTCGATGGGATGGGGAGTCAATTTCAACAGTTTGGAATTGAGGCCTATTTGTGAAGATTAGATCCTGTCAATGCAGCTGTATCACAGGAAACATATCAGTAAATGATTGGAAGCCCGAGGCTCACCATCTTCCCACTTTGTCTGGCATTGCAAAAGGAAGTGAATTGCCTAGAATGTATGTCCTGCCGTTCTGAAGAGCTAGAGAGGTTCTGAGGCCTTCAATAATTTGCATATTGCAGCTCATGTAGATTACATTCAAGCTTCAAATGAGACAATTGAAAGCAATGCTGTGCTCAACAACAACAATGTATGGCTGTTGCAGATCATCTTGTGACCAATCTTGACCCTGATGCACCTACAAGGCAGCAAAAGCTGCTTGCCCCTGGGGATGCAAAATGGCAGGACCAATTGAACATGGCAGTGTGGATGCTCATTCGTGCAGGTGGCAGCTGCGGAATGGAATCGCAAATTTTGAATTGGACTCTGTTGGTTCGAAACATTTTGTGAAATCTTGCAGCCAAGTCTTTGCACCCCATTGCTGTGCCAATTGTTTCTTTGTATGCAGAACAGCATGCAGTGTGCATGTGCTCCCCTGTGTTGTCAGTTTACATAAGTTATGAAGTCATGTACAGCAATTCTGGGCTGTGTGAATGGAATCAAAAACTGGCCTACTGGCCCAAAATGTGAACCATCACCGCATGTCATTGCACTTGAATGCATGTATGTGAATTGTGTTTGTCACAGTTGTCAAATGCACTTGACAAAACAAGACACTTGCACCTGGAGGGGCACCGACAGGCACAGCAACAACCACGCAGTACTTGCTTGTTTTCCAGTCAATCATAGAGCCAGAAGCCACTGCAGTCCACCCCTACACCAAAAGAAAGCCAGTTGCCTCAGATGTTGTCCCATGGTGCTGAAAATGTGACCTGGTTCCACCCCAAAAGAAACTAACACCAAGTGTGAGCACACCAGAAAAAGAGCAAAAAAAGAAGAAATGTGTCAGAAGTGGTACCCTAACTGAACTGCCATTCTGTGTTTATGTGTGACATGTGACATGCACCTACTGCATTTGTGGGCTGTCCATGCCAGTATACTTTCTGAGCCGAATGAAGTTATCTGCACCACTGTATGTCAATTGACAGGTGGTACCTGTGGCAGAAAAGCTCTCACAATATCTACTGCAACTGAATCTTTCGTGTACCTCCAGGTCGGATGGAAAAGGCACAAGAGTTGTGTGCAAAAGCTGGCCAGCCTTGGAGGGCAGCCTCATTGTCAGGCTGTGGCCCACTTGGGCCACTCCCTTTAGGGCACACAGTCACTTCAGATGTTCAAGATGATTTCGATCTGCACTTGGTTGAAGAGTTCCACCAAGATCAGATAGGAGCAGAAGTGGACTTGGGTGTGGACAGGGAATGGTTACAACGGAACCTGTTTCGTTGGGCATGTGCTCAGATTGCATCACAGACAAAGAGCTCTCCAGCAGCAAGAGGTGAGCCAGTGAATCCACAGTATTGCACTCTCAGAATGGTGCAGCAGGTTGATTTGTTTGGGGAGAAACAGTCAGCATTTGTATGAGTGCAGTGATGTTGCTTTTCAAGTGGGAGGCTCTTTTGGAATGTGCAATTGTAGTAACTGCGTTCGTCCCCCAAGTCGACACTATTTTGATGCTGCATTTGCAAGGGGACCCTATGTTTAGAACTCGATGGGGAGATGCAGGCAGGCATTGGGAATGCAGCAGGAACTCACCCACTGGTAACAAAGCCCTGCTCTGTGTATTTCAATCGTTCAGCAGGACAACAGCAAGACCTAGCTCCTCATTTTGTTCTGCTGCAGAGTGGCATTTACTCATGAGCAGTTGCTGGGTGTGTTCAGTGTACAGTCTGATTTGTGGAATAGGCTGGCAGCACAGTTCAAATGGGGGTTTCAGGGTCAGACAATTGGTATTTGTTTTGCTGACTTGACAGGTGTGAGCTTCGAAAGCGCTGTTTATGGGGTTCTGTGTGGCGACGTCGATGCCATGCTGCCTGCCTGCCAAACATGGGAAGATGCTGTGTGGGCCCATTGCAGAGCATGGCTTGAGTTGACTTCAGAAACCACCATTCTTCAGCACAAAGAGAACAGCCTCAGTAGCAACAGCAACAGCAACACGCAAGTGCGGGTAAACTTCTGTTGTCTCCTGGGAATGCCAAATCATATTCGTTGCAGCTTCTCTTGTTCTCTTGTGAATTGGATACCTCCTGACTGTGTGTGTACTGTGAGTGCAGTTTTGATGCATTAATCCACCAACCTCACTGATTTTATGCAATGTTGCATCGGAACGTGCACAAATAATCCTGTCATACAGTGAGGATTGGCTCACATTAATATCGTTCGTTTGCAGAGGCTTTGATTTTGTTTTGAAGAAGCTACTATTCCATCAATTGTGTAGGATTGAGAGGATGCCAATCGTAAAGTTTCGAGAAGTTCATGTGCAGCAATGACAACAATTTTCGGAAGTCTGAAGCCACATCTGGCGATTGGAATTGCTCGTACAGACTGCGTACCAGCAGTAATGACAAGTAACAGAGAATTTTCAAGAGGCCCGGCACCTAACAATTCAACACAGCCATTCTATTTTCAGAAATGATGCCACTGTAGCTGTTTGGAGCAGGCTTGTTGGAATCCTGTATGCGTTGTGTCCACAGAAGCCAATGAGCCAGGCCAGCAGAATTGAAGCTCCTTGTCCTTGCATTGTTGTGCAAGTACTCACCTGTGTTGCTTGTTTGCAGGCAGTCTCATCTCCAAGGTCTGACAGCTACGCGAACCTTGACCGGCTTCGAAAACTGGAGGCAAGTGCAACCCTATGGTCCCAACCTGCATGTTCCCTTGGATTGAATTGAAAGTGACAGTCGCCATTTGCTTCACTTGTTTCCCACTCTTTACTTTCTCCATGGCGGCGACAATCCATGGTCGTGCCTGTTACATCATTGGGGTGCTTGTGTTGCAGGTTCCTGATGGACTCCTGGCACAGTTTCTACCAAAAAGCAAAGTGATTGCAGGAGGGGATGCATCCATTAGCGATGCCTTCAAGGAGGGATTGGAAGTTTGTTCTGGGAAGTGGCCTTTGCAGAGGTAGGATCCCTGTGTCGGAACTGTTAACAGGGAGCATTTGGGTACAGTTTCTGCAAGGATATTTGCACCATGCTGTAACAGCCACAGCAGTGACAGTGCACCACCAGTGCCCTCTGAGAATGAGAATTGAGCCATGCTTATGTCCAGAGGCTATTGTTTCAAAATGAAGCTTTTCCTTTCCCGAGATGTTTTAGTTATTTTGCCACTGTTAGCTCCATTTTTTGATCGCACTTGCCAAATTTGCGGGCAGATGTTTTGTAGAACCTCAGACTTGTGGCATGAATGCTACAGGTTTGCAGAATGACTACTTCCATCCTGCAACCGGAATCCGTATCTTGGATCCATAACTTGTCCACAGGTTGGAATTCCCTTCACCAGCATGTTCATCTGGCAAACACCTTTTGAACAGGGGTTGGGGGGTTGGTTTTTTTGTGTGTGGGGGACGTCTGGGATAGGGGCCTGTGAGAGTGCTGTGACCACACCCATGTCCCAACCACTTTTGGTACTCGACTTGTTTTGTAACAGATAGTTGTGCTGATTTCAACACGTCGCACCATCCAGAAATATTCCCACCATGGTCATTATGCCCATCAAAGTGCACAGCCAAGGTCAATGCGTGGTGCTTGGCCATCAAGAGGCACTGTCGTCCATGCAATTGAACCATCAGCAAGATAGAAGGAATGAGAGACAGGCTGAACAGTCTCAGCTGTGGCCCAGAATGACGATTTTCCATTTCCTTTGTGGCACGTCAGACTGACAGCCAGCCTGCCTGAGAATTTCACTGGGATCTTCACCACCTTGGAGGGAGACCCTGATGCCAACATTCGCCAGGAGTGCCAAAAGCACTTTAGGGTTGTGCAGCGCCTCCTGATATGTGACCAAATGCCAGAATTGCTTGAGAGCCTGTCGGAGTGGCACCCAGGAGCACCGGACCCAGAAGAGGACACGGGCCCGTGGACTCTGCCGAATGCCATAAACCGCAGCCTGGCAAGGTTCTCTGCCCATTTCATCATTATAATGCAGGCGCTTGGAAAGCTGAGTCCAGACAACAGGTGGGTTATTTCTTGCCGCCGAAAGAATGGAAATGCAGACAGCCACCTCTGTTGCATGTGGTTCTGTGGCAGTTGTGATCACTGGTAGGAAAACAGCAACTTCGAAGTTCTCCTAGCAGTATGAGACACATTGTCAACTGCTGTGTTTCGCCATCGCTCCAAAGCTCCACAGCGCATCCTGGAAATGTGTACTGCTTGTCACATTGTGGGCAGCAAAGTGTTCATTCAGTAGTGTGCCAGGTATTCTGTTGTGTTCTGTTCCAATCGCCTGTGTGTTATGCTTACCAGCCCGGCCAATTGTGTTCAACGGCTGCTTGACATATACATTGGCACACTCATCAGCCGGGGGGCCTATGAATTTGTTGCCCCCTGCTGCTGTCATGTGCCCCGCCACGTGAGAGAATGGGCTTTCCGAGCAGTCTTCCGCTGCCTGGAGGAAGATGACGATGCCTCACGGCGAGAATTTTACCAGGTGTGTGGTGTGCTGTGTGTTGTTGGCCTCATGATTGGCACCCAGAAAGCAAAGAACAGGCTCCATCTTACAGCTGCTGAAGATTTTTTGAGTCACTGCAGCGGGGAAATGGACCACCGGTACAAAAAACACCATAAACTGCAATGATTTTGCAGTCAATCTGCAAGGGTCCGTGCCAAGTGAGACTTCTTTTCATTCAGGTCACAAATGGAGCATGCTCAAATTGAACAGCCAGGGATTCTTCCTATTGTCAAGAATTGGCTAGTCACCCAGGTCAACACTCCCTTGCGCCCTTCTCCTCCATTAGAGTATTCTGCCACAGTCCACGACACTGGATTGGACAAGTATCAGACTGTGCCGTTCAGTGGATCAGTAGAAGCTATTGATTGCAGTGTCTGAATGACTTGACTGCTCTCTGTGCACGGTGTGACTGCAGGGCGCTGATAAAGATTTCACGGCATGGAGACAAGAACTGGAAAGTCAGTGGCCAGTCAGCACTGACATCGATGAGTTTGAGCTGCATCGACTGGCCATGACCTGCGCCCTTGATGCTCGGAGTGACCCAGGAACGCAGCCACACACGCGGCTGAAGTCAACCGAATGGCTGTTTATTGCCTTTCAGTCTGGGTTCCAAGGAAACTACGATCCAGATGCAGCAAGGAAGCTGGTTGAACACTACACAAGCTCCATGGAGTTTGTGCTGAAGCTCATTCGGGAGTTTGTAACATTCTTCTTTGCAAACGTTGCTTGCAATCGCTACATGTTGGACCTTGCAAGGAGGTTGGCCTCACTTGTGCCTAAACGTCTGAAGACTGTCGTTGTGGAGGAAGAGGGAGTGGGAGGTCGGGGTGCATCTTTAGTTGAGGTGATGAAGAAAAGCATCTGCCAGAGGCAGCCCGTTTCATTGCTTGACACTGGGGTGGGGCGGGCACTGCATCTGTTGCTGCCTCAATGCTCGTGGCTACTTGTCACACATGCTGAAGTATCTCATAATTTCCTGTGGCAACAACGCGATTCTTAATAGACACTTGTTCACGAAATGCTTCTGTTCAGAGTCCTTGCAGCCACGCTGTATTGTGGAATGTCTTTGTCAAGGTGCTGCACTTGTATCTTGCAAGAGGAGTTGTGGGCTGCTTTTGAAAGTCACCGTTGACACTGCAACGAGGAGGCCGAGCTTGTGGCAATCTCTTTTCTGGAATGAGGCGTTGTAGGGGCGCTTTGTGGAAAACATGCTGACGCAAGCAGAGCTGTGTGCATCTCAGGAGCTGGACTCATGGATTGTCTACCTGGAGATAGAGTCCGAATGTGATGCACTGCTGCAATCCATTGCGAACAGGAATATCAAGGTTCTTGATGGTAGGATCCACGGATTCCCAGATCAGGCAGGGAGGCAGCTGATGCTGGAGAAATGCCAGAGTGCCCTCAGCAGAATTGAGGAAGAATTGGTGAGGGATGGACTAAAGCACAGCTAAGTCACGAATTGGTGTTTTGACACCACCCTAGCTCGCACAATCCCGTGCACAGGGTTACATGGGAAATTTTCATGTCAGGAAGAGTTCTTATCCTGGATATACATGTCCAGGATGTGGTCGTATCCCAGAATAGGGGCGCCCATGTGCAGGATATTGCTGACATATCCTGGACATGACCATATGTAGGATATGGGTGGTCATCCTGGCAGGCGGACATATTGTTGTCCATATCCTCGCCACATCCCAGAATATTGCCATGTCCCGGATTGTATATCTGGGATATAGGGGAACCCCTGTCCTACTCGATACTCAGGACGTTTGACATTTCGACGAAGCACAGCAACTGACACTGCCAGCAGGTCGATTCTGGACCATCGGTCTTATACTGCAGCGTATGTGTACCGTTGCTGTGCTTCCTGGCTTTCAACATCTTTGACGGGCACTCCTTTCTTCCCTGCTCAGATTGCTTGCATGAATGTTGCGAATCACATGGCCTTCACATGGAATTGTTGCCCCACAAGTTTGAGTGATGAGCTTTGTCGAGAGTACAGTCGCTCCGTATCCTGACAAACCCAAATGCGTGATTCCAGCATCCGGAATTTCAAACACACTCGCATGCATTGGAAACGCAATCTTGACGCACAACGTTTGTGCATAGTCAAATGTGAGGCGCCACCTGCGACCTAGCGCGTACCATGTACCCATCGTCTTGTGCGGTGCCGCGTCCCCCTCCCCCCATATGTAGCGGATCATGAGTAACTGCCTTAGGCGCCCGATGTCTGTACCTGTTTTGTTTTGCAGATGCACAGCCACTGGATGTTGCGATTTGTCACCAAGGCCATGAACGGGGACATGGCCAGCAACTGGGACCTGACTTTCCAGCTTGGTGACTTGGCGGTCTCCAAGCACAGCGCCGACATGTGGGGATACAAGCCAGTCACTCCAGACAACGCGCACTTGATCATGTCCAACCTCCAAGAGCGGCTGTCGGCCGCAAGGGAAGATTATGACGTAGAGGGGACCATTCGAGAAGATGATGTGTATCCTGGCATCATCGAAGTCTGCCTCACAGGGGAGGTGGGGCCCCAAGTGACGAGAAACCCCTGTGTCCGCTCGTCCTTGTGCCGAGCGGGGTTTGGACCGCAGCTTGTTGCTGAGACGTTGTAGCAAAATCTGTCTCCTGCGGGATGCCGCCATCGTCCATGCAGTCCTTCATCTTTGACACCCAGTGCTAGCCTTGAGCGTTGTGTGGCATGTGCCGCCGCAGCCGGACATTTCATCTCGATGGCGCTCGCTTGACCCGTTGCTTGTGAGCCAGCTGAGGTTTCCAAAGATGGAGCCAGCTCTGTGCCGTTTGCAATTGCGAGCGCCCTGATTGTTCGATCTGCGTGCAGGACGTCAGCTCTGTGGCGCTGGTTGCCGATGACCTCATCAACACCCCTGGTGCAGGCGTTCCGCCTTGTGCAGTCATCACCATCAACCTGAGGGACGGCAAGACACCGTATTGCATGGAACTCTGCCGGCGAGTGTGCCTGTCGCGGATGGTTGGTTTCGTCATGCAGCTGAGGGAGTACCTCGCGATGTCCGGCGCCGACATGCAGGCCAAGGAATCTGGTGCGCAGCTGCTTGAAGGCTTTGCGGACGAGGATTCGGACACTGGGAGGGTCATGAGCGCTGCCCTGTGTAGATTCGTCGTTGAGACAGAGGCGCGGGTGGTCGTGGCGAGCAAGTGTGAGCCGGTGTTCCTTTCCTGATGATCTAAGGCGCCTGTGCGGTGCACCAGGGCCAGATGGATGGAGCTGACATTGGGTGAATTGCCATTCAACAAAATTTAATTGATCCGCTTCCAAGTGAATTACGCAATGCAAAATTACAGGGCAGGCCTGAACGCCGAACGTTGGTATCAATTCGTTGCAGCGTACACACAGTCACACGGGCGACGTTCGAGATCAGACAACGCCAAAGCGCAACAGCTGCACAACAGAATTGTATTGGACTTGTGCACGGGCCATGAATTTGTGGACCTTGCATGGTCGAAGGTTCTCATTCAATCATCCCAAGCGATGCTGACTACGAGCACTGGGCTGAGAGCCCCATCACCTGGCCCCCACTGTGTGCCAAGGACTGACCTGCGTATTGGCTATTCGCAATCCAGCAGGTGGGCACTCATTGGTCCTGCAGTGATTTGTGCCCGCTACTCGCCTCCCATGACCCGAGCACAGATTCGCATTGAAATCATTCAGTCCAAGCACCCACGTGTACTATACAGCTTGACGATTCCGCACCTTAGGTATGGAACGTTGCCAAAACATGTACAGCGTCTGTTTTGGAATCTACAATCCCCTATCTAGGGCCCTGACATGTACCTTGTTTCCCAACCGTTTGTTGCAAAACGGCCCTTCCAGCAACACATGCCCCTATATGTCAAAGAAAACTATGTCCCCATTGTCCACTATGGCGTAAGTCACATGTACACCATCAGAACTCCCTTCTGCAGCAACAATGTCTTGAAGCCGGAGTTTCCTGCCAGACGGCATGCACACTCGAAGCATGGGCAGGCCTGGTTGCCGGCGTTTGAAGTTGGAATTCGGCTTGAATACATCAAAAACCTGTAGAAGAAGCACAAACGTTCGCAATTAACAAATCCACACAGCTGACTTTGCAGCGCAATTCATCGTCGTCCTTGGGCTCCACCACGCATTTGCTTCAACCCCTTGGTACAATGAGAGGGGATTCGGACACCGACACCTTTCAACTGTACATGAGATGCATCCAGAGCTGGCATCATGTGAATTCTCACCAACTGCGATGTAAGTGGAGGACTTGAGTCGCTATTGTGGGCAATCCTGGGGAATGGGAGTGCATGTCTTTTGGGAGGCGGGTTGCCAGCAGGGCTGAAAAAGCAAGGAAATATTGTCAACTGCGTCATCAGCAAGCGTCACATCAAGATTCCCCACACCGCTGCATGCAATACATGGTGCACAAAGGTGGCTAATCTGCAAATGACACCGCTCGACAATGGCCAACATTACGTTTACCATTCAGAGGCCCATGTAGCTGCCACAGTGCACGGTTTCGTCACAGGCATCGAATAATCGGTGACCAAGCTCTGTCGAAATTGCCCGATGCTGTTGTCATCCCCTCATTTTGCATTCCCTCATACCAAGAATTTCCGGTAATAATTGCGCACGCAATCAGGGAATTTGACCACTATTTGAACACAGGGGAAGCAATCCAACAGCGCTCAAGTTCCATAAGAAGAGCTTCAGTAAATGTTGCAGAACTTGCCTGGCCGCTGTGTCAACAGGGCAATGCGAACAGCCCACCAGAGGGGAGTGGTAATCATGTGCTCTGGTGCCGATGGTGTCCTGAATGCCAAACCAACAGCTCCATCACTCAGCACCCACAGATGTGGTAAGCTAGCCTGCCACAACAGAAATCAAATTCCATAAGCTCACATCCAAGCCCTGCTCCCGCGAGTCGTGCTGCTCTTCTTCATGGCTGCATGCCACAGTATCAGAACATCCACCCTCAGCTTCTGACTCAGTGGCCTCCAAGTGCACTTCAGTTTTGGGCTCCTCCATCTCTGAACGAATGTCTGAGCGCCCTCTCGACCACCCCTCCCATACAATTGATGGGTCGTCTGTGTCAGACAGCTTCCACACTGAAGGGAACCTGCACAAAGAAGACAACGCCAAGCGCTCTGCAGCTCAGTTACACAACGTTCAATTTCTTTGCCAATTTGAAGGAGACGTGCACAAAACATTATGTGGACTTCTCTTTGATGACAGGCTCAACACAGGTCAAAAGCAACAGCCGTGTTCGTGGAGTGTCTGCCTCCAAGGTGCCTCTCCAATCCCTCCCACCTGCGTACGATGTACCCATTCCTCTTTAAATGAGCATACACCTGGTATCTGGCCATGCTGATGCCCACATTCACCTGCATCACAAATCCACACTTCAAACACGTAAGGAATCACCAACGTCGTGTAGTGCATAGCTTACTGGTACAAGTTCAAGCTTGACAAGCATGGACAGCATTCCATGCAATGGGGTGTATCCTTTTGCTCCCTTGTTCGACGCTGAAGCATTGAAAGGTGACATAACAGGCCAATTCAAGATATAATTACTACGTGGTATGTCATCAAGCACAACAGCAGGCAAGCCACTTGGAATCCCCAAGGCCTTGTAATCGGAATCCAAGTCCATGTATGCTATGTCACAGTCAGCACATCTGCGTCAGAGTCAACATAAAAGCACATTTCCTCTCACCATTAATTCATACGCCTCCTTCATGGATAGCATTTTGAGGTTTCCATTCAGCTCCTCCTGAAACAGCACAAGGTTTCCTCGATCCACAAGGTAACTGTAGACCAAGGAAACTGACATGAGTCGAAAGAGTAGAGCAGAACAAGGCCAAGCTGGCAGCAACCACTTAGGGCCGCACTGTTACAGTCACTTGGATGTAGATTTCTATCCAAGAGTGCCAACCGTGATCTTGAAAGGCAACATGGGAGAGTCCTGTTCTTTTCCAATCTTCCCTTGCAGAGATCCTCAGTGAGCATAGGTCGTTGAAAGATGGCACCATCCACTTACACAGCCTCCTCCATGTGCAGGTTAAGCTTGCGATTTTGATTGAAGCCTGCATCCAAATTCCACAAGGGTCATCGGCATTCCGCACTGAGACTACAAACCATTCCCAGCGCTGCGCACCTCCAGCAACTCTCTTCTTGTGACAATCAGGGGCACCACTGCATTCAGCGTCATCATTGAAACGACAATCCATTCAACAATCAACGCGAGAACGCTCACCCATGCAATTGAGGAGAGCTCCCCTCTGCCTGGTAACTTCTGCAGTGCCAGTCGACGGTCTGGCTACTGCCGTGGACATGTCTCTCCTGCCCAAGACGTTAGACAAGTACTCAGCCTCATTATTATCAAGACGGACGCTTCTCTCCTCTCTTGATCTCGGACACTTCGTCGGCAACCGCCGGGTGCCCAACCGCGTCATGCAGTGCACGATCAAAACGAGTTACCCCGATCGTGGCGTGGCCCAGGCGTCGCAAAGCTGCTGCAGCCTGTCTTTCAGGGAGTCGTCTTGGTCTCTCTCCTTGGGCCCACCACGGCGGAAAATGGAGGCAGGCTGCGAAGAAGACATGTGCGTGCGCCCGGAGGTAGGCGCATCGGCTGGGGGGGGTCCTGAACAAGGAGGTTCTGAAGTTCCAAAAAGATTTCAATGCAATTGTTGGGCTGGGGTTCCAAGCTTGGTTTCCAATCTTAGGACCTAGAACAGCAGAAGCTCAGGTTTGATTTCGGTCTTGTGAGGGGCCCAACATTTCTATGCCCCTTTCCACGGATGCTGCCAGAGCACAAGGACAGCGTGCTGCTCTCTAGCCTGCGGTTGGGGCAATTCCTTGAGGCTAGCATGCAGCCTTCAATACCTGCTGGTCTAGCAACAGCCTGAGAGCCCCCTACCGCGGTGTCGTTCCTTTATTGACTTGGTCGCTTCATATAACATGCCCACGGGTCAGCTCCACAGAGTCAAACGTGCTTGCGGGCAGTTGCAGAGAGCAGCGAGGGCGACGGCGAAAAAGAAATCGCAAGCCCAGGTGCATGCATCCGTCTCGCGGCGCCTTGAGACATCAGTGGGTTTCCCCCACGTATGTTGTGAAAGGGCCCTCATGCACATGCCGCAGAGTAACATTCCCGTCACATGTGCAAGTGTCCGTGAAATTTCCGTTGAGTAAACGATGAGTTTCTCCGTGCTTGACAGCATCATTAATATCAAATGCACAATATACGACATGTCCAGAATTGTCCCCAAATTATTATAACAGTTTTGTCCTTGATTAAGGAATTAGATATCACTTTCAATTTACCAGAAGAAAGCATATTTGGCAGATGTGTGGATTTGCTTTGCGGAATGAGGAAAAGGGGCCATTTGGTGGCAGCGTGGAGTCCAATCTATGTAAATTGTCAACACGAGATTGATTGTCGCAGCACAGCTTGATGCCCTGAATCAGCATCTGAGATCATTGCAAAATTGACCATAAAAGCGTACTTGCATATAATTCTCCTGTCTGGTGCGGCAGAAAGGAAAAATTGCGCGCCTCACGACCCATACCCGCAACTCCCAGGCAGCCCTGGCAGCCTAGGTTTCAATAAGTGAACGCCTGCACTACAAGATGGACTGCGGGATGTATACCATAAGAATTGTGCTCAACATTTAAAATAGGAATCTTCTGAATTCCGCATCAAAACAATACAGATTCTGCATCTTCTGAGAATATGTATATATACACATATGCATTTGCCTGTGGAAATTGGGATCCGTTATATCCAGGGCTTATTGTGTATCTCCGGCGATGTAAACTTGCCAGTCCAAGGGCTGCCCGGCAGTGCTAGACACCAACACCATCGACCGTTGATGGCATTTCTCTAGTAGTAAGTACTAACAGTGAAATATCTAGCAAGCATCCAGTGTTCGACGAGTGTGCATTGGCATTTTGCGGGCGTGCGTTGCAGATCTCATCCATGCTTTTCAAAATGGTGTTCCCGCGAAAAATATGACATTTGATTGACGTGTATAAGAGCTGACCCTTCTATGCTTGTGTTGCAGGCTTTGTCGAACAAAATAACAAAATTAAAAGCTCAGGAATCTAAAATAGATGAAGAAATCCGCAAAATTCGATTTCATACAATGCAGGCACTGGCAATGAGAGAACAAAAGCAGTCCCATTGTGCACAAGTGTCAGCTGATGAAGTGCTCCACCGATCAGAAAATTGCACAGTAGAACGCCCCGACATCGTCACACAACAGCCGACGACACCAGAGCGCTCAGAGTTCGATGGCAGGACATCTGCGAATCCTAAGAAATTCAGGTATTACTTTCGCGATGTGCCCACGCCTAAATTCACCTTGTGGAGCTGTCGTTATGTAACATCGTTATATTTGTTGGAATATATGTTGTAGTCTATCCTACCTCTAAGCACCTAGCTATTGTTTTGTGTGAGAGGTCTGGAAGGGGAAATCCCCAAACTGATCTTCAGGACGGATTAATTTCCCCTGGGGCCAGTAAGCGATGCCGCAAGGATGTGCGGCGCTGAATCCACTGCATTTACCCGTGGAATGTGCAACAATCATATGCATGCAGTAAATTCTATTGGAAGAAGCATCGACACCAGCAGAGATCAGCCTGTTTGCGATGCCAACTGCGTTTCCATTTGACAAAAATTGGTGCCATCGCAGCCCCTTCTGTACCATCGCAATCACTGTGATAGCATCAATTTGTGTCGAAATGGCATCGCAGCTGGCATCGCACACATGGCGTTTTCTGCCAGTGCGATCACCAAATTCAATATCAAAAATACTTCCTCGGTTCCATAATACTTGTCGTCTATGACTTTGGCGCATTGTTCCTGCATCACAAATTAATTCGTTTCAATGGAATCATTGTGAAGTTATGTCCATGAGTTTGGAGTGTAAGATCAAAAATCAAGTCCATCGTTGGTAGCAAGGGTTCTCTGCCTAGTCAACATCAATTTTTTGGCTAAAAAAGGCCAAAATGCACTTTTCACGCAACGGTCAAAATAGTTTGGATGTAATGTCTTCCTGTTCAAAACGGGTAGTCAAGTGTCTCCAGATCTGATCTTTCCGATTTTGGCCTACTTGTAATTCAGATGCTGCTTTTGTAAAGGAATTTATCTTTCAAATAGACAACAACTAATATGTAACAGAGAAAATGCATAGTATTTTGTTTTTCCATGATTCAGTGCAACTTTGCTGGTATTCATCACCTAAAGCTGACAGCGCAGTGCGATTGCACGATTTTCTGTACATAAATCAATGGGAGCGTCACCGCGTGGCGCTGAACGTGAAATCCTCTGTGCATAATGCTCCTCTTCAGGCTCTCTTCATATAATGTGTAAAATTTCGCACAGGAACTGAAGTGTTTTCAACGTCTTCGATATCAATATGCATCCATTTTGAGGTGCATTTCAGAGTTTCTTAACTTCAGGTTTTGGTTGTATGATTGCATGGCTACACAGCTTATCTGGTTCTTGTGCCTTTGTTGGATACAGTGAAGCAACGTGCAGCATGGCGGCAAACCGGGAAGCACTTCGCCGCTGCTCAGGTCACCAGTATTTCGAATTATGCACTTTTTCCCATTCAGGAACTGGGAAAATTCTCAGTAAGATTGTGCAGATAAGGATGCAGCCTGAGAGGGGATAAAATCAAACGAATCAAACAAATTGCGCGCTTACAGATCTGGGTGAAGTGCATCTTGTACACATGTTTGAGGACGCGCGTTGCCGTATTCAGAACACTGCAGAAGCGCTGAAAGTGTGTTTTCTTCTTTGGGGGGGGATGTGGGGATGGGGCATGGCGTGAATATTCGTTCTTACACATGTGTACATGTATATCGGCGATAGCCCTTTCTCAATAACTATCATGCACGCCAAAATCTCTACATTTCATCCTAAGGCATTGACCCATGTCTTTTTTTCGGCAGGCCACCAAGCCTCGAATGTCGCCTCGGTCAGAGTACCAGATGGCACGACAAGTCTCAATCTTTCCTTCTTTCAGACGGCAACTCGATGCTGCAAACCACCCAGGGGAGAAAGCAGAGGGAAATTTGCAAAAGATGCACTTCCATGTTCGGCCAAAACTGACGGAAATACGGGCATTTCAGGTGTTGAATCGGATGGTTTGAGAGACGCAACGGCCACTATTGTAGAAATCGGAGCTGGTGCCTGGAAATGATGCACAATGTGGATTGCCAGTCTAGCGGGTTTCCTTGAAGAGCTTGCATCAAATGTACTACGGATTTGCATACAAATCGCCAGCGCTCTGGCCTCCAGCACAATATTTTTTCTGGTGTTTCCCAGTGTACAGCAATTGTGTTTTCTTAATTGCGGTTTGCTCTTAGGCGCTGAAATAAAACTTCACGTGGTTTTGAAATCAATCATTTTTCATTTTACGAAAACGATTGTCTCGCCTTTATTGTTTCTTTTAAAAATTCTAGAAGGTCTTCTCGATATGTCTTCATTTCTATACGATAACTTTGGAGATCATCATCATGCACCAACAAAAACTTGATCTTTGATCTGAAATATGCATGCGCCAAAGGAAATTCCGCCACTGCAGAGAGACTCATTCAAGGCAAACGACAGGCTTCTGGTCATCGCCGCTATCGCGTGCAGCATTCTGCACTCGGTTTGCCACTCTAAACTGCCATCCACAAACTGCATTTGGCGCAGATACACAAAATTATCAAACGCAAAAGTGGGCCATTGGCATCATGCAACCATGTTGTATCGAACTGCTGTGCAACAGTGTTGCCTCAAACGCCTGTAAGCTGCGTCAACCACCATTCTCAGTGGTCGCGGCTTCGCGAACACGAAAAATGGTGTTGTGATGCGGCTCGCTGAAGCCCAGAGTATTTTATCCGTTTGCGTACACCTCGCTGTGTCCGCCCAACCAATGCAAACCCAAATGCACAGCCAGAACAGCTGCATTGGCAAGCAATTGGGCCGTCCAAAATTTCCCCAGCGAGGCATGCAGACAATAATTCTCGCCCATACCTCGATACCCAAGCTGTAAGCGTTTGAGCAATCGCTTTTTCACAATTTTCGGTGCATTATAGTGGCTCACAAGGTGCGTCTCAACGGCAACATTATCGCTCCAAGTAGCCACATTGGATGCAAGACAAGCATGTGCTACTCGGCCTCTGTTCTGCTTCCAGAGAGCAGGCTGATGCTCATTCCTTGAAAAAGTTTCTTTCGAATAGGATTCCCGAGCTAGTGAGCATGCATCTGGGAATGTCCAAGTTTCGGACAGAATGAAGTGTCAGTCGAGAGAGGCCAGTCTCAGCAACAAACGGATATCCTTCAGGCTAAGAATTTCAAAGAAACCAAGCCTGGATGCCTATAGGCCTTTTGTCGTGCCTTCTCTATGGAGGCCACTGCATAGCGCTGTTGTGACGTGCGATGGATATTCACGTTTGCGTGGCACCCAACTGTAATCAATGTTTGGCGAGCAGTCGCCTCATGGCTCCTCGCCAGTAGGAAGCTGTGAGCAGGAACACGATCGCAACACCTTCTGTCGGCGTGTTCCATCGCTCTTCATTCTTATCTATTTTCCAAGGGGCGGCGCTGGCGCACCTTCTCGTGGGTGACTCACCCGCGCGATGAGTCAGGTGTTTGTCCAATCGCACGCGCTCGTTTTGAGTGACGCGCTGTGGTGACAGATTGATGCGCTGAGTGATTCCTGGATGCATTTTGGCTCCCCACCGTCCCAAAGGACCGCTCCAACCTGACGGCATGCTTCGATCCGGGATTGTTGGAGACACCCAACGAGCGGAGACCCGGACAACACGCCCAGCGTCCGGTGGGCTTTCGGTGACAGCGGCACTGCCATCCATCCGCCCAGCCGGAAGCCAAACCTTGTATTGTTGGCCGCAGGTGGGTATCTACATGTTATTTGCAAGTTGGGAACCAGCAGCGGCGAAAGGGCGAAAGGGCGAATCTTCGATCGCAAAGAATTCCGCTGTCTGCCGCAATGTAGATCGGTTCGGACAGCGGCAATGAGCAACAGTTGTTGTTGCGCGGATGTGTCCGAGGACACTTCGGCAATTTGTCTTGGGGCCTGGTACCACAACTGAGTTTGTGCTCAATCGCGCATGTCAACCAGCAAATTTACCACAGCCCTGAAAGGAAAACGTTGTGCGTCGCGACGGAGCAGGTGATCGTCCAGCGGCAACGGTGGACACGGCCACGAGATCGAATATACCCTTCTGTCAGTTGATCACCAGTTGTTGAAGGATAAGTGGTTTGGGGTGTTCAGATCCACGGAGCGAAATCCGCGCATCCCGTACATAGACATCAGCCATCTCGCAGTCAATGAAACGGTGGCTGGAATTGGTGCTGTCAGCATCTGTTATTGTCACGGCACAACGCAGAGCACCATGAATACCAATATCACAGGCAACCAGGGGGATCCATGGGAGCAAGGTGTGAGTATACCTATATGCATTAGCTCTTGAGCACTACGTACCTGACCAGGTGTGGTCAACATAGCCCTCGCTGTCCCAGTGACAGATCATGGTGAAAACACGCAGAAGACGATGAACTGTGTCAAGACTATTATGTTTCGGACTGAGGAGTTACGTCGGCCAGAGCACAGTTCTCTGTTCTTGTTTGCTCGTCCTTGAGTCCAACAACCAACTTGCACCCAAGATCAATTTGTGTTGTGCAGTCTGCAATGGCCATACAGTGGCGATTGTGACTATCCAGTTTTGAAGTGAAATGCACTTGTGGACTTATCACGTCTGTAGACACTTCATCCCACATGGTCCAACATTGCCAGTGGTACAACATCAACATCTGAATACAGTCATGTCAGAATGCAAAGTTCATTTGCAGACCTGCCCAGCATTCTCCACTCAAAGTTGTTCGAGCCACTCAGCGATGCCCTTTGCCTCTGTTAGGTTGGCTGCCTTCAACGCCTCCAGGTTTCATATTATCTGTTGAAAACAGGCAAGAAGCATTACCAAAGGACGTTCCATCTGCATAGCACAGACCCTGCTGCTGAGTTGCCCACCCTGCACAAGAATTCCCAAAAAACGGCTGACCAGCATGGTAGGTATTTATATCTGTTTTGGAAGGTGACATTGGTAAATTCCTGTGCATATTCTATTGTATTGTCCATTTTTGATGGCATCATATGGTACTTAACTGGATTGTCTTGTGCTGAATTGTGTAGCAATCTGAAATGGGCAACTGTGCCCTGTTGTCGGCAGTACTGCATTGACTTTTGGAGCTCTGTTCGGCTGTTTCTCTCTGTGCAAGGCACAAATATGACTGTACGACCGTCCTGCAGAATTAGTGAATCTGCCAATTTTTCGCAGCAGCTGTTTCAGCTGACTAAGTTAGTTGTGCCAGACTGGTCAGAGGTGCCCAATGGAACCCCATCGGAGGATATTCTACAGCTCTGGAGAGACGCTGAGGTGACCAGAAGATGTGGCAGCTGCATCAAAGCTTTTTTTGGACAAACAACTTCGTCCACAGTGGGTTGGTTGGATGTTAGAAATCGTTCTGTCCATACCATAGTTCCTATCTGTTGACGCTGCCAGTTTTCCAGCACCTGGCTCCACCAGACAGTCATGTTTGTTGCCTTTCTCACCATCGACTTTCTCGTGCTCTGCACAGGCGGTTTGCTTTGACGTGGACAGCACCTTGTGAGTGTCACAGGCGAAAATTCTCTGATCTGTGTGGGTTGCTTGCTGAGCCTTGCTGACAGGATGTCCAGCTCTTAACTGCTCATTTGGCCGTGTGCGTATGTCAAATATTGGTGCGGAGGGCACACAAGCAGATATCAGGATCATGAGTGTGCAGAAGTACCTGTTTCACCTGCTGATTCTTATTTTTTTCAGCTTGGAACAGAATGAAAGCAGTGACATTTGGTTGCACCCTGCAATTGTTGATATTGGTGTGCCTGGGGTGAGTGTATGGAGAAGTGGCCCAACACTTGCACGGCCTGACAGAGGTTGCTTGTTTCGCAGGTGTCAGGATGAGAGCATTGATGAATTAGCAAGGTTCCTTGGCGTTGCAGATGCTGTTGCAGAGCTCACCACAAGGTACGCGGAGAAATCCTGGAGCAGACTTCCCTCCTTGTGTGAAAATTTCTTTTGGGCCTGGTAGGGTGCCTCACATAACAGCTGGCCACTATGAGCAGTTGATGTGATAATTGCATTCATGCCAGGCTGATTCTGTGAGCACACTGCTCTGTTGAGAGGGTAGTGAAATTGACACTAAGAGGAAACAGAACAAGAACCTGTGAGCATGGGTGTGTGTGTGAATTCTGTGTGGCATCGATGCAATTGTGAGGCAATTGGCGAAACGAGAGGCATGCTGCGACTGAAAGGCACCAGTTGCTCTCTGAAATAGTGTTTTGCAGTCAGAGGTACTTTGTGACCTGGAGTGTATTCCTTCCTAGCAGTACTGCCCTCAACGTCCGCAGTGGGTTACTTCCTTATTTGAATCCAAATCAGGGCCATGGAAGGGGGGATGGAGTTCAAAGAGGCTCTAGCAATGCGGCTTGATTTGATGAAGCCGTCGGAGGGTGATTTGAAAAGGTATTTGCTCCAACACCCTCCCAAAATCACCACAGGTGCGTACCCATGGGTGGAAAACTCCCTTGTTGACAGTTTTGCCGTTCTTCCTGTCGACAACTGCCGACCAGTGAGCCCAGTGACCTTTCCAACACAAACGAGGCTAGGTAGTTCGTTGCCATGTGGAGGTACTGTTCTTTTGTCTGTCCAACTCAAATTGTTTGTGGCCAGGCATACCTGCACTTGTTGCCGAGCTCCAATCCTCTGGAAAGGCTGTCTTCCTGATCTCTGGCGGATTTAGGCAGATCATCGATCCCATTGCGGAAATTCTGGAGATCCCTGCCAGCCATGTCTATGCGAATAGGCTGCTTTTCAACGAGGATGGCGATTATGCGGGGTTCGACGAGACGGAGTTCACATGCCGCAGCGGCGGAAAGCCCAGGGCAGTTGCAAGGATAAAGGTATTGGGCATAGGTGAAAGGGCGATTGACATGTGGCTGTGATTCCCATGATGCTTGGCCACATGCCGGTCTTGGCGTGGGTCTCGCTGTGCAATAATTGCCAGATGAAGCGTAAAGACACAATCACCAAAATGGACATGCCTCCCTTCACAGCGAATTTCGCAGCTCATTTTAATGCTGTGTAAAGAGATTTAAGCCACTGAATGCCCCAAGAAAGCTTGCGAATGGACTAAAGGAAGAGGATTGGGCAAATCCTTGGGGATGCAGCTATCGGGGTTTGCCAGAGCAGAACTGTTCTGTTGGATGCCAGAGCATGATTTTGAGAGGCAGAAGTGCTCTCAACTTCTCCTGCACACGAATCCGTCACGTCGAGCTGATGTGATGCAGTTGGTGCACGTGCAGTTGGGCAGTGCTTACTGCGGCGCGTTGGTCAAACATGCCAAATGCCATTGCGTTTAAGTATGCTTGCTGGCTGCGACGTGTTGTGCTCGGACAGTTACAGGCAGCCCGGCATTGTTAACCACCTGTTTTTTTTTGAGTCGTTCCTGCAGAGCGAGCATGCCTACTCCCATATGGTCATGATTGGTGACGGAGCCACAGATTTGGAGGCCAAGACGCAGGGAGCCGTGGAGTTGTTCATAGGGTATGCCCATTTGCCCATGCGCCCATCCCTCAATTGCCATGCCGCTTGTCATGTGCTTGTGTTGCACCAGGTACACTGCTTTGCTTCTTGGGGCACCCGTGTTTGCTGCCACGTCGGTCGAGTTCAGGGAATGCTGGTCTCGGCAGGCCTGTAGAACTGTCCTGAATTTGGCCCTTTGCCCGTCGTGCCTTGCGTGCTGAACCGTACAATCGAACATGATTCAAACGTTGCTGACCATATTTCACATCGCCTTACGTCAGTGCTCATGGTGTTGGTCTGTTCACACAGGTATGGAGGCGTCGCATTTCGTCCAAAGATAGCTGAGGCCGCGGATTGGTATGTGTGCAGCATGCAACCGCTGATCAGCGCACTTGAGTAGATGGATGAAGGGTAGTTGAGGGTGACTGCCGATCATTGCACGTCCCTTGGGACTATTGTAACAGCTGCCCTATTTGTAATAATAGGTTGTTAACAATGCGAAGTATCTTTGGCATCTCCTTTCCAGGCACACTGTGTGAAAGGCCAGGATGCATACAAGACCCTGGAAACGCATTTGCATAGACCACTGTTGGAAGGGCCATCGACAAGGGTTCAAGTTGTTGCGTGCGTTGATGACAGGCAGCGACCGCGATACACGGCCCACAGAGTGCAAATTCTAACAACTGCGAAACTGTGATGCCCAATGTTGTGTTATATTCACACAGTAGGTACGATGCCCCATCAGGTTTACCTTGTTTGAGGTTGTTAAAGTCACCATTAGTCCTGTTGCAGCTCACCTCAATCAGGGGGCACATGACTGACATTTGATGACTGAGCGGGCGACACGACACCGTAGACCGGTCAAGATGACATGGACAGCCGCTGAACGTTACGGAAAGCGGCAAGCCTCGCGAAATTTAGCAATGAATTAGTTAGGCAGGATGTACTTAGCATGCTTTGGAGTGGGATATCCGTGGTCGGTGATCCAATCATATTTCTGGCAAGCCCGGCATCACATGCCCGCCATTCCCTTCTGCTTTGAACTTGGCCGCATCGAGATATGGTGCTGTGTTGGAGATCCTACCAAGCCAACGCCATCACTGCACAAAAGGCAGCAGAGGCAGATGTTGTGGATTTTTCATCCAACGGCAGGGTCGTTGCGTGTTTGGTCGGTTCGTTTCCGGTCACAGACCCTGCCTAGCTTGCCACCCACAAATTCGTCTTCATTGCCGTTTCTGCATTCACACGCGCCAGAATGTCCAAACGGGGTAAACACAAGGAGCAACTTTGTCCCTGACACAGCCAACAGTCAACAATTTGCTCGCTTCACCATTTGTGCCCAATATGGTGGCGCCAACACAACTTCCTGAGATTGGGAGGGCTGGAATGGGTCGGTGGCATGTGCCGCACGTCACAGGGAACCTAAAAACGCTGAAGGTTATGAGTTCCCTGGCAAGTGGCATTCATATGATCGCATAGTGGGCTCTGTGCTTGCTCTGTAGGCCCCTTGGAAAGTGATCGTTGTAGTTGCCAATTCTCCAACGCATTTCAAGAGTCAGCCAAGCACTTTTGGAGCAGCGGCCACTGCTCTCAGGGTGCTAGTTCACAAACAAGCACAGCCTTGATCAGTTGCATGCATACTCAACTTGTTGCAGCTACCCCACGTGTCCAAGCACGAACTGGAAATGCAGAACGAGCCTGACACCCCAGACTTGGGTTTCACGAAAGTCACTTGGATTATATTGCCAAACATGACTGCTGGCATTCGCATAGCTATCATGCTGCTCATCCTGCCCTCATCTCAATGTTCCACTCACTGCAGCTGACAAAGAGAGCCAGGGGGTTCCTCTATCTGCAGCCCATCTTTGCCCAGAAGGTATGAGCAGGAAGGAAGATTGCACTTCAGGCACATCTTGTAACGTACAGATGCCTGCGAATTTGCAACTTTCAAATTCACAAACTACCCCATGGAGCTGGAATGCCTTAAATGAACCTCATAATCCCCTGGCAGTGTCCCATCTTACACAGCCACCTGCACTACTGTTCGAGCAAGGTTGAGATGAAATGCATAGATCTAACATACCTGTCTGCATGGTACATACTGCCACCCCACCACTAGTAGTGAGATCCCCTTGCCATCTATTACTTTTTGCACGCTCCCCCAGGGAAGCAAATGAGCAACACGATGATCAGGATTACTACCATGATTATGATGCAAAGCATGATCTTCATCTTGAAGTTCTGCCACCACATTTTGCTCCGCAGGTGCTTTCCAGTCTTGTGGAACTTCTCAGCCTGTGCACCGTCAACTTTCCAAGTCAGTTTCTGTTTAAGAAACAATAAGTAGCGGAAGATGTGCAAGTGGCCTGGGCGGAACCCAACGCTCTGAGTCCTCCTAGTGCTTCTACGTTACACTAAGAAATGGTTAATCGTGACAAGCATATCTTCTGGATGTTCAAGCTCCTGTCACTGCCTTTCGAGGTGCAAGACCACAGCCTTGCCCTGTCAAAGCAAATGAACTTCACAGCACTCAGTTGATGTCCATCGATTCATCATACCCTGCGTTTCGAACACTGATGACAGACTCCCCATTACCTGGAAGCGGAGGTCGTCAGTCTTGTCCACAAGCAGCTCAATTTTCTCTCCACGTTCCAGCACTTTCTCAATGTTCTCGACCATTATGTTCTTCACCTCGTCCACCTGCGGCGCACACCACAGCATTCAATCTCAAGACATATGATCACTGGATGCCACGGCCCCTTGCCACCATTCCTGCTGTACTGGGTGTTCTTGAGACTGACCGAACAACGGCTCCGCAGTGCCTGCTGGGCACCCCAACCCTGACCCACCTTCCTCTGCACGGCTGCAACCTTTGAAATTTCCTCCGGATGAGCTTCGCAGTACTCCATGTGGTGCTTCAATCGCGGCCTGCACGATCCAACCCGCGTCAGTGGGCGTCAGCCTCCGCGCAGAGAACCGGAGGCGATGCGGAGTCACCAAAGCGCCACCCACCCGAACTGCTTTTCGAGGCTGCCCGCCGCGGCTCCCCGCGCCTTCGCGCCGAATTTGGACCGAAACTCCTCCGCGACGCGGTCCAGGAACACGAAGGGGATCTGGCGGCCGTAGCCCTCGTCGGCAACCACCAGGAAGGCTGCGCGGCACGGCCCAACACGCTGTCAGAATCGGGGCCAACGCTGGGGGCATTCCGGGCGCGGGTGGCGGTTGGCGGGGCGGAACTCACTGAAGTCATCGTCGTTGAGGAAATTGAATGTGTGTCTGTCGCAGTTGATGGTGAACTTGGTCTCGGGATTCCGCACGTTTTGCAGACACTCCACGGCCACAGTGCTGAAATTGCCGTGCAGGCCATGAGGCGTGTAATCGGCGAGCACGGTAGGCCCGCGAGCCACGAAGCTGTAAATGAGAGGCATGGCGACACGTGCAGGCGCTGTGTCCTCCGTGCTACGGGTCCTCGCGGTGGCACTCCTGTTCTTCGACCAACCTGCTATGGAGCGGCAGGGGGCCGCGCCCTTTGCACCTATCCCCGCTCATTACGGTATCATTTTCAATGCGACATTTTCTTGAAGATTCGCGGAAGAACCCAAGAAACAAACAACGGCCAACTGCCGCAACCCCGTGAACATGGTCGAAACCACCAAGCACAAGGCAGGTAAATAGAACCTGCGGCAGTCGACAGACATGTGCGTGCGGAGCTTGTTCAGGGGACTGTGTTCACTGCCACCAGTCGCTACACAAGGCAAAAAAGGCGCCAGCAAGCAATAGTCTTGGCTCAAGGCCGCTGGGGATCCCTATCACCAATCGACGCACAGTGGTGGTCGCGTGTGGTGGGTGTGGTGGTGGCGGCGGCGGGGGGTGAAGGGGAGAGCTTAAATATTAGACCTTTCTAGCGCTAATCCACCATGGCGTCGACAGGCACGATCAAGATGCTCTGAGAGTGCAACGGACTCCCGTCCATGCATGCTTATGCCTATGTCCATACGTGGTGAGGTCGATTCAATGGCCAGTATTGCAGCATCGCTGTAGGATCACTGCCCCGAGTCTATTGCACATCACCATCCAGTGATCATTACCAACATGGTAAGATACCCATTCCGTTGTTTGACAAACCGCAGAAACCAATGGCCCCGGCATGTCGCCAAGGAGCACTGCAGGTCGTCAGCATGTCACATCGCCGGTCATGCGTGGACAAAGAGCATGTGCTCCGTTTGTTTACGGTGCATCGGGGTCCAAGCGTTCAGATAAGCTGCATATGAATTTTCAGTTGAATGCACGTTGTGCGTTATTGAACTCGACAGTGCCACGAACGTGAACATTTAGAAACTTTTTTGCGGATGTTCGTGTCTCAAAATTCAATCTATCCACGAGATTCTGCTGTTAAAACGGCAGAATCTGTCGGATAGGTTGTATCTTTGGTAATTCGCAATGATGCAGCGTAACAGACGTTGCGGTCGTGAGGATTCCTTGATTTTACAACAGATTTCTATTGCTCTGGCGGCGGGATTCACTGAGCCCTGGCAGCAGGATGCGCTGACTTTAAACTTCGCAGTTCAACAGATCCGACACCAAAATCGATTGAGTCCGTCCAGACAAGTTCACCAAGGTTTGCCCACGAAACTGCAGTTTTCCGACAGCGCAATTCACTGATATCTAACAGCATATTCGATGATCTACATGGGTAAAGTTATTTGAATTGAAGGTATCAATTCAAAGCAGGCTTGGTTTTTACGTTTTTGTTTACGTGTTTACTTTTACGTTTTTACGCGTAAAAACGTAAATTTGCAAAAGGGCCTATTTTTACGGCTATTTTTACGTTTTTACGGCTACCTGAAACGCCCAGATTACACGATGAAAGTTGCGTACAATGATCAGTCCTCCGCCATATCCAGCACCTCCGACACAGTGTCCACCTCGCCCTTGGCAAGGGCGATGATGGTGTTTAGCAAAAAATCGTTTTCTGCCCCTTCCAGGGCGTCTGGCTGCCACTCTCCTGACTCCGTAAGTCTGTATGTACTGTCCTTATGTGCACCGGGCAGTTTTTACGTTGTATTTACGTATTTTTACGCATTTTTACGCGTAAAAACGTAAAAACTGTTTTTACGCGTAAAAACGTAAATACGATCAGTTTTTACGACATAATACCCAAGCCTGATTCAAAGTGTCCTCAAACTTTGCGATTCCCTTATATACGCAAAATTCTGTCCAGGGGAAGCAGCGAATTTGGTTCGATTGTGAGAGCTCGCAGAGTCCATCTGATAGGAAAACAGTCATGACGCTTATCTATGGGATGGGAAACCAAACAAGTGTACATGCTACCAACCATTGTTTGGTAGTACCCACTTGAAGTAGGTACACGCACTGGGCACTGTCCAACAATCGTGTCGTCAGCCACTCAAGCGATGCATACATGCCGTCAATTGTTTCGAGAAAGGGCTTAGCCTCCACCGATATCAGTAGGAGTCGGCGAGCTCCCCGGCAGGCAGGGGGCTTCGCAGGCGGGTGAAACGTACATTTGCCGACATGCCGTCGATGGGTGAGGGGGATCATTCATTCAGGAAAGGCATTACACATCAAGGCAGCGCGGTAAGGAGGTCGCCATCAGCTCCACGTGTTGCCCGAGGAAAGCAATGCCAGGAGTGGATCATTGAAATCCAAGGTGCTGCACAAACAAAGGGTGGGAGGTTGGGATCATGGGTGCTGCAGGCGCACCAGCAAGAAATGTCCCAGATGCACAGATCTCCGATGTACAACACCCCTGACGTACGAAAGCCCTCCGACGTGGGCGTAGGTTGCTATTCTTGGGTTTGTGTTGACTGTTACTTCAACAGTGCCAACCACTTCATCTTGTTTCGTGTTGTTTTTTCGTCTTGTCCAGCAACGTTTTTTTTTTTAAATTCAGCAACGTTCCGTTTCCATCTGCCATGCAAGATGGGTACAATTGGGCAGCAGGAATTCTGCATGAGACGGCCTCGCACGCATGGATCCGGCGGACCGAGACCCAGGCGGCTTCAAGGGAAGGGGGGCCGGCTCCCCCCCTGTGCCCCATCTCCATTTTTCCAAGTCTCGCACCACAGCTACAATCAGTCGCGTCGCGCCATGGCGGGCCCCGGAAGCGCCGCGGCACTTGACCTGCTGCTCCTAGCGGTCTGCTGGGCCACGGTCGGGGAGGCACTGGCGTGGGACGCGCCGCTGACTGGCTGCAGCGATCTTTTGAGCGCGGATTGCGAAGGGGCGGGCAAGACTGGCCGTGGCCTCGCGCAGGAAACATGTGCGGATAGGACGGTGGGGTACACATACCAACGCGCAGATGGCAACAGGATCGCGTGTGGGAGGGGCGTCATGGATTCCGGATCGGAGCCCGTGGAGATTAACGTGGGTGGGTTCCCGGAATGGCTGGTTGGGGTGCCATCTGGGGACGGGGCCACCATCTGGGGCGTGGTGCTGGGCGACGGGCGGACGATGGGCTTCAGGGTGAGTACAGAGGGGGATGTGAGTCGAGTGATGCTGGAGCCCACGGAGGTGGCGGAGGGCAAGCCCGTGGTGCTGGTGGGCGGGGGGGGCGGAGAGCCGCAGTTCCTGACGACGCAGGTGGGAGCGAAGTTCACGCACCCAACGCCGCTTGCGAGCGGCGTGGTCAGCGTCCAGTCGCGGTTCGATGGGGAGTCGCTGGCGTTCGCGGGGGACGGCTCAAACCAAGGGTTCTTGAAGGTGCCCCTGCACGACGCGAGGATTCTTACAGACGGAGAAGACATGGGCGAGCGGTTCATGGCGTTGGTGCAGCCGACGGTGAAGTACCCGCATGGCGTGCTTGGGGACAGCACGGAGGCGGAGGGGATCTCGCTGTTCAGTCAGGAGCAGGGCGGCACGTTCACCGAGGCGCTCTTCATCCCTGCACCGGGCGAGGACGTGTTCGAGGGCCTCTTCCCCGTGTGGGCGGACGTGGACGACGATGGAGAGCTGGAGATCGTGGCCACATTGGCGAACAGCACTCATGGCGCGCGAGTGGCGGTGTACTCGGAGGAAGGCGAGGTGCTGGGGGAGAGCGAGCCCGTGGGCGCGTTCAGGTGGAGGAACGTGGGGCCAGTGGGGCCGTTCGGACCAAGAGGAGAGATAGAGGTTGTTGACGTGCTGACGCCTCACCTGACAGGTGAGAAACGCAGTCCATCTTCATATGTTGGTGCTTGCTTTCCTTGCACTGGGGCAAGGGATTTCGAACCCACTGCACTGGGTGTACCTAAACCCACTGCCTCAGCAAACCTGGAACGAGCATGACGGCCGTCAAGGGTGAACAAACAGTGCCAGAGCACCGTATGTGATGACAAAAGGACGTGTCTTTTGGTGGTGTGAGACCTCACCAGCGATGTGAGAAATGGAGACATGTGCATTGCATATCTTGGCAACCTTTTTGGTGCAGGAGGAACACAAGTGTTAGGTGCTGTCCTCACCACTCTCAGGAGACAACCTGTTGTTTGTCCAAGAATCATCTGTGCCGTTGTTTTGGTCATGAACACAGATACTTTGGGTATTGCACAATTTGGAATGGATTTGGGTTGGGTGGCTGGGCTGTCCTGTAGCTTTGTGACAAAACTCAACAAACGAGCAGTGTCAGCGCAATGCTGTGCTCATGTGTGTGTTCTACTCCCTTGTGTTGTTGTCCCAACCAAGATTTGCTAACCGTCTTGCATGCTATGCACCTGAACAAGGTACCGTGGAGTTCTTCCAGCTGGACAAGGAGAAAAAGGAGTTGGTCCTGGTTGCTGAGAAGAGTGGGTACACATCGCACGTTATCGACACAAGGAATCTGGACTTGATCGCTGGGGGTGACTTCGATGGGGATGGGAATTTGGAGGTCCTGCTGCCAGATATTGACACCAGAGAACACCTGGCAGCAGTTCGGCACATTGATGGGGGGGCAATTGAGGCCTGGAGGGTGCCCCTGGGGGCACCTTTGGCTTCAAATATCGCCACTGTTTCCTTGTCGGACAGCAAACAAAGAGTGACTCTTGTGGTTGCCGCAGGCAATAGTGATGGCATTATCAAAATTTGGCAATGACAGTTGGGAGAAAGCCTGACCAAAGCTGTTGCCACATTAGCTCTTTCAGATGTTTGCTTCGCTCCCAACAACTCGCAACGTCCTGCCTGTCTGGCAGGGATGGGTGCCACCACGTTGGACTGCAGGCACTTGGGAAGAGCCCTAATGTTGACCCATGGACGCAATAGAGGGCAATGAGAGAGAACAAGCCAGCAAGCTGCAGTTGTCGCTGTCAGGACATCGACATCTGTCAAGGGTAATGGGTGGCAGGGAATGTAGACTAAGTGCAAGGCACAGGTTTAGAGACTGCAACATGGGCTAAGGTTTTCAGTGCAACTCAGGCTGGCACATCTGGACCATGGCTGCTGCAGTTGAGTAGAGTTTAACCGTGTGTTGTAGAGTGAAATCTTACAGGCACAGAATAAAATGCCAGGATGAGCGCATTCTCAAAATGGGCTTTGGCTGCTGGTTGTACCAATTTTTTGTTGTGGCATGGTTGTAGCTATTTGAGTGGACTTCGTTTTCCAGTTTCCAATGCTCTTGGGGCCCAATCATAACCCTGTCAGACGCCAGAACTGTGCTGTAGCAGGAGCATACACACTAGCATGGTGAGCAACTTCGGTAGTGATGTGTGACTTTGTCATCCAATTACACGAGCTGCAACCCATCAAAGGCGACATCATGTGCAGGGGACTGCCGTCCCATTAACCACAACCAGTGTACAAGGCATGGCACAGACAGCCCCGCGCACGTAATCAGCTTGCCGCTGAGTTACCTCAACACAGAGGCTGTCAGCACATAGAGGTGTGTAGTTAGGTAAAGGGAATATATCTGGTGCTCCTACTCCAGTCCACAGCCCACACACCGCCTTCCGATCAAGACTGTTCATGCGGCACGTTTGGGCGTACAGTCTGCAACACGCAAATTCCAAACATCCTTGCAAGCCAAGACAGCAACAACAGTGGTATCAGAGTATTATTATTAAAAGCATCAGCATGCAACTCCCAGTAAGATTCCTTGCTGTTAATGTCGCGCCAATTGTCTAAACCCTAGACAAGAAAACCTAGCAGGGGTGCAGCTTTCAGCAATAGGACAAACGCAGCCCATATGTATCCTCGCTTGCCGCGTTCTGTTCTGCTTCGATGAACGGCAGGCAGGTATGTGGAGGTCCTATCTCCGCCTGGCGCTCGTCGACGGCCTCCGACCACTGGAAGCCGCCGCCGCCGCTACGCGCCGGCCGGTGCCCCTACCCAGCCTGCGGGCCTTCTCCGCGGACGCCGACCGCCGCACCGAAGCGTCCAGCTACAACCAAGCCAAGCGGGAGTTCGACGCCCTGATGAAGGCCCGCCGGAAGGAGTACATGGAGTTGGTGCGGCAGGGAGAGCGCCGGGCCGAGGAGGAGCGTCGCAGGGAAGAGGCCGCCCGCGCGGAGAGGGCCCAGGCGCGGCGGGCCGCCGCTGCGGAGGTCAAGGCGCAGCGGGTGCGAGAGAGCGCGGGGGAGCGGGAGGCGATGCGGGAGGCGCGCAGGGCGGCGCGCGAGGAGAGCGCGCGACGGGAGGGGATCCGCCAGAGGCTGATCGCGGAGGCGCGGGAGGAGCGGCGGGAGAAGCTCGTGGACGAGAGCCGGAAGTGGATCAGCAGGGAGAAGCTGGACGAGAGGATCGCGCTGGCACTGGACGATCCGATCAATTTGATGTGAGGGGGAGAAGGCCATGAATTCGTGGGATTAAGGCTGCATGAACAGGACGAAGTGAAGATCGCGACGACGAGGCACTTGTTGGAGTACGTTTGCCTGCGCGGGCGAAATCGAGGGAACGATGGCAAGCCACCCTTTGGGCGACGTCCGAGAACTTGTAGCGAGTCCTTGCTGAACGTGTTGCGAGTCCTCGCAGATGGTGGAATTGGTGCAGATGCCAATTGCCAGGAGTGGGGGGGCGCAAGGGTTGCTAAATTCCATGGTTCTGACTTCCGTTCACAAGACAGGGCGGGGCCGTTGAGCCTCGCAGGCAACGACGGGCACAAAAGAGGTTATCCAAAGAAACGCTATCGAAAGGGTTGCGAATGTGTGTCCACGGTAGGGGATAGTTCCAGCACCGGACAGTCCCAGCGATCTGATGTGAGGGACGTGACAGAAAGCTGGTCTGCGCTGCCAGTTGGCAGTAACCCTAGCTCAGAACCGGCTAAAAAAACTGTGGCACGGCCTCAGCGCCCATTCGCACAGCCTGTGCTTGGCCATGAGTCAAACGCCAGTTGACAAGGACTGCGGAACACGAGAGATTCAGGATTGGCATAGTACTTACAAAGAGGTCTTTGGCACCTATGTGGTTTTGGTACCAGCAGTCAATTTATGTGAACTGTACAGACCAGCTCCTTGTTGGTGCAGCAATATACTGTCCTGATCACTTGTGTGGGAAGCTGGCAGAACAAGATGATGGGCTTGTGGGTGCCCATGCAGGCCCTTTCAGCAAGCATGATCTTTTTGCTGGTTGGAGGAAGCCTAAGAACTGGAACCTTGCATATTCAGGGAGGTGCAAGACAGCATCGGCGAGTATGGGTTTGCCCTCGTAATTCTGCCCCAGGTGGAGCCAAATTCCAAGGGCTGTCTGATTCGCATGCTTCCAAACAGTGCTGAGGGAGTTGCACTTGAGAACTTATGATGCAGGTTGCATCACTGCGGGTAGGCTGAAGAAGCATCATATCATTGCCAGGCTGCAGCATTTTCTGCAGGGCTGCAACGCCCTAGTCTCCCGCATACTGCTTTTGCAGCTCATGTGAAGATCTACGCCACCAGGTCACATCTGGAAGTCATACCTGCACACCCTTCCGATTGCCTCAATTCCTCACCAGCGCCACCCTCAAGCTGTGGTTGTGCGCTGTCGAGTTTGACAAGCTCGACATCGTGGTAGCGCTCAAGCCAACCTCCATATCTGCGCTAGGAGAGAAGGAAGCGGCCAGCCGCTGTGCAATTCAATATCAAAACACGTTCCGGTCTTGATACGGTCGTCTTGGGTTCCACTAAAGTCCCCAAGAATCTAGACTGTTATTACTGGACACACCGCACAATTTTCCCATGGCCGAATCTGCAATACCTGCCAAGTCGTTGGATCAACAAAAACTGCTTTTGAGGGCTGTTCAGCATGCATAATTGCATGTGCAGATACCGTTCATACTGTTTGTACATCGAATTTCACATCGCATTCACGATTCCAGGTGCCACACTGATCTGACACAAGAGGTGTGAATCTTCACCATTTTTCTAACGGCAGTGCAAGGCCTTGTAGGATCTTGAAGAGAATTTAGCGCATGATAAATAATGCTAGAAGTCGCAACCTTTGGAACTTAAAATATATCGTCCTTGAAGTAGAACACCTAGATGGCCCCGATGGAAACCAAGAGTTGCCAAAATACTCTGGTCATTTCCACAGAAGAAACCACAATCAGAAGCTCAGCTTCACTGCACCGTTCGCATCAGCAGTGAGACCTCGCCTTCCCCTCAATTGCAGAGCATGTCTGTATGCACAGCGTCGTCATATTGTTGACCTGTTTGGCTTTCTGTTCGAATTACCAGTAATTGACCACTGAACTGCCTCTGTCAATTGCTGATTTGTAATCCGATGATTAAATGGTGGCATATCAGAATCCCGTTTCCAGGAATGTCTTGAACAATATCTTTGAATGGCTGTCACCTTTTCTCGATGTTTCACATGCAACTTTCCAGTTCTCATGACTGAAGGTCGGTGGCTGAACACTGATGTGCAGTGAAACTCCATGAGATGAAAGAGTTAGTTTAGAGAGATGCAAGTCTGACACACCAAGACAGTCGCAGCTGCCATGTTGTGCAAGCAGCTGGTCATGTGCTGGCTGACTGATGCACTCGTCGACCTGATTGAGAAGGGGGGAGGGCGGCTGCCCAAAGATTAGCTTCAATTTTACTAATTTTGGTGATCGTGAGTTGGTGCTGTGAATTGGAACTTTGGCTAGTTGCTGCAGGTCGATGCTATGGGTCGGTGCTGTGGGGTAGCGTGTTGTGCGTGTGTGAAGTGTGAGATCAGTCGCCCGTTCTGAGCGTGAGTTCTGGTGGGCGAAAAAAGAGGCGTATTCTGATATTTAAAGAAAGCCCGAGACTTGTTCGTGGCTTCTCTAGGTTTGGTTGTAAGACAAGCTGAGTCTTGGCTGCTTGTCCGGCCATGCACGGCGAGTGCGTTTGAGCACCCGTGCACCAAGGTTGCCACAAAGGTCGAACCAACAAGGTTTGACTTGCGTTGCGTTGTGGCCCATCGCTGCGCGCATTCTATGGCAACGATTGCGATCTCGAACCGGGATGGCCAAAGAACTTTGACACGCCCTCAGTCCTCCTCATTGATACAATACCACAGGGACCCCTGCCCCCTCACAGCGAGGGCCTCTCCTCGTTTCCATCTTTTCCGTTGGTTTCAGATCAGACAAAGCTTGGCCCCGATGACAGAATGAGACTCCAGCTTTGGGCACATTGGAGATTCAGCAGGTTGAATTTCCATGCATCTGAAGCACCCCAGCTCCACCCACCGCGGAAGCGCAAGATGCACCTCCAGAAACGTCTTCCAGGAATTTGAGCAAGGCGCACGTGCACGCACCCACTGCGCACTTTGCCAGCCGGAGGGAGGAGCAGGACACTGCCAATGTGACCATGCTCCTTCAGGGGGTGAGTCACGGTGCGCCGCATGGTGACATGACATGACACAGGGGGGGCTGTTTGCCAGCTTGCATGTTTCTGGCATGGTACCAAGCCCGCTCCACTGAAGCCCGTCGCTGTTGGCGACAGACACGCGAGGAAGGCCCACGGGGCACCCCGCTTGCTCTCCGTCTCGAGGTTCTTTGCCGATTCGCGCTTCAAAATGAAGCCAGAGAAGATCAGGTCCAAGATTCTGGAGATTATGAGAGATCCAAACCTCAGCGACGCGGAAAGGAGCCGGCAGCGGCAGCAATTGATGAGTGGACAGTGGAGCACAGCTCGCCAAAAGGAGCACCCCGAAGGGCGGCCGCAGGGTGAGGTCACCCCGAAAGACTCGGATTACGTTCTTGCCAACCACGCTGACCAAGGCGGTTGTTCTCCTCTCTTGCGCTCAACGCGAATTGCTTGTAACAGGGAGAGATGAGAGTGAAGCGAGCGAGGGCGGCGAGGACTGCCGGGTAGTGCTGGATGAAACGCTGAAGTGCGTTATATGTCTGAGCTTGTGCGAGAGGCCTGTCACGGTGAGGGGAAGGTAGACGGGGTGTCTTGATGGTCGGTTTTGCAGCAGTCTGAACTACAGCTCCAACACGTGCGCCGTCTCTGCGTTGAACAAGATCCTAGGCCCAGTCCCGCTTGCCACAGATATTGTCTGTGCTGCATTATCAAAAATCAAGTGCTATTGCCCCAGGGACTGCCCCAATTCCAGCATGAGTTGTGTAGTGTGTTGTGAACCGGGAATTCTCGTGGTAACTCTCTCTAGTTTGTCTGTATGCACGGCTGTCTGATCTGTGCATACGAATTTGCACTTCAATCTATTTGACCTGCTATCACGGTCGGCATTATTGTTGGCAGACATGGCCATTTTGAAATGGCAATAGCCCCCACCAGATTGGCTGGTCATTGTTGACAGGACGTGCCCTGTGTTCTTTGCAGGCACCCTGTCAACACAACTTCTGTTTGAGCTGCTTCAAGCGTTGGGTTGGGCAAGCCAAGAGCACATGCCCAACATGCAGGCATCCTTTCCCCTCGCATTTTGCAGCGAACCCCAGAATCAACACAGGTGATGGCAGGTCACCCATGTTAATGTACCACGAATGGCAGGTGGTGGTAGTTATCTCTAGTCCGTGGCCATGGCCAATCCGTTTCATTGACACTGCTGTTTTCTGCCAATCCAGTCCTGGCAGCCGCCATTCGCTTGGCACGTGTTGGTCAAGAACGAGCCCCACTTTCCCATGACTTCAAACGCGTCAACAATGAGGATCGTCCTGATGAGGCCTTCACAACAGAAAGGGCAAAACGAACAGGGAGGGCCAACGCCGCCAGTGGTCGAATCATGGTCAATGTCCCCAACGACCACTTTGGGCCCATCCTACCAGAGCATGATCCCAGGGGCCGGGTAGGGAGAAGCAGCTTTGCTTCACCTATGTTAGACATGGTCAATGATGAAAAACTTCGATCCACCCAAAGTCAACTTTTCAACGTTTGTCAGAAGCAAATCACACATGCTCACAGCTTTGTACATTGAGAGCAATTCGCTCAACCTGATATATCATTGAAAGAGATTTAATCGATGGTGCATGTGCCAGAGAATACTGAAGCAATGGTGTTGCTGGTGATAGCATGGTTGGTTGGTCACTTTGGCCACACTTGGCTGCCCAGCTGACAGTGCTGGTGTCTTTGCACCAGGGTGTTTTGGTGGGTGATTGGTGGAAGGACCGTCTTGACTGTCGGCAGTGGGGTGCCCATCTACCTCACGTTGCTGGAATTGCAGGACAATCTTCAGTTGGGGCGCAATCGGTGGTGCTTTCAGGTACTTGCCTGCATCCATGCATTGTTTGCTTATTGACTGGAAGCAAACTGGAGTCTCTCCTGTCTTTCTACCAAGGCAATCAATTCAAGTGAGGCAGAGACTGGGACAAATCCAGAATTTTAAAACCGTTCTGCATAGGAAGGCTGTGTCCGAATTTTTTTCTTTTGTGTGGGAAAATTTCTCCCACTTTCCGAGAATGGCATAGGGGGTTGGCACAGCCAACATCGCTCATTTCTTCTTTTGTACTTGCGTTTGTGGAAGCTGGTGCTGGCTATTGCAGGTGAAATTCCCCTTTATTGCTGTGAGGGTGAGGTAATTATGGCAAGTAATCACCAGAGGACTGGTGTTAAATATGGTGTGATTAGACACAGTGAGCACAGTGATAAAAACATGGTGAACATGGGAACGGCCAGTACTAACTGGGGGGATGTCCTGCGAACACTATTTGGTTGATGTGCTTGTCTTGTAACACATCTGGTTCCGGCCTTGCTTCCCATGCCTGGCAGCAATCGAGTGCGGACTGAGCGCAAACGGTCAATGCAACAACTGCATTTGCTAGAGCATGCCAAAACACAGCTCTTGCAACATTCATTGCTCATGGTTGGGAGTTACTCACATGCAAATAAATGCGTTCCCAGACCTTTTTCGTTTCCAACCTATTTCAGGTGGCTACGAAGATGATCGTGATGAGGGTGAATGGTTTCTTTACACGGGGTCCGGTGGAAGAGATCTGAGTGGAAACAAGCGAACCAACAAGGTAGCAAAGCAGGAAGATAGAACCGTGGTTGTTATAGTGTGTGCCCCTGACGCTTGCTGCTGTGATAGAGTGCTGCCAACTTCAGTCACATTTTGATTTTGATGTGACTGTTCTTGTTCCTGCCAGCTATGACTGTTGTATGCCTTGTTCAACGACTCACTGGCATGTGTTCTTCCATCGAGTTGGAATGTGGCATGTGGAACAGGTTCAGTCCTTCGACCAACAATTTGAAAATTCGAATCTGGCCTTGAAGTTGTCTTGTACCAAGGGCTTGCCTGTGCGAGTGGTTCGTTCCTGCAAGGTGGGTGGCAGCTGATGCACAGCAGTTGATAGTGAGTTGTTATGTCTACATGGTCCTTCGTTTCATACGTGCAAGAGACCAAGACATCACAAATTCTGACAAGATACAACCACATAAATTCAGGAATATTTACCCCCAGTGTTGGCTCTTCACTGTTGGTTGGTTTTCAGCCTGCCTGTCAGTGCACATGATTTCCATGTTTTGACTTCTGGTGGATCCTGGAGATGGTGACATGACTTCTACAGATAATCTCTTTTAGGTTAGAAGTCTGCCACTGTGCTGATGCTCAATTAATCTGATAGTTCTTGCTTATCACCTTGAACAACGCCAAGATCCTGCCACATGTGCCATTGGGCTCTTGCACATGTCACTCGGAATTATATGCAACACAGGCACATTTTGTTCTTCAGTTTTATCATCCGCCATTGATGTGCACGGTTCATGAACAGACATCACTTGTCAAAGATTGAAAACAACATCCAACTGAAATGTAGCATATGCGTAACAATCAATTGCAGCCACATTGACACCATGATCATGCCGGCAGATGCCTGACTGTCCAACAACACCTCACCAATCGAGATAAACAGAACTCACTAGGAACACAATATGCTGGAAATTGCTGTCAGAATGATGCATATGATGATCCCTCATATCAAGTGGCAATAACAGAACTGTAAACCATACACCACTATTTGCTTTCATTCTTTTTGCTGTGTGCGTGCAGCAGGGCCACACAATCGGACTGTGGTTAAATGTGACGGAAAAAGTGATGGAATGTTTGTGTACTGTACACATATGCTTTTGGTGCTTTTGCCTGCTGCCCAGCTGCAGAATTCACCACATTTGTGCCAAATGTACCTGGCAGATTTTGACAGAACCTGACAGAACCACCAACCTGAAAAAATGAAGCAATGAGCAGTGGCAGTTTGCAACTTGCAGGAAAAGCGTTCTGCCTACGCCCCTTCCATTGAAACCCCTGTCCGCTATGATGGCGTCTACCGCATATTATGCTGCTGGCGCAAGCCAGGGAAGCAAGGACATCTTGTATGTCGCTATCTCTTTACAAGATGTGACAACTCCCCAGCACCATGGTCATCATCAGGTAGGGGAACCCTCTCAATGGGAACAAAGCGCCTTCATCAGTGTCATTCTGTAGAGTATACCCTGTTTGCGGATTGCTTGTCTTGGGTTCCTCCCAACATAGGTACCTTGTTTCTTGTGTTCAGAGTCGAGCTGTGCAATTCCTATTGCTCCATGAGGTACTCCCTTGCATAACAATCGACTTCCTCTGTCCGGAATTAGTTGTCTTTTACGAATTTGGCGCCTTACTTCTCCATCATGGAAGCTCGGTTTGCACTGAAACTTCTTGCAAAGCTGTGTCTATGGGTTTGGAATATCCATTCCAATATTTGGAACAAAATCAAGTAAGTCCGTTCAGTATTGAGAATTTGGCAGTACTTCGTAGCGGGGGTCTTTTACCTGGTAATCCTCCAAATTTTTGTCCAAAAGTGACCACAGTTTACCTTCCCTCCAAAGCTCAAAGGGTCGTGCCACACTTTTTCTTCTTGAATATTTGTATTTAATAGTTTATGGGACCCAATCTGTCCAATTTTGACCTCCTTTTGTGATTTTGAGGCCGTTCTTATATTAAAAATTGTATCTCAAATAGAGGACATTTAATTCCGGACGGAGGAAGTAATTTATAAGTGCCAGCCACTTTGATGGCCATGTGCATACACAGTTGTTTAAATAAAGAAATGTTCATTTTTCGCATTGTGCATCATAGATATATCTTGAGGTGTGCTGTTTTGCAGATTAGGAGTACCGTGCTGATCCAACTGCCTGTTCTGTGCCACCATGTTGGGTAATTATCTAACAGCACCGATCAACAACCTGTCATGCAGATGAAGGTGACAAACACACGTTAGCGTTGCCCAAAGTTGCAGTGGCAGACATGAAGCAAGCAAAGGGGGCAGTGTCCAAGATGTCGGATGCACCCTGCTGGTAGAGCACATGCACCTATTCAAGAGCCACAGATTGATGTTGCTGAGCATGCTGTCGTCTTGTTTGCAAGATTTGAAGCTCAGGAAAAACCTACTGCATCAATAGCAGCACAGCCATACCAGAAACTGTATTGCTTCTTGTTGTCCATTTGTGGACTGCTGCTTCTTACAGGGCAAATGTCTGGTCAAGCAAATACCATTTGCAGTAGGATTTTTGATGGCGTTGCTGAACTGCCTATTGGTAACATATGTTTTGGTAATGTATATGAGGGTACGTTCACATACACGGGCATGTGTCCTGTGTAGGGGCTACATTACAGACCAGAAGAGGTGGGGTTGGCTGCATCCGCCTCCCCCCAGCAGGTACTCGAACTGCGGCACACCATGCAAGACTCCACAGAAAAAGCAGGTAAGGATGAGTGACACATGGCACCACTGCACTGCCAGACAGTGGGATGGACACGCAAGAATTTTTGTTCCTTGCCTTGTACTCGCATGACTACTGTTGCAGCCTGGTCTTCTTAAATGTGTGTGCATGCTCTTCCAGGGAAAATGGGCTGCAAGCGCTTCTCAACGGCTTCTTCGAGAATTCAAGTGTGTGCTATGTAAAGGGGTTTTGAGGGAACCCATCAGCACGCCCTGTGGTAAGACAGATTGCCTGGGAATTTGGGAATAGATGCATTCAGCTTTTCAGCATGGCTATGCTTGCACATGTCAATGGTGTTGTTCTGTTTGCGATGTGTGGCTCAGGAAGGACATCTGTGCAGATTGCCCTTGGCAGTGCACAAAATGGTCCAGCGGAACTGTCTGCCTGCCTCTGACAACAAATCTGTCAGCAAGGCAAGCCAAGTGACAATCGGCTGAATCCACGGTTGCCATTCAGGATTGTGTGTTGCAACAGACCAGCGGTACAGCGCAGCTCTCAAAAGTGGTATGTGGTGCCACTTTACAGTGTATGGGGTTCTTTGCGCACTTGCATGTGCCCTAGTGGCCAACTCTGTACTTGGCTGTCCCAAGCGAATGTCAAAGGGAAATCAGAGTTTACTCTTATGGCAGTTGCACCTAATAGACAGGACACACGAATTCAGTGATCCCATAACATAAATTGAAAAATTTGAGCAAGACAGGAAGCAGAGCAGCAACCATTGCTGCAGATGGGATTTGAAACGATGGCAACAAAAGGGTACTACCATCATGAAAATTCATACATAATCATAACTTTTGTGCATGTATTGGTGGGTTTGGCAGGTCACATCTTCTGCAAAGGATGCGTTCAGCACCAATTCCAGGGTATGGGTGACACTATTGACAGGAATGATACCAACGGAAGGGCATTGAGGACCAAGAAGGTGTGAAAGAGATATTGCCGAATGGTTTGATCCCCACATCATTAAGCAAGCTGCAAATAACCTGTGGCCACTGGTAGTATGACCAATTTTGGTTTTCAGGATTCGGCTGGAATGAACAACAATGTGCTGAGGACAATTCATGGTAGAATGAATCAATTGTTATCCTACACAGGATAACAATTGCGACACCATAGTCTCCATCTCTTCCAAGGAACACTGTCTAGCATTTGGTTTCCAAAGCATAGCACATGTGGAACTGTGGAAGGTGCTGTAGTAGAGTGTATCCACTTTGAGCGATCTCTTTTGCATTTTGCTTCTTCCAGGTTATCAAGCCCTGTCCCATGTGCAGGTTGGATATTGCTGACTTTCTGAGAACTGCCCAAGTAAATAGGTGGGTTGCCCAAACTGTTTATTGGTTCGTCAGCGACATCCCTTCCCTGATTTCACACTGCACCTTAACAGATGCAGCTGGAGCAATTTGGTCAGAACATCCACAACCGTTGGCTCACGCCCAGCAACGAGATGTTTAACTGCTGTCAGGGAGCTGGCCTCTGCTATTTGTCGCCTGAAGGAAGCTGTTGAGAGAAGTCGAAGGAAAGAGGCAAACAGTGGTGCAACAAGTGGCCATGAGCAGGAGGGACGGGGGGAAAGAGAAGAACCGGATGAGACCAGCAGCCTCAACAATGAATCAGAAATCTGTGACAACAATGCAAAGCCCCTCAGAAAATCCCAGGTAAACGCCAAGCAACTCCTAAGAAGTGAAGGGGTTGTGGATTGTGGTAACAACTGTTGAAAGAACATATGTGCTGTTGATTGGGTGTCCTTGTGAAAAACTTCATGTGTGAACTTGTTTGACAACACACGCACACACATCACGTTTTCACTGCTATTGATAGCTAAATGGCATAGCTCTGGTATCCCACCATTTGTTCTGCTCTGAACAACCAAACAGGACTGGAATCTGCACTGCCACAGACCACTCCCACGAGTCACTGATGTCTTGTCTTGCATATCCCCAGGGACGCAACTCAACTGACCAACAGCGATCCCCTGCAAGAGGCCAAGCACGTCCCACCTCCTGCGCCAGTCCTTCCCGTCCTCGAGCAGGGGCGAGTCTCAGGAGCATTGCTTCTGAAGCATCTGAGCTTGACAATCAGTCGCTCAACGCACTCTGTTCCCAGTTTTCAGAGTTTGACAAATCATTGATTGAAGGGCTTCTTGAGGATCAAGGCGGAGATGTTGATGATGTCATATTTGCGCTCAAGGTGACTTGCCTGTTTATAATGCCATTGCCCTGCAAGGAGAAGCCTTGTGCGTCCACCATCCATGAGTCACACGATGAAGATGGGGGCACCCATGATCTATTTTGCACTGTCCACCTTCTCTGGCAAGTTTAGAGGGACTGCAGCAGCCAACAAATTTGATAACATTTGCCGGAATATGATATGCACAACTCCTGCAATTTGGTGTAAACTGCAGGAGGTAACAGTTTGATGGACTCCCTGTGACGCTGGCATGTGCTATGTTGCAGAAGTTGAGGCGACAGCAGAAGGTGATTGACAAGGTGGATCTCTTATCCAGTGGCACTCCTACAGACAAACCTCCTTTGAAGGGAAGGAAGCGACCCAGTAGCTCAGCAAGCCCAGCCACTCAGCAGCGGAAGAAATGCAAGGAAGACGTTCATGAAACCAGGCGTTCCAGTAGGCTGAGAGTTCAAGTACTGAAAGCTGGGGAGAAGAGCATCAGTGTCCGTACTCCTACAAGGGGATGTCAGACGAATACTGGCAGGGACAACTCATCCTGCCAACGACAGAGAGCCAAAGAGGAACTGACTGTCAGGGAAACTAGACAATCTTCTGCCCTCAAGAAGGCAGACCAAACTGAACATGGGAAGGGGAACAGGCACTCATATGACCGTTCTGGTGTCCAGGGCCTTGGATATCAAAGCAAAACTGGCAATGGAAGCCCCTTGTTGTGGCGGCCCAAAGGAGGAAATGAGTGCATAGGTTGGAAAACTCGCCAAGCAAATGCACACAAGAATGGGGACACACATGCAAAGGAAGAATGTACGGTCAGGGAAACTCGGCCATCGAGAGCATGCACGACTCCAGGAAAAAACTCAAGGAAGACGACCAGTGGTGCCATCTCAGGCACGACTCCCACAAAGAACCGACGGAGAGACAGTTGGCAAGGAAGCCAGGGCAGCCGCAGGAAAAGACAAAGAGAACAGGTTCCAGTTCTTGAAAGCCGGCATTCTCGTAGCCGAGAGGGCACCCGAAGAGAAAGATTGAGGAGTTCAAGCTTGGGACCATCTCCTGTGCACAAAGCCACTTCAGGCCCAAAGCGGCTGAAGCATTGATTCAGAACTTAAGAGGGAAGCCATTCCTGTGGGCTTCCTCTTGAAGCATGCGTCAGCCAGCGAGCTGCGCACAGTGTGGACAAATATAGTGATAAGCTGTTGCCTGCATGACGTGGAGCTGCAAGTGGCTAAGAGCCACCACACCATCAGGGAAAGCTCTGGGTGGCATCCACATTGAGAAGGAAAGCTTCCCATGCTTTGTGGCTTCAGTTTGACTCTCTGTGACCAGGATGGACAAGAATGCACTGGGGTGGCCTTTCCACCAAGCTGTGCGTGAGTTGAGTTGCAGGCATGTGAACCCACAGGGGCGTCCACACTGTGTCCAAATTATGAGTATGACAACCATTCAAGATGGCCAATGGACACAGTGGAAAGTCATACATTGAAATGAAATGTGCGAAATTGACCTTCTTGTGCATTCCTGTTTTGGACATAAGAGCATCTTTATCGGTGGGTGCTATTGTCCCGGCGGTGCTATTCGGCTATTCGAATAGCACCGTACGTCAAAAAACCATCATTAACGGTTGGGGAGCAATAGCACCCCAATAGCACCGCCAGTGGTATTCGGCGCCGAGCGGTGCTATTCTGGGCCCCTAATTCATAGCACCGCTTGAGGCCAAATAGCACCCCGGAATAGCCACCGGTGCTATTCGCGCAGAGCATTGTAGTGCTGCCGTGATGCTATTCAGCGTAGGAATAGCACCCACCATTGCGGATGCGCGCAGGGGAGCAATTGCACCGGTGCTATTCCGCAAATGCCACCTTAGTAAGGTGTCACGGCAGCCAATGAGAACCGTTCCTGGATGACTCCGCCGGTGCAATAGCACCGACCGATAAAGATGCTCTAAGCAACATGGGTCTTTCAATTAAACAGCGTGCTCGATGCACCAAGCGATGTACCGTCCATGACTTGCTCCCTGTCTGCCTCCAAGGACTTCCATGGATGGCTTGTGGATTCCCGTGCTGTCCATGCCAATTGTCCCACTTCCTACACCCACAGCTGCCGCCGACTCAGAGCATCTTTATCGGTCGGTGCTATTGCACCGGCGGAGCTATACAGGAACGGTTCTCATTGGCTGCCGTGCCACCTTACTAAGGCGGCATTTGCCGAATAGCGCCGGTGCTATTGCTCCCCTGTGCGCATCCGCAATGGCGGGTGCTATGCCTATGCCAAATAGCATCACGGCAGCACTACAATGTTCTGCGCGAATAGCACCGGAGCTATTCTGGGGTGCTATTTGGCCCCGAGCGGTGCTATTCGGGGCCAAAATAGCGCCGCTCGGCGCCAAATACTGTATAAGTAAAAAAGTTCGCGCGGAAAAAATTTCGCGTATTTCGCGTGGAAAAAAGTTCGCGGGGAAAAAAGTTCGCGCACTCGTCGGTGCGCGAACTTTTTTCCGCCGCGAACTTTTTTCGCCCGCGAAAATTTTCGCTGCGCGAACATTTGGAGCGCGCGAACATTGCGGAACCGGGCTCCTGCCGCCCTTGACCTTCGTTAGGGCTGGCGCCGTTTCTTATTGTGCTGCGCCGCCCCCCGGCCGCCGTCCTGACCCTCCGGCTGCCGTAGACGAATAGCACGAGCGGCTTGGTCAGGGAGATGGCACCTCCTCGCTGCCAAGATTCGGCTGGCCAATGGCCACCAGCGATCGATCTGGCGCGAGCGATCTGCAGGCCAACTCAAAGCTCCTTTGGGGCAGTCGCTGGACGGGGCTCGAGCTAGGCTTTCGCATGACTAGAAACTGGGAGGAGAATAGAGCCGCCTGGTCAGGGAGATGGCACATCCTCGCTGCCAAGATTCGGCTGGCCGATGGCCACCGGCGCGAACGATGTGTTGGTCAGCTCAGGACTCCTTCGGGGCAGTCGCTGCTCGTCGAAAGACCGCCGCACGGGGCAGTTGTCGTTGTGCAAGGCCAGCGGGCCAAAGCGCGGGAAGCGCCCGACCCATTTGGGAGGAGGCCGAATAGTTCGCGGGCGAAAAAAGTTCGCGGGGGCCAAATGTTCGCGCGGAAAAAAGTTCGCGCAGTTGCTCGAGCGCGAAATGCGCGAACTTTTTTCCCGCGCGAACTTTTTTACTTATACAGTAGCTCCGGGGGTGCTATTGGGGTGCTATTGCTCCCCAACCGTTAATGATGGTTTTTTGACGTGCGGTGCTATTCGGATAGCCGAATAGCTCCGCCGGGACAATAGCACCCACCGATAAAGATGCTCTCAACGTCCCAGTAGAGGCACAATACATCCATGCTGATCTTTCCGCACTTCGGCGCTCAGCGAACCGCCAAAAAGTACCGCGATTCCAACTAACTGGGCGGTTTGGGCCGGGAATCAAGCTGTCCGATGCGGGGGCTTGGCTGCAACGTAAAAGCACGTGCGCCCACATTTGCGGCGCACTTTTGCCGGCGCTGGTACGGTCGTGGCACCTGCCGTTAGTATCCCCTGACACCTCAGCGACATTTCATTTCTGGCATTCTTCGCGCCCTGGCCAACTCCCCCCACACGCCTACCCGCCCTTCCACACGCGGGCTCGTTAGGTTATCTTCTGCAGGGTTTCCCTCGCGAGCGCTCGCGGCAGCCTGCCTGCGGGGCCTGGCAGACGTCCACGCTGCACCCAGGGCGCGCGACTTCCGTTGGGAACGCAGCTTGCCCTTGGGGCGCATTGGCCCATCGGGCTGCCGCCCCGGGTGCCTTGCGAGGTGAGTAGGTTGACCAACTGACGTTGTCAAAGAAGCGTATCGATTGCATGCATTCCGCGCGGTGCTCTGTGCCCCATTGATTCGCACTCGCTGAAGCTTCTGTCTGTGCTGCAGATGGCGCCCCTCCAAGGCAGCCTCAGAGACGTGAACTCCGCTGTGGAGGGGCTGTCGGAGGACCTGAAGCGCGATGTGATGCGGGAGGTGCAAGACTTGGGACTCTTCAATGCGGCGCCACAAAGCCCCGCACTGGACTGCAGCGCTGCCTGCATGGGTCCCTCAGGGCTGATTGCTGGCATCGACGAACCGGGGGGAACTCAACACTTTGGTGGCGTGGGCGCCGATCCGGGCGGATGTCAGGGGATCGGCGCGATGGGGACGAATTGGGGCGGGCAGTGCGGGTATCAAGGGGCGCAGTTTGCACCGTCCAGCGCTGCTCTTTGGGGGCCCCTTGACAAATGCTTCTCCTTGCAGCCTCCGGCGGCGTACGTCCCTTCGCCTTTGGACGCCCTCCAACCGGCAACCTTGCGGCCCCCTGGTGCCGGCATTTGCAACGTTGCCATGCTGCCGCCCAGCGCCAGGCTCCCCTACCCTGAAGCATTTGTGCCACGCCGGGCGGCGATGGGCGACGCCCACGACCACATGCTGGTTGACGACGCTGCTCCCGACGGTGTTGTTTGGGCCCACCAGCGGCCGTTGCCCCCCGGTGACAGCGCGCTGGGCGTTGAGTGTGACGACAGAAACGACGCATCCCGTGCGACATTACAGGCTATGGGTGGGTTGGCGGAGGAGATGGATGTTCGCGGTTCTGGACAAGGGCATCCACGCGGCAGGCTCGCGGCAAATGCAGGATTGGTGCCAGATGCTTCAGCCATGATGGACACGGATACAGAGCAGGGAGAGGGTCAAAGATTTGGAGTCGAAACGCCTACTGGGCTGCAATCTAAAGGCGACCAGGACCAGGACGAGAGCGTGCATGACGCTGCAGATATAGTGTCAGGTGATGCAGATTCAGCACAAATCGGGAGGACGAATACCGACTGGGTGTCATACCAAGACTACGCAGCCATGTGCCACAACATCATGGGCGAGAGACCAGCCCCCAGGTTGGGCCACCGTTCTGTTGGCAGCTGTCATCAACCTTTCCCCGAAGATTTGAGGAGGGATGTGCTGCAACAATGGAATGCCACTGTTGCGAGTTCTGCTTTGCTTCAGGGCATCGAAGCGGAACGCCAATCCCCACCGCTCGCACAAGGGCCGTTAGGAGACAATGGGGACGGGACCATCGACAGGGATCCTTTTTGCAGAACAGATGACGAATCTGGCCAGTCCCTGCACGACGCAAATCGCAGTCTGCAAAATGGTGCAGTTGACGAAAGGGTGCTTGCTGGCCAGTCTGGCAGGGACACGTATGCAAGCCCGATGAAAATGAAAGGACATGTGAAGGGGGGAAGGTCCAGTCCTCGCCAATCGAGAGGTTTGAAGCACACCAGCCTCAGGGTGAAAGCCGCTGTTGAACGCAAAGGGATGACAACTTACAGTGAGGTGGCTGACGAATTGGTGAATGAGACTCCAATTGGCAAATCTGAAAATGGAAGGGACTGCACGGAGAGTGACAATCTGAGGCGCCGTGTGTATGACGTCCTCAACGTGTTCGATGCTGTTGGGATCATCAAGAAAGAGGAAAAGCAAATATGCTGGCAGGGTTTGCCAGTCTGCGGCGAGCCAGGGATCACAGCTGTCAAGGGGGATGAGGAGGAAGACAGTTTGAATGAGCGCATCGCCACGAAGAAAGCCTACCTTGCACAGCTGATAGAGCAGTACTCTGTTCTCACAGGCATTGTGCGCAGGAACGTGAGTAGACCAATCGAGTCCTGTCCGCCTGGGCCCAAAGTCCTTCAGCTGCCCTTCGTCGTGATCCATGTCCCTGCAAAGGGGGCCGTGGAGGTTCAAATATCAGAGGATGTGACGAATTCATGTGTGAAGATGGACTTTCATGATGTGCCGTTTGCCCTGCATGACGATGTATGGCTGTTGAAGCACATGGGATTCCACTCAGGCAGCATACCCAGCCCTGTGAAGCACCCATCAGGCCCGTCACCGCGTCTGGCCCTGCCTGTATCAGCCGCTACAGCCGCGCCCGCTGGCAACCAGAGCGTCCTGCGGCCGCCCATGATGCTGTTTGCAGACTCACGGGCCAACATTCACAGCTTCACAGACACACTGGACAAGCTCGTTGGGCCGCCAGGTTGGCGGCATGGAATGGGTGGCAGAGGGGCCATTCCAGAGCTCGGTCATTGGCATGAGAGCTTTGTTCAGTCTGACTTCAAAACTCCAATGAACGTTGCGGAAAACTTGACAGATATTAGAGCTGGGGTGAGAATTTCTGATATACACACCAACGTGCCACATACAACAGGCACACCTGCAAGCGAAGTGTCCCTGGCACAGGCTTGAATATGATTGCAGGATGGAGGCATACAGGTTTAAAGCATGAACCATTGACATAGTTTTCTGAATCGATGTTGTGGGATTGGGTGCTGCAGAAGACATAGGTGCACAACATTTTCGAATACGATTTAACACAATTTTCGAACGACTTGCTGTTCTTCAAGTGTCTGCAAGATGCACCTTGCCTTGCAAGGAGAAACACATCAGCTGCATCCGCTACTCTTCGGGTATGTACCTTGTGGCAGATATTGATTTTCTGTTGGGCTGCTGTGACATGGTCGTTGCCAACTCAGTGCCCATCCACACCAAATGGTACACTAAAAACCGGGGGTCTTCGTCCTTGCCCCAATGAGTGCTGGTTCATTGGTACTAACGAGCTGGTACGACGACCATGAGAATGGGCTCAACTGTGCATGCGGGCTGTTGGTGTACAAGAACAATAGGCGAGGCTGAACAACATTGGGCGCTTAAGTACCCGTTTTCTTAACGTTTCTTTGGAGCATCAATGAAAGAGCTCCAATGCGTTGAGGGGCAAAGATGACGCCAATGCTTTGAGCTAGCTCTCCATCAACAGAAAGCACATACTGGGATGGCAAAACTTTCAAATTCTCATCCAGCAATGCTTTCGTAGATGGGCTGGGAAATTAGGCAGGAACAAGGACGTGCACACACTCATACAGAGACACTAATTCTGAAGTACATTATAGGCTGCATTGTGAGCGTCGTCGGCGTCTGTTTGGGATGATGTTGATATGACAATGACTCGTCCGTCGTTGAGAGATGGCTGTATGACTATAAAGGGACATGCCTGTCCGTGACCTATCTGTAACTCTGTACCCTCAGCTGTGTCCCCAAGCCCGTGGCTGTGCCTGTCTCCGATATAGTCCCACTCCGAACCTAGCGTAACATGTGGCACCCGAGGCAGGGGTGGGATTGCAGGACTATGCAGCTGCGTGGCATGATGTAACGCCGAGGCGCGCGCGAGCGTTGTGCCGCCTCATGCTGTGGTGCGTGGGAGTGGCGACGTGATGAATAGCGTCCAGCGATGGACATGGAGCGGTCGCGCGAGAGCTGAGGCGAGCGCAACGAAGGCGTGACTGAGGGCGGTGGACGACGCGCGGGTCAGTTCCGTCAACGCCGCGGTTGTGCGTTCGCTGGAGTTACAATGGCAGAGTTGCGATGGAGGCCAACACGGCACCGCTGAGCGGTGATGGGCGAGTGTGAGCCACGCCATTGGTCGGAAGTGGTAACTTGAGTGGATGGCTGTGTCTGAGAGATCACGTGCTTGGCACACAGCACGCACGACCCCGCAGCAAGGGTTGCGTGATGAGGAGTCAGCAGGACGGCGGCCCGTGTCAGCTCATGCCAGCTGGCAGTGTGGTCCTACATGGAGACCCGTCACACTGATACGGGTTGAGCGTTACTACCATGTCAAGCGAGTACGTGGCACAGCATGAGCGAGGCCCACGTGGCAATTCCAATGCACTGGGCATAGCATTGTCTCTGTTGTTGGGGGCGCGCACCGAGCGCCGATGGGTCAGCTTAGGTCGAGTTGTTGAGATGCCCCATGGAGGTGGCGAGGTTCGCCAAGACGTGTTGCTCTTGAGTTTGATGGTTCCTTTCCGAATCTGATTTCTTTCCATGGATTCTTGAGCCGATGCTCTGGCTCTTGATGTGTTTCTTTGAGACCGGTTTTCGTGTTCGTGTTCAAGGCCCCGCATGACGGCTGGCCAAGTGTTTGATGGATTCTTGAGCTGATGCTCTGATTCTCGATATGTTCCTTTGTGATGGGTTTGTGTTCGTGTTCAAGGCCCCCGCTCATGACGGCTGGCCAAGTGTCTGAAGTTTTGAATGACTTCTTGATAATGGTTTCTACCAGTTTCCTGGTTCCCTTGGTTCGTTTGGTTGAGGTGATTACACGTCGAGGGCGACGTTCTATGTGTGTTGGGGGCGAATGATATGACAATGACTCGTCCGTCGTTGAGAGATGGCTGTATGACTATAAAGGGACATGCCTGTCCGTGACCTATCTGTAACTCTGTACCCTCAGCTGTGTCCCCAAGCCCGTGGCTGTACCTGCCTCCGATATAGTCCCACTCCGAACCTAGCGTAACAATGTCTTCAATCGCAATGAGGAAAATGGGGCGCCTCAATTGATCTGCCAAGAGCATGTTCGTCCTGAATCCGTAGATCTTACGTTACGCATTAAGAGCAACCACACAGAGGTCACCAAGAAACCCATTGTGTGATACCCGAAATAATTTGGTTCCGGAAGGATTCTGGATTCACCAAATTGCATTGTAGCAGCAAAAGCAGGACCGTGGTCTTCACCAAGCAACTTCAAAACCCGCTACTTTCTCTGCTGTGATAAATGAATTCCAAACGGCATCAGCATGTCGGCGCGTCGGCGTCAGCCCTCCTTTGGGCGTCGGCACCGTCGGGCACATCGGCTGCCTGGCCAAAGCGTTGGCTCCTAAGTTTTGCCCCCTCGGGCCCGTCGGCTGTCGGCACCCGTCGGCATCGTTGATTGGCTCCGATGACGCATTGCCGACGTGTCGACTTGCCGACGGCACCGACGGCCATTTCGCCCTCCCATCAGCGCCAATCACCTGCCGGCGGTGCTGACGGCCCGACGCGTTGCGGGTGCCTGACCACCCTGTGCCCACCCCTGCGGGACCCCCGTCGGCAACTGTGAGCGCCGACGCCTGCCGACTCCCAACGACTTCCCGACGGCCGACGGTGCCGACGCATCGGCGCCCTTTCGCTAACGTCGGGCGAGTTGTGGACCTTCTCCTAATCTGAGTGTCCCAACGCACGGTTAAAATGCGTAACGTGCCTGCAAAAACAGCCGCTTCAGAGTGTTGACGTTTTTACAAAGCAATGTAAACATAAATAGCTCACACGTATTCAGTGCAGTGCAGGATTTTGAATTTTCTTACTGCACTGCCTTGGGCTCTTGTTGGACAAATCATTGAATATGCTGTTTTGATTAGCAGTTTTCGTCAGCATTTGTCCAGGGAGAAATTGGGGGCTCAATCACTCAGCGGAGGTATAGGAAATGTTCGTACTCAGCGGTCGCTGCTGCTTCAGCAGTAAAGTGTTATGTTGTGATGCAAATGGACACTTCGTTGTAGACTAGAACCAAAATCCCTACTACAATGTCTTCCTCACCATGTAGCGGAAATTGGTAATCTCCGCTGAAGGCGACAATGGTGCTCCTCATAGAGCCCCTTTCTGCGCAGAGGTGCAATCGTATCGCATGCCATATGGTCCTTGTAGGCAGTAGATCCTTTGTCACCAGAAGCGATTAGTCGCTATCCTGGTACTTTCAAGGCGATTTCAGCCATACGTTGGATGTTTTGTTGGACAGGTAGTACAGCCTGATATTACAGTCAGTTTTGCGCTTGCGTGGGGCACACTACCGGTTGAAATGGAAAAATGTGATCAAGGTCATCACAGGCCCTCACAAATCTTTATGCAAGGTCCTTACTGACACGGTAATTTGCATTCGCAGGAAAGTAATATCGAATATCTCACCATGGAGACACGGTTTGCGCCAAACTGGGCTCTGTATGGAGCCCATACGTAGCCATACTTTGGGCAGCTGCACAGCTGATCGCATGCGATGTTTCTGTGCACCAATGATGATGAATTACTGCTCCTGTTTCAAAAGTCTTGTCGGTTACCCAAATCGCGCAAACGGAGGTTCAAATGTGCGAGTCAAAATGTTGACCAAACAACTTCGACATGCCATACTGATATGCGTAGAGCCCTTCAGCTTGGAAAACAGCGCTGTCGTTCTTCAGATATGTCAAGAAGAGTGCAGACGCCACCTCCCCTGTGTCGGGACGCAGGGCTGTCCAGGGCGAGCTCGTGTTGCCCTTCGATGGAGGTGGATCGATCTGGGCTATCGCTATGGGAGATGTATGGCTTGGTGGTATAGCTGACACTGAAGATTCAACGAAATTCAAGGCAGAATCCACAGAAGAAAGATGCGGGCTTGCCCCACATTCTCTGTTGTCAAAAAAATTGTGAGTATGTGGTGGCCAAAGGCCAAGTGGCACCTATATTAGTGCAAGAGCATTAACTGAGACAGTGCACAAAGGTTATGAAGGCCGTGCATGATGCCGCTAAGCCGAGAATGGCCTAGGTTGGTGTCAATATGGCCAATCGCTGAACGTTTAGCAGTTAACTGCGAATTCCAAAGACGTGAGTCAGCATAGCGAAGGAGATAGTTTACAGAGAGTGTAATTGCAATGATGTCAGAATTCTTGAAATGTTGCGGTAGTGCCTGCTTACATTCTACAACAAGGTTCTTGGATAATTTTGGGCAAATAGGCTAGCACACGTAGGGGTAAGGTGAGCACAAAACTATAGGTAATTGGGGCCTTGACCAAGATGGATAGGGACACTTTTGATAAGGCTGCGAAATTCTTGCTGTATGGCGCTGACTAATATAATCAACATTCACATGACACCAAAATCGACAGAGGAATCTGAATCTGGTGACAGAGTTACTAATTGAGTTGGCCTTGCAAAGTTATAGCAAGATTGGATAACCGACAAGACTTATGAAATGGAAGTAGTATGTTGAAGAACTTGTGACTATGCTCAATTTCAAGCTGCTTGCAGGCCAAACATGCCAGCCTCGATAACAAAATGCCTCTCAACCGTGTTACGCACCTTCGGCGGGTCCCAGCAGACGAGTAAATGGCCCCAGACTTGTCTAATTGCTCAGCGCAGCATTGCGGTACTTATTTCTGTCAGGCAATGCAGCAGTAGTTGACTGGCATCCGTATGAAACGTAGAACACTCCACTGCGATACCCGCTATGGTAACCATGGCATGGTTGCGGGATTTTGATCCTGGATTATTATCGGGGGCGTGTTTCAACTGATCTATTCGCGCGCAAGTCAGACGGATGCTTTACTGCTTCAATTCTGATGCAAGTGCGCTCTGTTTCCTACAGTATGATCAGTACCAGAACCATTTGATGACAAGTGACATGATGATCAGTAAGATGATCAGATGGTGATCAGTTTATGACCGGTAAGATCAGCAACCACAACTGCCTGATTGCCCACAGCACTTGAACGACGGGCAGACGGCCATCAGGACCGACTGGCATGGCATGGGAGAAGTTTGTGGAACAGAACAGAAGTGTGTCAGTTATATTACATCAATGTACATCACAGCAACGCGCGTCTTCTCCCGCCACCACAGCCAATGAACTCGCACACGGTTTCTGGCCATCGCAGCATTTGCAATTTGCGTCCCTCACTATTACCCTTCGTGTGTTAGGCCTCTTGGGCGCTACCGCAGTCCAGAGAGTCTAATACGTGTGCATAAACATAGGCTGGCAGGGAAACAAAAACTACCAACATGACAAAACCCCCGACAATGGGAAACCACGCTTCCACACGCTCGTCATTCAACTTGGGGAGAAACAGGAACGCTGGGAACAAGCCACACACCAACCCACCTACATGCGAAAGATGAGACACCCCCACCTCACTAGTTGCCACGGCGACCACAAAATACATTAGAAACATAACAATCATGAAGCTCCTTAGAATTGGCCTTCTTATGGTGCTGAAATTCAGAACCATGTCTGCTACGAAGAGCCCAATGAACCCGAAAACTCCTCCGCTGGCCCCCACTACTGCAACGCAGGGGTCTTCAAACGCCGCGCTGAAGAACGCCCCGCCTACATGAGATATCCACCACAAGCAAGCCGATCTCCACCAGCCATATTTCACCTCGATTTGAATGGATAAAGCGAGGGCGAGCAACAGGTTTGAAAACATGTGTCGAAAGCTCTGGTGTACAAACATTGACGTGAACCAAAGGCGCCCGCCGCCCTCCTTCGCAAGAGCAGGGCCGTACCTCGCTCCCCATGTGATGACGTACTCGGATGAGAATGTCCATTCTGGAACATTTTTGAAGCACCACACTCCCGACTGCAAAAGAGGAAGGTAACAAAATCGTTCATTCCCTTCCCCGAGCGCAACAGACCGCATGAAAGGCAAATTTATGGCGCCGCAAAAGCCAAGCGGCTTCAATTAGTTCCACCTGATCCGAAACCCTCCTGATTTTACCTAGCAATATTGTCAACGTGGTAATGTAAATACATTATTGGATATTCAATAATGTCGTACGATTATATTTGTTATTTCTCTATGGTTCGCGCAGTTTTGGCACACTCAGTGCTGTGGCCTCATCACACCAGGTATGCTGAAGATTGTTTTTTGGCAACAGCGACGAATTGCAAACGACAATGTTCAGGAACCTTCCGAAGCTACCCGTTGTCTTTTAAGTGAAGGGGTTGCATAAGAACTCACATTCGAGATCCAATGTGTTAGGATCGTTGGACCATATCCTACATCATCTTCCTGACAGCTGATGCTCATTTCATTTTGTCGTTGCAGCATGTGCGAAGGAAATTCACCGCACATGTAGAAGAATACCACCAAAAGCGATAGCGCCAGCACCCACGTGAATATGAGCTTGTGTTCACCGCATTCTGCTGGAGAAAACCTGTTGCGAACACAACGCTTTTCAGATGCACTATTGAACAAGCAGCTTGCACCACTCAACTGGCACAAAAATTGCATTATCTGCAGCCAGGAAATGCACTAAATATAAGAACCACTAAATATAAGAGATGCCTGGGAGATACGCAATTCACCCGTGAGATGTTTTGGCAAGACGCTTACAAAACGCGAACGAAAACGCGAAAATATGTGAACATATTCATGGGTCAGTTTCGGGCAGCGGCCGCAAACTCCCTAACATTCATCATCTGAAACAAAAATGTACTTATCAGCAAACGTGTTTGATTAATTGGTGTCCAGTCCTAGGATAACAGAACGCCAAAGAACAATACGAGCGCGCAAAAGATCCTCTACTGCAAGGAACCTGGACCATTTGTGCATTGACATATTGCACACCAAGGGTGCGGCAGGCCGTCGTTCGCAACATCACTCGATCAATCCTAGAATTGCACCAGATCTGATGCCGCACTCACTGGTCAAAATTATGCACTTTGTCATTCTGAGTCGGCAACATAGTGTGCATAGTGAGTGTTCAGACTCACCCAATCTACCTTGTGCTCACCACAAAAACAGTTTCTCTCCCGTGATGAAGAGCTCGTTCAGAATCATGTCAACCATTCCATCGTAGATCCCCACCTCCCGCTTTTGAAGCGCCTCAATCAGCAGAGGCTTTTCACGATAAGGCGTTCCTCGGAAAGCCAATTCGAGTCTAACAGCTGCCGCCAGTCTGTCGCCTGCGCTGAAACTGCGGTCGCTGATCATGTTGGCGTCACGAACAATTTTGATGGAAGACAAAACGGAATTCACCGCTCCAATCCATCTGCCACACAGGAGGCACCATTTTCACTGCGAAGTTTCCACACAGCGATATTTGCTGTTAGAAGATTGCAACAGTCGTATAGGGGACCGAAACTCTAACTGTTTGAGAAAACTTAATAGCTGAAGATGAATGACAGAAAATTCCAGTCGGGTGTGTGGGGCGGGAATTTGTACAGAATCGTACGTCCGTAGTTCCATCATGAGACGTTTCGTTCCGTCCCAAATGTCGTCCATGCAGCAGAGGTACACTTGGATTGTGGTACTGAACCCCTCGCAGATAACTCACAACATGAAAAATTCTCGTTCCCTGTCTTAAAGAGGGCACAAGCATTCTGGATTAACGCCCCTGCACCTGTACACATCTAGCGCCTGCTAGTTATGTGAGACGACACATCAAGACGAATCTTGCATTGATGCAGTGGAATAGTGGTCTCTTTAGCCATCTGCTGCCTCCCGATATCTCACATGATGACGATAGCTACATTCATTGTTGCACAGTTCTGCAGTTGCCGAATCAAAAAATACTGCGTCTAACCTGATGTTCTACACCAGGTTAAATGTCATACCAATCAACGCACTGTAGAGCCAGAATGCTCAATCGTAAGTTTTGCTTTGCTTCTTCGGGCAGCACAATGCATACTGGTTTTCCCGCAATTGAGTAGCGAATTTCCATGATGATTCACCTCTCCTTCGCCAGCGAAGTGGTTTCGTGATCATGCTCATTCTCATGCTCTTCGGTGCTCTTCTGCATCCACTGCCTGTGCTCATCAATAGGATGTTCTGCTACAACTAGCTTGGCATAGTGTACAACCCTGTTGCCAACCACGCACACTCAGTTCAATGCGCAAACACAGGCGGCTACTACTATATGAACATACAACAGTCAGTTGCTTTCAGGCCAGTATAATTCATGCAGCAAGGCGAGCATTCACAGATGATGTAAAGTGGTCCCCAGCATGGCAGAGCTGGCTTATCCTGAGTCCAATGCTCGCACTCGGTAGAAACTGCGTTTGCAGCCGAGGCCTGCAGTACGCCATGCGTTTCAACTACACAAGCAGTGAAACAGCAACTTCGCCCCACGCAATCTGCCCTCCCTCTTGCCGCGTTTTCGCGCCAAATTGCACAAAATTGCTTAACATTTGGCATTTTCGAGACAATGTAATCCGGATTGGGATTTGAGCGGATAGAGAACGATAACGTCACGCGGGGCATGAAACTGACCATTTGCATCCTGTCATACTAGGCAGAGGCCGTGGCTGTGCCTCGCGAAGCGGCGCTTACATGGATCCAAGATCCCCGACAGACGGTCGGGGACTGGAAGCGAACTTAGCGTCCATTGTCCGGGAGCCACTATCTTCGGAGTTCTGTGCCAGCTCCTTTGCACCACAGCCTCCGCCTTGCTCTTGATCCCCCTTCAGGTGGTCCGTCTCCATGCATTTCGCCTCTTCCGCCATTTGGTCCCTTGCGACGTCTTGACTATTGACTTTGATCGCAGGCTCTTCGAATGAGTGCGAGGGACAGGGTCTTCTGTGTGACCAGAAGCACGAGTAGAATCCGGACTGGACCACTGGCAGAAGGTGTATCGACTTTTAGCAGTCCCTTTACTCACCAGCAAGGTGCCCTGTGGCTGATACCGCTGTCAGAATCTCCCGCCGGGTGCAAAACCAACACAGCGCCCGCACAACAAAGAGACATAGCTATCAATTATGGTTGACCTTAATTCTAATCAAAAGTGTACGTAAGCTACGGAATCCTAGAGGAATCTTGCTTTCATTGCCAGGCTTCAAGTAAAAGATTCCCATTTTAGTGAATCCTTGAATAAGAGCACATCAAACTGGCAAGTTCTTGTGCGTGAAGTCAGCAACTCCCCATATTGCCAGAGAAAATATTATACCCAAACACCTGTGATGCGTCCATGCGGTCTGATCACCGGTGGATGAAATTCTCGGGGAAGTTCTAGTATGCGCCTGCAGTATTATGGGGCCCTGTCATTTGAACATGGGATTTTGCAGTGGCGCTGTTGACAATTTCGCAAATAGTTGTGGACTAGGCTCTCATTCGACATCCCTAACATGCACTACCCGCGTATCGCAATGGGGTATGAGTACTGCTGAGGCAACAAGCCCACACCTGATGCAAGGCTGTCCTGCATCTTTATTCTCACCATGTCATTTCCTCCGAATCAGTGACGTTCACAGAATCTCGAAAACAGGAGGCCCGCAGCGTTTGTGCATGGGAGAAAGGCTATCCTCAGCAGGCCAACCGAAGGGAAAAGACCAATGTGTTTGTTCTCATGCCCCCGCCCCAAACTTTCTCGGACTTGAGATACTGTTAACGCAGAGCGCGGCTGATGACCGTCCACCAATCGAGAAGAACTTTGAATAGCGTGCCACTGCAAATGCCTTACACTGCATGGTATAAAATGTGAAACCATCAGAGGCATTTTGTGTGGTATAGTGCAACCAATAAAATGCGTGCAGATGTTAGAGTAGGGCGAGCCACCTTCTATGTCAAGGGCACTGACAGGCCAGGAACGGCAATGGGGAAAGTCTTCGGATCCAGCAACTCACCAATGGTGGAATGCCTTCCCTTGAGTTGTATAACATGATTAATTGTGAACCACTTTGTTCTTTGCCAGTTGCATCTGCTTCCCCCTATTGCCCTTGGGTCTGACAGTGAATCACTGCCGTTGTGAATGGTGATCGACACAATGTTCAGGACAGGGTGAAGCACCATAGCACGGCACTGCAATCAACTGTTTACTTTCCGGCTCCGTGTTTTTGGAATAGATGTGCTCATGCATTGCCATTAAGAGCGACTCCTGCAGAATGGCTGATTCATGGTGGCTGATTGTTGCAGCAGAGGGCACATGTGTGAAGGTTTATCACAAGTTGAAGGACATCAATATTTGGGCGGACTGAAGCTCTCAACCCAGCAGTGAATCTGCTTGGCAGCTTGAGACACAAGCCAGTGACATTGCTCCTGTAGCCACAACAGATCTTTTGTCCAGGCAAGCCTGCAAGAACACCAAGCAACCTACAGGTCCTGTTGCCACTGCCTATTCTACTCAGCAACAAAAGAAAAGGCAGGAGAGAGGCAGGAGAGAGAGGCAGAAGAGAGACAGCAAACAAATGTGCATCTTTGGATTGGGAACTTTCATTTGCAAGGGATGATAATTGCTCTCTTGCACTGTTTCTCAAAGTTCATCAGATGCGGTGCCAATGGAAATCCATGATCTTGTTGGTGTGGGAGGATTCCAGCAATCATCATCTGGTATCCCGTCTCAGCAACAAATTCTGGCAGCTTCTCATTTTTCCATGCTGATTTGGGGACTCTTGTCTTAAACATCTGGTACCCTCCCCCGGGCACCAAACATGGCAGCTCCCCACTCTTGGTTTAAATCAGCAGTGAGAATAAGCAGTCCATGTCGCCACTGGGAACTTCTGATTGAACCCTCCTAATGTCCATCGGCCTTGTCACGGTCAAGCAGCTTAACAAGATAGTGCACAAAGAGATGCTGTCCATCCTTACAGCACCATCGATTCACAAGCGCCCTTTCACCCTTGGTACATATTTATCACAATATACCCCACACATGAATAAGATTACAGCAGCACAACATTGCCGCAAGTTAGCTGACATTGTGGAAATTGTGGACTGTGATCACCCCTCCTAAGCCGACAGCTTCATGACAAGCCTCTCCATCACTCACAAGCTTGACACCCTAGGCCTCAACCAGAGGTTCTGCTTCTGACAACACCTCCTCTGCGGCAAGAAGCTCTTCAGAGCCCTTCAGACTATCAGTCAAAGTGCCCTGCCCCACCAGCACACCAGAGACAAGCCATCAAACATGGCTTCATCCTTGCCAACCAATAATGGCAAAGGCATGTGCACACAGAGGGATGTTGCCACATCTAGGCCTCATAGAATCTCAACCCATCAATACAAATGTGTGAACATTTCTACCTCCTTGATTGTATTGATTTGAATACATCATTCACGAACAGGGAATGGACGCTAATTGAAAGACATGTACGCCCTCGCTGGAAATCAATGCACTGTGTACTGGCCCCTGGAAGCACTTACTGAACACAACCACTGCAGATCAGATGCTACGAATCTATAAGTCTTTGTTGCAGTCATCCTACCAAAAGGGTTTTGAGGTCAGCCACTGCCGTGTCAAGCCGGACTTTGCTGTCGGGCACCATCGCCTTCGTCTCTGCCAAACAATTTTCCTGCAGCACAAAAGGCCAATGACACGCAACGTGCTAAAGAGAGCTCTGACAGCGGATGCAGACTACGAGACACACCAACAACGCGATGCCGAGCTCGGCCTATGGCATTCCTGGGCCCCAAGGCTTACAGGCAAAACACAACGCCGTGGGATTGACGCCGCGTCAGGGACGGAACCTGCCATGTCGTCCAGACCACATAAAGCAGCAAGCGGCCGCTTCCACTCCGACAGCAACAAATTTCGACTCCCAAGTGGCAGGGAAAATTCTCGCTCATTCAAAGACTTCATCGCTCTGCCATCCGTGGGATCGCGGGTGTGGCCCTACCGCCTGTCTGAGAACGTGCGGATCCTCGTTGTCATCCTTCATCTTGTCCACCTTCTCTTGCTCCTCCACGACTTCCTTCTCGTAGTACAACAGCTCTTTTCGAATTCTCTTCACGCTTGCCGTCTTGACCTTCAGCTGGTGCCTCTCGGCGACAGACATCCCCGAGCAAGAGATACCCACTTTGCTCTTTAAGCTCGCGCTCACTGCAGCACAGCGCCTCCAGAGGAGAAAGCACCGCAAACTGTGACTCTCAAAGCGCGACCGCTTCTTGGCAACTCGCTTTTGCAGCCTAAGACCAGGTCCCAAACTAATGCTGGCATACTCAAATCGTACATCCACATTCAGAAAACAGCCTTCTCGTTTCCTCCCAGTCTCGGCACAGATTCCTCCTGGTGAGACCTGTTGCCGCCACGGCCCGTCACATGTCTCCGCGCGGGTTCGCCGTGTTCAAGCCCATGGCTGCCTCTGTGCCCGCTGCAAGCGGCAGCATGGCGGCTGGGGACCTGCAGAATGGGGTGGCTGGTCGCCCTGTTCCCCTGCACTCGGCAGCGCACACCAGCCGTGCATGGGAGTTCTTCAGAAAACTGGGCTCCCCCAAGTATTGGGTAGCCCCAATGGTGGACCAGGTAGGGGCTGGCAAATAACAAACAACAGCGCACCTGCGCCTTGAAGTAACATCCGGGATTACCGTGGCGCCCAAGAGTCGGCCTGAGCTCTGCATTATTGTGCACCCAAGAATACCGTCAACTCCAGAAACCCTTATCGCACCGCTCGACGCTCTGTTTTGCCATTTTTTGATCTTGAAGTTACTTGGGCAGCAGGGTTTGTCTCCTCTGTCGATTCTTGTTTCCCAGATATCACGTGACGATTGGCAATGCTGACCCCTGGGTAGGGGTTGAACTCCAAGATAGGGACACACCGGAGAATAACCACCACTCAACACAAAAGTACTCAGGCTTGCGGCTGAAAATTGCATTGGAGATGATGAACACAACAACAACAACAGAGCACACCTTTGGTGGCCCCTTACTGACAAGATTCTTATCTTTCTTGCAGTCAGAGCTTCCTTTTAGGTTGCTGTGCCAACAATATGGAGCCACAGGGGCCTACACGCCTATGCTGCACAGCCGTCTGTTTGCTGAGAGCAGAAAGTACAGGTGTGCAGGGTACTTTTAGATTCTGCTTCTGTCTATCTCCAGCATTTGCATGATTTATGAGCCCAAACTGATGGACTCTGTCATACGGCTGTGGCAGGGAGGAACATTTCACTACATGTGACACAGAGGGGCCTCTGATAGTTCAATTTTGTGGCAATGACCCAGACACCATATTGCGCGCTGCGAAAATGGTGGAAGGAGAGTGCGATGCTGTGGATCTGAATTTGGGCTGTCCCCAGCGCATCGCAAGGAGAGGGGGCTATGGAGCATTCCTGATGGATGACCTGAGCAGTGTGGAGAGCATTGTCTCAACTCTTGCACAGGTACATACTTTCCAACTTGTCCGTGGCTTTGCAACAAAAAACAATCCCACAGTGGTCACCTTTATGCCCTGTTTTTGTTCTCATGCATTCGCTGAGTTTGTAAACAAGGTAGATGAGCTGGCCACCTTGCATGAGAGTCTGCCCTGTTTGTGTTCTCATGCATTCGCTGAGTTTATAAACAAGGTAGATGAGCTGGCCACCTTACATGAGAGTCTGGTGACTGCTAAACCTGCTTAACAGGGTTGCTGTGCACATTTGCTTGGTGATGATTTGATAGTCACTGGCTCTGTGTTGCCACTTGCAGGGTCTGTCAATTCCTGTGACTTGCAAAATCAGAGTATTCCCTGATCTGGAGAGGACATTGGAATATGCCCGCATGCTGGAACGTGCGCAATGTGCCATGCTTGCTGTGCACGGAAGGACACGAGACCAGAAAGATAACAATGCCACAAGGGCAGACTGGGATGCCATCAGCGCTGTGAAGAATGCCGTCACCATTCCTGTGCTGGCCAATGGGAACATCCGGGATCTAGAGGATGTTCGCAGATGCTTGGAATACACTGGGGCAGATGGTGTGCTGTCTGCACAGTCTCTTTTGGAGAATCCTGCCCTCTTTGATGAGAAATGTTTCCAGCTGGACAGCACAGCAGATCCATTGAGAGGATGTCGCTTGTTGCGAGAGTACTTGCAACTGGCAGTGCAACATCCTGTACCAAACAGAATGATGAAGGTCAGTGAATCTGGCTCAGGGACATGTTCTGCTCTGGGTGTCCCCTGATGTGGTACTGTACAATGCTAAGTCTTTGGGTGACTGCAGTGCTAGCAGAGTGGCGTACATGAATGTTTTGCTGGCATCGCCACGTTGAACACTTGGCTAGCTTGTCAGCATCCAATAGATTTCGCAGTCTCCTGCTACGAAGGGATACAAATGTGCTGATCCACAGACAACATGATGTTTCCAAGGACGATGTTTGTGTCACAAGCCACCTTAGGCTCAGTGCGCAGTATGGTTGCGGTGTGCAACTACTTGAAACTCACGGCTGTTGCCATACATTGTCCTTCGCTCATAGTTCGCATGGTACCTAGCATTAATTCGTCCATGCAGTTGGCCGCTGCTACCCATTTGTTTGGATGCTGTATTCCTCCATTCATGTTGTAGCTCACCATTCATATGCGCTACTCTGCAGACACATGTGTACCGTCTTCTGGGGGACTGGTTTTCAGAGTTCACAGACATTCGAGAGCAGCTCAATCGTGACAGGAGCTCATCATTTCAAGAATGCTTGAATTTTCTCTCGTCGATTGCAGACGCCGTTGAACGACGAATAGCTGCATCTGGTCGTGACCATCCCATACCAGTGCCCATAGAACGGAAGTCTGCGATTGAGCGTCAGGAGAGGATACAAGCAGCCAGAGAGGAACAACGCAGGGAAGAAGAGAGCCTAGCTGAAATTGGTGTCAAAGTCCAGTAGACTGGGTTGCTCTGACTCCTGGCATGCACTCCCTGCAGGAGAACCATTGCCTTCTAGAGTGCGTAGTGCCACTTCATGGTGTGGACATTGCCCGAATTTCTTGATTTTGGCCGAGGGTCACAGATTATGCGACACTTTGTAGGGAGATAAGCACAAAAGCCCAATGTTGTGGTGGCTATGGTTCCAAAACCAGTGTATTCGCGATATGCCTTGTGTTGTTGTAACAAGGCCGGCGCTGGGTCACCTGTCTCCAGCTTTCTGGAGGTGCTGGCTGCGCTGCAGCGCCTTGGGGAGAGCGCACACTAGGAAGGTTTGCGACTGCTCCATTATGTTAGAGTGGCGGCCGCACTCAGTTTCATCGTGTCTAACGTTCTTGTGTGTCCCTTGGCCTCACAGCCAGACATCGGATGGTTGGGATGGGCTCCTCAACACAGCTGAAGATATCGTTAGTCCAAAAATACCAACGTCGCTCAGATGTGCCAACACAAGACAACTAGCAAGCATGCGGGACTGGTAATGGATGTCTCCTGTTTGCGACATCATCCTATCACAACTCCAGCTGCCTAGAGTGGCGAGAGTGACAATGCAGCCTTCCTCAACGTGACTTGCCGGCACTGTACATCAGGTGTCCCGATTCCATGCGCTCCGCCTCTTGCAACGTCACATCCGGATGTCACCCCAGTTCCAAATGTCATGTGGCAGAGATGGGATCCGGATATGGGTGTGCTTCCCGGGATGGGATCCCAAGGCACCACTTCGCTGTCATGACACAGCAAACCCGGCGTGGCAATGTGCGACGTTCCATCATGTGGACACGCCCTACATTGACTTAGTAGTTTCCAATAACAGCGCTGGCGCAAGAACTGCTGCTGCCGGGTTGCCACATGTTGAAAGTGGAGGTGAGCAAATTCGACACATTCTGTGTTGAGATTGATCAGGACCAGGTGATTGCATTTTGTTCAGAACCCTCCGCCGAGGTGACCCCTCTACCTAAGTACATGGCAACAGTACCCCACACTCAGCCCGATATACACGCCAGTATTGTAAATCATTCCAGGAATATTCCCAGAATAAGTGGACTTGAATAAAATCGACTGTTTCGTTTGAAGCTAAGACATGACCAAGGACTGGCAAAACGAATTCGTCATGCAGAAGCGAAGTCTTTGATATCTTCCCTCGCAGCACTGGTTTGCGACTGCCGCTGCAGGCTGTGCAAGAAAACCAAGGGTGTAGAGAGTGTTCGTGGAGGTTCAGACAACAAGCAGAACACGTTCACGCCGTTTGTCACGTCGCGATTCAACCATGCAAAGGGCAGTGCTTCAGCTTGCATTGCACACCAACAGTTCACCACAGGCCCAGACATTTTGGGACCCATACAGCACTGTAGAATGATGGAACGCCGCGGCTGCCGCTAACCATGGCAGGGAGTCATGTTGCACGTTCTTTCGTTGCTACAAGATTCACCCCCAAGGTTTTCAGTGAACTTTCCCCTAGTCACTTGCATCCACCATGTCCTCGTCGTCAGCCTCTCCCACGTCTAAATCAAATTCATACTCTTGATCGCATCCCATGTAACTGTCGCACATGAAGTACAAAGTGAGATTGTATGCGCCTGGTTCCCCTGGTGCCGCGAAATCCAGCCTCACATTTGCCTTTCGCTGCAGGTTCACACGCTTGATAGCCAGGAGCTGGTTGGCTTTCGCATCACCAATAGCCAACCACCATGCCTCGTCCTTCCGCTTTGGATATCTTGGTGCATCCACAGACCCGACTTCGCCATCCTGCTCTCGCTCCAGATTCACCCTAATCGTGACCTGGTCTCCCGCTGCTACAGGTTGTGTATTCACCAATTGGTAATTGAGCTGTATATCTGGGTAGCGATTGCAAAACAACGTCACATCGTGCAGCTGCGCATCGGACATCGCCAGCAAGTCCCTCCTGTCTTTGTCAGCCATTTCAATGAGTTCGAAAACACTCTCCACGCCCTGCTCACTGCACCTCTTGCACACATCCCTTGAACAGTGAGGAACCTGCATGAGGACAGGATCGCGTTCCCACAGCCCCTGGGTGACCATCTGGCTCATCTCCATCGCGACCAAGGCGGGGGACAGCCAACTATTGCTGCCAATCACATCTACCATGGACTGGATCAACCCCATAGCACTCACAAGGATACCACGTTGGTCCAGCGCCAAATCAGCACTCACGTGCGTTCGTGAGAAATGTGCCTGGAGGAGGGCGTTCGCCTTCACATGTGGATCTGTGTATTTGGGCCTGTCCACAGCAACCGGTGCATGCATGAGGAGCTTCCTCACAGCATCGTCCTCACCAGGCCTTAATGGAAGATCATCATACTCAGAAGCAGCAGAGAGAATCTCCAACAGCCCCTTGAGCTTGGTCTTTGCCGTCAGCGATGAGCTGAAGAGCTCAATAGTTGTGTACTTGATGTAGTAATACGAGGCAATCATGCCCAAATTGAGAGCTGACAGGTCCATCCCATCCTCAATGCTGATCACTCGGGACTGTTCCAGCTCGCTGAGCGTATTTTCAACCAGATCTGAAAGATGATCGGAGAGATGTCTGTGGCTGACACCCTGTAGGTGGTAGTAGTTCGGGTTCTGAGCAAGCCGGCGGTAGAAGAAGGTCCACGTCAGGTAATCCACGGCGTCTTGCTTGTTCTCAATTGTCCGCGTCACAATCTCTGCCACAAAGTGGTCATGAAGGAATATGTCCAGATGGCTTTCCACAGGGAAAGGCTCAAACAGGAATTTCTTGTAGTACTCCTTGCGAGGACCATGGCACATAAGCACACACCTGAAGGGCAAACAACATCCAGTCAACACAAAGGTTGCAGACACTTCCTCAACAAACAGGCAAATGTTTGCTGCATCCAACAACCTCTTCCTTGTAATGGTGAACTAGCACCTGACATCAGTACTTCGTTGCACTCCTCGCAGTTTGCCGATCAGACATGCATCAAATCCCATTCTGCACTGCACCATGCAAAGCACTGTCAAGACAGGACCAGGTCGGAACCTCAGTTGACCAGCACGAGCCCACAGCTGCTCCTCACAACATGTGATTTTGCAAGGTGTTGTCGTTCAGCTGCATATGAGCAGGAATCAGGGTCCAGACTCACCTTCCAGATTGGTCTTTCAATGGCCGACTGGCTCTTCCCATCATTTGCAGCAAATCAGTCACAGGGTAGTCCGTGCCACCTGTGCCAGTTCCATCAAAATGCTGGGTTCCCATGATCACCACCAAGTGGCAGTTGACATGTATGGACCAGCAAAGAGATGCTGTTGCAACCAAAACTCGCGTGGCACCAATGGCAAACAAATGAAGCACTGTGTCCTTCTCCACCTGGCTCATGCTTTCATGCAAAAAGCCTACGCCATATGATAGGGAGTGCTTGAGAGCAGCCTCACGCACCCCTGACAAGTATGGTGCCAGATCATCCTCCTTGCACTGCAGCACAAGCAATCGGCTGTCAGGAAAAGCTGAGAGAACAGCTGCAGAGGGCTGCTCAGTCAGAATATGCACCACAAGAACAGCATAACCACAGACCTGAAAATATGCAAAACGTTCACCCGTGTTCAAGATTGCATCCACCCCTTGCTTTTCCCCTTGCATCTCACCAAGGTGGCGACTAAACTCACCCGGAATGCTTGCACCCAACTGCAAGCCTCCCCACACTATCACAGAGGCGATGGGAAGCAGCCAGGTGAAAGCTTAAAGCACAGCAAAGGACATAGGCAGCAATCTTTAACCAAATGAATACAACTCACTGCACCTTTCCAACTTTGATTTGCAGGTATTTTGTAGAGGCAGAAAGTGCTGTACAAATCATCCTAACAGCACAGACAACCACTGCAACAGGCCTGGCCATCATTTTAGAAATCTGTGGTGGCCAAACATGGTGGAAATTCGGCATTCACATACTCAAAGAGTATGTTTGTGCCTTACTCAAACAGCGCCCTTCATGGTTTGCCGCAACTCTGGAGAACACACATTACAGAAATAATTCTGTCTTATAGCAGCAATATTTCGCCAACCATCCAGTGGTGTACAAACAGCCATCAGACAATCGAGCAAGAAACAGCCATCCTCTCTTCTGTCCAAGGTGAACAGCCACAAGCCAAATAGTGGCTGCAAATTTTCGATGAGCCCCACCTGGAGGAACTGAGATGGCTGCCCGTCAGCTGCAGCATACATCAGCAGGTCAAGTGTTGTCAGTCGCGCGTGCTTCCTTGTTGGCACATAAACAATTGCTGGCTTGTCCTCACCACCATACATGATGATATTTGAATAGCACGGCCTGGACATTGCTTGCATTCTGGCCTCGAAATTCGAGATCTCGAACCCATGGATATCAAACTCCAAGGGAACTGGGCGCACACCTGCAGAAACAAGAGACCACAAAGTCAGGTAGAGCATCTAAACTATCGCAATATCCACGGAATAGCACAGCAAATTATGTTCTGGATGAGTTAACTGCTGAATTGTAACAAATTTCCGTTAAACTGAAACTGTTCAGGCAACCACACAGTCAAATACAAAAAATAATATTCCAGCACAATTGATTAACAGAGCACATTTGTGGCAGCTAGAGCACCACCACAATGGTTATATTTCGCCACCGCAAACATCGTT